GCCATTGTGTGACGGCGTCACGGCAGTACCCTCGTGATAATGAGTCATGAGACTCAGCGAGGCTTCCCTGTGCAAAGAAGCGGAATACCATAATAACAATGTTGATAATACTACTGCACCCAAATCGCCGCTACAGGGGGGTTTGCGGATCATGCATAGACGGAGACACTCGCTTGCAGCGCCGTGACAAGCCGTGACAAGCCCTTTAGGATTCAGCTTACTTAAAGTGCATTGTTTTTTGAGTGATATGTCTCCGTTCGCCATTCATTCACTTGAGAGCAGTGGAAATAAATTATCCCAGCATGCGGCAATCCGCCCCAAGAAGCAAGACAACTGGCATCCAACACATTCCAAAACATCGACTGAAGTACCGTCTCAACACGAGATGCCTTGCACCTCACAAAGCTCACAGTTGAGGCATGGCACGTGCCAAACACGCTTTCATATCGAGTGGTCCTGCAATGGAGTTCATCATTTACAAGTCCCGCAATGCATTCCTGGAATGTGACTAACGACCAAAGATGGGTAACCGGTGTCTCCGCATGAGCCCTCTCTGTCTTTCAGGGGGTAGCTATTATTGTGTAGGCACGGTGCAGAACGCTTCCCAGAAATACAAATGTAATAATAATAATTCACCCGCTCATACCAGTAACTCAAGCACACAAAGGGGAGGGGGCAGTTGATGTGCAACTGCCCGCATCATCCGAGTCTCCTCCGCGAAGGGTTGCGAGGGATACACGCACTAATCCCTAATCCCATCCGTAAAGGATGTCATTCCTGACTTGCAATACCCTGGTGTCTACAAAACTAAATTGCATCTGTGGTGATTGTTACATTGGGGAAACGAAACGTCATGTCTCTGACCGTATCCGCGAGCACAAGTCAGATCTGAAACACGGCAGAACGAATTCCTCCGCCGTTGCTGATCATTGCTATAACGCTGTGGGCTCTCGTTATATTGGGTTTTTTTTTTCCGAGACCAAGGTGCTCTGCATACCGTCTGGCTACTATCAAAGGTTTGTTCATGAAGCCATCCAGATATACAAAGGGGTACACACGCCGATTCTAGCGTTGTGGACGCCAGACAAGTCTGGCAGTTTCCAATACACACAAATACCCCCCTCATTCCTCCCCACCCGTGGAGCCTTGTACAGACTTCACAGACTGCTCCGGGGAGAGCGCTGTTAGCGAGTAGTACCTGTGAAGGCCCAAAAGGCACACTTAGGGGGTTGGTGGCCAGCATCACGCCCGGCCGGCCTTTGCCTCCCTAGTGGCGATTTTTTGTATTTGTTTTTAGTTTGCACATCGCACTCGATACTCATTTGAGGCTGAGTCGACCGTGACGGGACCGGTTCAGATAACCGTCACTGGTGTTGGCCGTGAGCCGGGAGCCGGGAATCTAACTCGGGTCGCCCGGGTCCGTACGCACAGTTCCCTAACCACTGCATTACCGCTCCCCTACCATCGGGGACGGAACATCCCAACCACCGGGATCGAGCATGGATCAAGTTGTGATATTTTGAAGAGCTGTGTCTGTGTGATCGAGCATGGATCAAGCAGTGATATTTTGAATACCCGTGTCTGTGTGATCGAGCATGGATCAAGCAGTGATATTTTGAATTCCTGTGTCTGTGTGATCGAGCATGGATCAAGCAGTGATATTTTGAAGAGCTGTGGCTGTGTGATCGAGCATGGATCAAGCAGTGATATTTTGAATTCCTGTGTCTGTGTGATCGAGCATGGATCAAGCAGTGATATTTTGAATACCTGTGTCTGTGTCATCTAGCATGGATCAAGCTGTGATATTTTGAAGAGCTGCGTCTGTGTGTTCGAACATGGATCAAGCTGTGATATTTTGAAGAGCTGCGGCTGTGTGATCGAGCATGGATCAAGCTGTGATATTTTGAATACCTGTGTCTGTGTGATCGAGCATGGATCAAGCTGTGATATTTTGAATTCCTGTGTCTGTGTGATCGAGCATGGATCAAGCAGTGATATTTTGAATTCCTGTGTCTGTGTGATCGAGCATGGATCAAGCAGTGATATTTTGAATACCTGTGTCTGTGTCATCTAGCATGGATCAAGCTGTGATATTTTGAAGAGCTGCGTCTGTGTGTTCGAACATGGATCAAGCAGTGATATTTTGAATACCTGTGTCTGTGTGATCGAGCATAGATCAAGCTGTGATATTTTGAAGAGCTGCGGCTGTGTGATCGAGCCTGGATCAAGCAGTGATATTTTGAAGAGCTGCGTCTGTGTGTTCAAGCATGAATCAAGCTGTGATATTTTGAATACCTGTGTCTGTGTGATCGAGCATGGATCAAGCAGTGCTATTTTGAATACCTGTGTCTGTGTGATGGAGCATGGATCAAGCTGTGATATTTTGAATACCTGTGTCTGTGTCATCGAGCATGGATCAAGCTGTGATATTTTGAAGAGCTGTGTCTGTGTGATCGAGCATGGATCAAGCTGTGATATTTTGAATTCCTGTGTCTGTGTGATCGAGCATGGATCAAGCTGTGATATTTTGAATTCCTGTGTCTGTGTGATCGAGCATGGATCAAGCAGTGATATTTTGAAGAGCTGTGGCTGTGTGATCGAGCATGGATCAAGCTGTGATATTTTGAATTCCTGTGTCTGTGTGTTCGAACATGGATCAAGCTGTGATATTTTGAATACCTGCATCTGTGTGTTCAAGCAGGGATCAAGCTGTGGTATTTTGAAGAGCTGTGGCTGTGTGTTCGAGCAAGGATCAAGCAGTGATATTTTTTTAATGAAAAATGTGTTAATTATTATTAATTGGTAAAGTGATTCTTGTCACACGGTTTGTGGATCGAAGCCCCATATTAGGCCGCCCCTTGACTGGCTTCCCTCCTTATGAACAGTTTCTTATTCACTCGCGGATTAATTATATACTGTTACAGCGCGATCGCGGCTTGTGTGTGTACGTTGAACTTATTGTGCAGCGTACGTAGCCAACCGCGCTAATCGGAGGTGCAGGGGAAAGGACAACAAACTGAACTCAAAAAGCAGTTCAAGAAAAAAGTTTTCAATCTGGATTCAAAAGCAAATACTGTAGCTCCAGTGGCTTCATAATATCGGAAGGGAAGTGCGTTCCAGACGGCCGCAGAAGCGCGTCTGAAAGCGCCGCGCGATGCGGTGACCAACCGCCGTCTTCGTTCGATGGCCGGCAGCCCAAAGCCGCCGCTGCAAGGGCTGAACCGAGTTCGCGTGGCGGTTTACACTTGTTGACGAGATCAGGACGACTCCACACAATTGCGTTGGTCTGTTTAATAAACAACCCAGAAAAAGCAGCCACACGTCTGGGAACCTCTCTGCACACGCATTGCTCGATCATTTAATTCGTTACTTTCACTGCAATTTCTTTTAAGATTGTGCCAAAAGAAAGGATACGGTGGTGGGGACAGCTTCAGTTCGAACCCATTTGTCAATAACGCTGTCGCCTTACAAGGGAGTATAGTGGGTGGTGGAGCACGAAATGTCCCCTCTTTTTCCGAGCACATCAATCAGTGCCGTCACCCGAAACGTCGCCCATTACATAGTTTCCCTTTCATGGCCACAGTGAGATTGACGAACGCGTTGAGTGTATTTTGTTAATGTGTGCTTGTATGCCACTTACCCTCTCGGCATCACCAAATAATTTGTTCAGTATACAGGACACACACAAATATATATATATATATCACAGTTTGTATCAATACAGTCCTTTTGTTAATCTACCGCATGGATGAGGGCCTCCCCATATCCTTGCAGATGGTGGCGGTTGTTTGACCATACCCACCACGCCGGTCAGTGCGAGTTGGTGGAAGGTGGGCAAGTATAATGGATGTACAATGCATGGCAGATATACAAAACTGTATTCGTGACTGCGGTATTTTCATGAATGTACAGAGTCTTCACTCCCGTAACGAATCATCAAGTAACTCGGACTTAGCTGCCCCTCTCCTCTGTGAAGGATAAAGACTTTGCTTGCTGGGTTCCCTGCCGTTTGAAGGTCACCTATCGATTAAATATTTGGTTTAATACATTGAAATATTGACGTGTTGAAAAGTGGTATGTACATTAATGCTTCGCCACGCAAGTTACCGCACTCGAGTTTGTCTTACTAACAGTCGGGTCACGCTGCCGCCGCGTGTTGCAGAACGCGCGCCGAGGTTATTCTCTTAACGTGGATTTCCCATGAAAAATTAAGCCCTTCGCAGGCGATGTCACCGATGCCACGGGACCTCGGCATCGCTCCCTTCCTTCCTTCCTCGAGATTTGGCGACTTGCTCCGTCGGCCACGCGGGACCTCCGTGGAGCGGGCCACCTCACAGAACCCCGCCGTCCTCACCCCGAGGGCCCCCGTCATCCCCTTCGTTCGCCAAGCGCTGGGCGGGCAGTCGCGCCTCCGTGAAAGGATGAAAGTGCAGTCCTGCCACTGCGTGTTCGCGCCACAGCTGTTGGTAGGTTCCCAGCTGTCAGGAGTTCTGGAGAACCCCGCCGAACAAGGTTATCCTGGCCCACTCTTCCATTGCTGGCCCAGTGTCTTTGTGGGTAATCTGGGAGTACTATCCACGCTTTACCCCAATGCACGCGACCTACCAATCCGCCAGGTGGGGTGCCCGCCGTGTGTACTGCTGGCGGGTTTCAATCGTCCATCGTTCCAATTGTCGCGCCGGAGGGATCTAACATACAATGGGCGACCTCTGGATTGCAAAGTCCATTGTGGCTCAGCATTGAACCACGACAGCTTTCCCCCATCTCAGTGATGTGCCCTGTTATGATAACGATGATAATTATTCAATCACAACAATGGTAAAATTATCATCGAGGAATTTTTGTTGTTTTTCGATTTAAAGCTTTCGTGACTGCAATGATTCATCTTCTTTGGTTCTTTCGGTAAAGTCACGTAGAATGAGAATAAAATAATAAATTGATAAAAGAGAATATTATTGCGTTATTTTATTTCATCAATTTATTATTTTATTCTCATTCTACGTGACTTTACCGAAATAACCAAAGAAGATGAATTTTTGTTCTTGTTTAAACACATGCGGCAATTACTGTAGAATGGCGTAACAAATAAATATATATACACATTTCAATGACAGTGCTTCGTCGCCTTGAGTGCGTATGTACACACGTGGAACTTCTCTCTCGCTGTACGTAGCCAACCGTCCTCATCGGAGCTGCGTGTTCGTAATATCTCAACGGCGCTTTTATACTTAGTTAAAAACCCAGGATACCCTAATTACAATGCAAGAGCTCAACACAGTATTCGTAATTCATAGTCAGTCGCTCAGACAACCGGGAGGGCAAGCCTCCTCCGTTTGATATAACACGCTTGTTTCCTTGCAGCAGACACAAACACCCAACACACACCGTGGCCTGAAAAGGGCAATAAAATATAAAATATATAATCGGTGACATTGTATGCAGTCACCTTTCTTCCATCATAGCACGCAGAAGAAGGTCCATTTCCCGAATCGTTGTGTATTCAATGTACTTGTGTATTTACATATATACTTTCATTGTGTGTTTTCCTTCTAAGTCAGTGTTATTGATGAATGTGTTGAGTTTTTCTTTTGCTTCCAGTGCTCGTGCATCTCTGCCAACGCAGTATCACCCCGGTCGCTTCGTTTGAAGGCCTTCAGGTGGCGGGCCTTTTCTGAGGTCACGGGAATCGGCAGGGTGGAGGCATTTTCAGGAAGGCTCCTCAACTTCCCGGCGTTGTGTTTATGAAACAAAATGGTTCGTATAAAGTCCCGACCACGTGGCTTTTTAAGCACGCGTTCTTTTTTCTTCTTCAAACCGGTCAAAAGTGTTGCAGTTTGGACTTTTTACGAATGATCCATGGCCCGTCCACGGCTTCAACTTGGCAGCGTGTGCAGCCCAATTGTTCACTCTGCTGCTGCTGCTGCCGCTGCCGGGTGCCGTTCAAGGACGCCCACGCGGCCGCCGCAGCGACGCGGGATGACGACGCACTCGTCGTCGCGTCAATCGACGTGCGGGACCGCTTGCGCCTGGGAAGTTGACGCGACCACAAGGCACCGCGCGGGGGGCGGGGGTGAGGGGTGCGGCGCCCAGCGTTACTTTCACCGAGTTAGAGATTTTTCGCCCTTCCCAGCAACTTATTCCAATACTTGGGCAAGTCGAACTTCGGAGATTTCCTGCCGTCGATGCGGTCCGCCCGCAGCTGCGCCAGAATGTCCGAGCAGGACGACGATCGCGGCACCGACCTCCGCCTGCTCGCCGTCACCCACAGGCTGTCCCTCCTGGCGACGCGGCCGCTCGCGGAGCGCCGCGCCTCCCCCGGCGGTCCGGCGCGCCGCCGGTCGCCCTCTTCGCCCCTCGAAGACGACGGCGCCCCCCGCGCCGGAGCCGCCCCCGGAGGTCCGTCGACGGCACCGACGACGGCGGGCCTCTCCGCCTCCGACCCGTCGGATTGGGAGCGGGCGTCCGCGGGCCGGAAGGCCGCGTCGTCGCCCCCTTGCTCCGAGTCGCTGCAGCGCTCCACGAAGATGGAAATGCGGCAGGGGCTTCCCTCGGGCGGCCGCTCGGGCCGCCCCGTCGTCCCGCCGCCGTCCGCGTGCGACGGCGCGCGCCGGGGGCCCGGCGGACCGATCCGCGGTCCGGATACGAACTCCGTGGACCTGCTGACCTTTGGCGACGACGCCGCCGCCTTCGCCGACCCCCTCTCCCTGGCGTCCCTCAGGCTCAGGCGTCGCACGCCGCTCCACCGGCGCGCCCTGGGGCTGGCGGCGGACTCGTGTCGCCGCTCGGGCGACGGCGGGCTGCTCAGGCTGTACGGCTTGCCCGTCGGGGAAAAGAGCCGGGGGCCGTCCGGGGACAGCAGCGGCGTCCACCGCCGCTTGGGTCCGGCCCGGGCCAGCTGGCCGCCCGCGACGGTGTGGTGGCGCACGTCGGAGGCGGCGCACCACAGCAGCCGCGAGTGTCGCCCGTCCAGCGACGAGGAGAGGCTGCCTTCGTCGTCGTCGCTGTCGTCGGCAGGGTCCAGGAGCCGCCGCTCGGCGTCGGGAGACTCAGCGCTGGCGTCCTTCCTCGAGCGCAGGCTCCTCCTCCCCTGCGCAAGATCCATGTCCCCCGCCTTGTAAGGAGGCGCGAGCCAAACAAAAAAAAAACACAACGGCAATTTTTTTTTTATTTCACCAGGTAAGGCGCACTGAGCTACTGCACGATAGGTCTTTTTCAGAAGCGAGCTGACTGTCACAAATGATAGCCCAACGAAGTGGCTTGTCACGGGGAAACACTCTGAACGCGCGACGTCGATTCTAAATGTGGAGGGAAAAACCAGAGGGCGCGACCACGGGGAGAGAGATTTGCAAACTTCAAATATACAGCAGGCGTCAGGGTCGGGATCGAACCCACGACCATCCTGTATACCAGGCGAGGGAGATAACATCTCGCCACCGCGGCACACCAAACGCTGAAAACATTGCGGTGTGGTGGTGGTTTTGGGGAGGCCTTCATCCAGCAGTGGATTGACCTTGACTGCTGATGATGATCATGATGATGATGATGCGTTTTAAAAATAATCTTCATCCAATGCAATTGTCGCAGCTGATATTTCCTGGCGTCAGTTGAACACTGTCTAGCGAGTCCCATCTCTAATCCTTACTCTCCGGCTACTACCAGGGCGTGTAGTGGGGAGCGGTGGTGCAGCGGTCCACGCGATGCGCTTTGAACACGGCGACCCGAGTTCGATTCCCCCTCACCGTCAACACCCGGTGGCGATTATCTGAACCGGTCCTGGGCCTCTTCTAGGTCGACTCAGCCTTAGTTACCTGGCGTGGTGTGTAAACACCGCCACTGGGGAGACAAAGGCGGTCGGGCGTGGCCAACCCCTCGCGTGCCGTGCCGGCCTTCATAGGTGCTCGCTAACAGCGCTTGCCCCAAAAGTCTGTGTTGAGGCTACTCGGGGGTATCTTTGGTGTGGCTGTGTTGTCACTAGAGGGAGCTGTGGTTGCACTCCTGAATTCACGGGGACTGGGACTTTCGCCTGTTTCACGCTCACTCAAGAAGTAGTGAACTAACGTCAGACGGCCATGAACTTGCTGAAGCTGAGGAATAGGTTGCGTTAAGGTGGGGATGGCCGAGTGGTGTCACGGGCTCATTTGGTGACTATGGCGAGTATTTGCATGGGACGAGCGCTTTTGATTTCTCACAAAGTGGTACTTATTTATCGACCCCCAGATGGATGATGGGCTGAATCGATACCTAGCTAAGGTTCGACTGTGAGTTGGGATATTTTACTCTACAACACGAATTACCTATTTACTCAAGAATGCCACACTCAGTCTGACGACTCTTGCTCAAGAGGGTGCTGGCTTCATTGGGATGTTTGGCCAACACGAATGGCATCGTGTGTGTTTAGATACAGGAGGAAGCCACAGAACCCGGGTGACACCGATGCAGAGCAGGGACAGAGAGCTGCAGCGTGTACACACTTCTTTGGAAACGTGCAAGATCCGACCGTGTCCGTCCCGGTGCTCACTGAGTTCCCATTGGCTTCAGGTTGCTGAACGAATACATTACGAGGTCGCACTCATTACGTACAAAGTGCTTGCCACAAATGAACCACAATACCTTGCTGCTGATCTCGTCAAGGAGCAACCATCATCACGCCAACTCCGGTCATTCTCGCAGCAGCGGCATTTGACTAGCCATCGAGCAAAGACGGCCACCGCATCGCACGACGCTTTCAAATGCGCTTCTGCAGCCGTCTGGAATGCACTTCCTTTCGATATTCGGAAGCCACTGGAGCTATGCACTTTGAAATCAACGAGATTGAAAACTAATGTTTTTCTAACTGCTTTTTTTGTCTTTAGTTTGTTGTCCTTCCCCCGCACCTCCGTTTAACACGGTTGGCTACGTACGGTGCAAGAGAAGTTCACCGTATTTACGTACAGGACATACAAACTCCGCGCAGAAAGGTGCCCGAGTCAGGAGTCCAACCCAGGTCCCTCCACCCTGCCCCCCATATTCAGTGTAAGTATCCCTTGTGCGTCTTCCAAAGTGGCACTGCGGGACACGTGTTTGTGTCTGCGTACGTGTATGCGTGTGTGCACGTGTGAGTGTGGTGCCTCCCTCACCTTGCTCTCCGGTCTGCTGAGCGGACGGCTGCTGTCGCACGACTGGTAATCTTCAAACGGAGCACAACAACAAGTTGTCTTTCAGTCAAGCAGTTGCCGTCACAAGGAAAATACACCGACAGTCCATTGAGAGTGATGGCCTTTGTGGATTATGTTTCTAAAGAAGTGCACTGTGGGCCTCTTGTTTGAGGTCACCGTCAAGTCAAATCAAATGTGAGCAAATGTGACCGACTGACAGCAGGCAGTGATACGGAGATAAGACGACTCGAGACTGGTTTCATCATTATTAGGACTCACCAGTACCTCAGTCACCAGTACTCATTGCTCAAAGTCTGCCCTTGGACACGATGTATGTGGAATCCCCAATTCCACACTATGGGGCCCATCAGCTGTGGTGACTGCCAACAACAATCAACTAAAACTATGCTATCTTAATTTTACAAGTCAAGGCCCATTGAGTTACTCTAAATTAAACCTTGATTCTAAATGTGGAGGGAACAAACCGGAGAACCCGGACAAAAAATCCACCCGACCACGGGGAGAGAGAGAGAGAGACGCAAGCTCCAAATACACAGCAGGCGTCAGGGTCGGGATCGAATCCACAACCTCCCATATACGAGGCGAGGTAGTTAACATCTCTCAGCCCCCGCGTCACAGTGGGCGGCGGCGGCGGTGACGTCGCCGCGAGGCTCACCCAGGTCGGACTCCTCCGTGGGGCTGCTGCTTGCCGCGGCCTGCTTCCTGGGCCCCGGGCTCGGCTGGTCGGACTCGCCATCCGCGCTCTGCTCTCGCGGCGAAGACGACGGGCGTGCAAGCGTGCAAGCGTGCAAAGGGAATGTCGCAGTTAGCGGGGGCGTCGCTCAACGTATGCACGTACGTGCGTTGAACTCCTTTCGCGCCGTACGCAGCCAACCGTGTTAATCGGAGCAGCAGGGGAAGGACAACAAGCTAAACGCAACAGGCAGTTCTCGAGAAATGAGTTTTCTTCCACCACCGTTCGTCCGGTTCCTGTTTCAATTTCCCCCGACTGCCTCAGCACACGTCCACCATTACAAAATGGTCGCTCTCCTCCGCTATCGTTAGGTGACCGACGCTGTGTTCGGACGCCGCGTTGCCGTGGTGCAACGGTCAGCGCACCGAACAGGTCGCCACGGTGGTTGACACGATGGGGGCGAGCTTCTTAACTCCCCTCCCGCCTCTGTCCACCCAGCAGTATGAAGTTAGTCCATCGGCAGGCCGCGTGTGGTGGGGTAGAGGGCGTGGGTGCTTGGCCAGCGAGGAAGAGTAGGCCAAGTAGCCTGCAGAGTTGCCTCTGGTGGAGGCCGTTTCCTGCCAGCAGTGGTGAGCGGGCAATTGCAGGTGCTGCACCCTCACCTTCCCCCTGTGATTACTTCATAACTGAGAATTGGTTTTCCCCTTTTTTCTGGCAACAAAATAGGTGTTAGGATGTTAAAACACCAAACTGAAACCTTTTACAATGAATCATGTCTGCATTAACCACAAAACTTGTGGTCAGAATGCCAAAAAAAACATACTCTGATCATATATGATGCATTGTATTTGAAACTGATTGGTCCACACCAAAGACAGCTTATCAGAATGTTTTTTTCTGCATTCTGACCACAAGTATTGTGGTTAATGCAGACATGAAACACTTGTAAAAGGTTTCAGTTTCTTAACACCTGTTTCGTTGCCAGAAAAAAAAGGGGAAAACCTCTTATCATATTTTGGTACTGGCAAAGGAGGTCCCATGAAGTAGTTACTTAATAACTGTCACTAGATGACATTCCCATACTGAACTCCCGCTTGGCCCCTCGCTAACTCACTCGGTGGTGAGTGCGTTGGCCACTTGCTTACAAGGCGACATCGATCACGATTCCTTGTGGGCCGCCTTGCGGAACTCGCGCGCGGATTCGGCGATGTGAATACGCCGGGCAGGTGCTTACCCCTTTGGGCGTCGTATTTCCGTCGATGAATATCCAGTGGCACTGAAACGAAAGAGGCAAACTCGTCAAAATCAGAAATGTTTATACTGGAGGACTCCGATGAGCTATAAAGCTTTTTTTGTGAGTCGAGGTGTGACGTGCAACGTTGAAGCAAGAGAAATCAAGTGGAAAACGGGCAGGAGAGACGTCACGAGGACGGCTGACGAGGGATGAGACACGGAAACTCACGGCAGGGTGGGGGCTGAGAGCAAAGAGAAGAGAAGTGGAGGGAGACAGCGCAAGAGACGGCAGCAGCAGCAGCAGCGAGATGACATCACAGACTTAGCGGGCTATGACTGGACATGAGCAATGAGGGAACGGAAGAGGAAGGAGAATGCCTTGGCCCACCAGTGGGAATTTCCAGTCTGGCAACAACATGTACACAGTGTGCACCCACTGGAGAAACTTGCTCCTGCCAAGGGAATGTGGAATTTCCAATGCCCATTTGGACACTTTAACTTTGGTTGTAACCGAAGCCTGCAGAAATTGTTTCGTTGAAATCACATCGACTCACTTGGAGGTTCATCGACTTGCAAAGAGACCACCCATAGACTTACATAAAAATCTATAGACACCCATAGACACACAGACGGACCATGGACTTTAAGAGACGCTTATTCTTTGATATGGCGGAGAGTCGATGAGGAATGTTTCTATGTTCGTGCCGTATGTGTGTATGTTGAACTTCTTTCGCACAGTACGTAGCCAACCATGCTAATCGGAGGTGCGGAAAGGGTGGCGAAGTCAGCCTGTGGATGGCTTCAGCAGGAGCCTGGTGGATATCTGACACGCTGGTAGCGAGCGATGGGAGCGGTGGGCAGTGACATCAACAAAGGTGAGACGACAGCAGACACGCGCACACGCGGGAGGACACGCACACACACGTGGGAGGACACGCACACACACACGGGAGGACACGCACACACACGTGGGAGGACACACACACACACGTGGGAGGACACACACACGTGGGAGGACACGCACACACACACGGGAGGACACGCACACACACACGGGAGGACACGCACACACACACGGGAGGACACGCACACACACACGGGAGGACACGCACACACACACGGGAGGACACGCACACACACACGGGAGGACACGCACACACACACGGGAGGACACGCCACACACACACGGGAGGACACGCACACACACACGGGAGGACACGCACACACACACGGGAGGACACGCACACACACACGGGAGGACACGCACACACACGTGGGAGGACACGCACACACACACGGGAGGACACGCACACACACACGGGAGGACACGCACACACACACGGGAGGACACGCACACACACGCTGGAGGACACACACACACACACACGGGAGGACACACGCACACGCGGGAGGACACGCACACACACACGGGAGGACACACGCACACGCGGGAGGACACACGCACACACACGGGAGGACACACGCACACACGGGGACACACACGCGGGGACACACACGCGGGAGGACACGCACACACACGCACACGCAGGGGGACACGCACACACACACGGGAGGACACGCACACACACGCAGGGGGACACGCACGTGTTTGATGAGCGTCTCGATGATCGCGTTCTGCTTTCCAAGCTCCATCAGCTGCCTGGTCATGTCCCCTGCCGGGGATCGTAAGAACGTGGGCCCAAACACGATGCCCAGGTTTTCAGCACTCATCTGCCACAAGGAAAGACACGGCGACCCTTTTTGTGAAGACCGGCCCTCACCATGGGACTCCTCTATCGCCGGTCTCTCGAGTTCTCACCTGGTCAAACGAAATGAACTCGAACTTGAATGAAGGGTAAAGGTGCAGCCCCGCAACTGCCAGCTCGCGCCACTGCCGGCGGAAGGGCGTCCCACTCGAAGTGGCTTGAGCGCCTTCTAAGAGGGGTGTTTGGCCTACTCTTTCACCAACCGGCCAGATTTGTTGGAAGACGGTGGGATTACCTACACTTTACCCCACCACACGCTGCCTGCCCGATCGATCGGTTGCAGTGTACCTTAATTGTTCTGCTGGCTGGACGGAGGAATGTGAAATTTCCACCAAAGGGCTCAGGGCCGCTCGACACGCACGAGAAATATCCCGTGGCTCGTTTGAGCAGGGAGACATCAATTTTATTGACTCAATTATTTTTGTTTAACTTTTTATGGTGGCACCTTGGTCCTGCTGCCTTTCGTCAGGCGCAGAGCCAAGCTCAGTGTCGCTCGAAAGAGGTGGAACCTTTCAAGAAAGAGGTGGGGCCTACTTAACGGTGAAAGTAAAACGTGTTCATCTCGATGGCGCATGCCTGTAACCATTCACTTCGGGTTAGGGTTTGGTTCCACATGTATGAATGCTCATTGATTGGCTGAAAACATCTTAAACTATTAAAACTATGAAACCAATTTTAATTTTACCAGGTAAGGCCCACTAAGCTGCATAGCTCTTGTTCAGAAGTGACCTGGCCACAAATCATCGCGCAACGAAGTGGCTTATCACGTGGAAATTTATAGTAGCCAAATACTCTAAACGCATGTTTTTTTAAATGTGGAGGAAAAATCAGAGGATCCGAAGAGAAATCCACGTGACCACGGAGAAAACATGCAAAATCCAAAAATACAGGCGTCAGGGTCGGAATCGAACCCACAACCAACTGTATATCAGGCGATGACGACCGTTTGTGTTATGGTCGAAACGTCGTGAGAATTTTTTTGTTTTATATATATTTTATTATTTTATTGTTTCCCTTCAACGTGACTTTACCGAAAGAGCTAAGAATACAGGCGAGGTAGTTAACATCTCATCACCGCAGCGCCCCACACGTATATATATAGACAACTCCAGAGCTTGGGCAATTGTTGGCACCAGCTCACTACCTGGCTGACTTTCCCGCTTGTCTGTGGTTCCTCCTCAAGCCTCCTGCCAGTTGTTATCTCTTTTTTCCGAGAACGTGCGAATATTGTGCAGCGGGTTACAAGTTGAAATCATGACACCATCATCATTTTTATAAACAGTCGTACTTGCGAAGTTTGGCCACTAATTGTTCGAGTATATATGAAACCCCAAGGGGACCGCAAACCTTGTTCTCCGCGCAGTTGTCGGCCACGCGGCGCAGGTGCCGGATGATGTAGCGCAGCGTGTGGTAGTTGTACCTGGGCAGGTTCTCCACCTGGGCGGCCCATGGGAAAGATCACTCGGTTACACAAACATCCCCCTCGTGTAGCCTTTAACAGACTGTTGGGGCAAGCGCAGTTCGCGAGCAGCACCTATGAAGGCCCTGCACGGCACACGAGGGGGGGGTGGGTGGCCAGCACCACGCCCGGCCGCATTTGTCTCCCCAGTGGCGATGTTTACTACACCACTGCACCGGGTACTCATTTAAAGGGTGAGTCAACCTATGGAAGGAGGCCCAGGACCGGTTCAGAAAATCGTCACTGGTGCTGGCGGCGAGCGGGAATCGAACCCAGGTCGCTGGGTTCGTAGCGCAGCGCGCTAACCGCTGAACTACCGCTCCCCGCAGTTACACACACACAGAGTCACCCTACAGCGATCTGGGTCTGTATGTACAGCGCTGTGCATATAGATCGGGCCAGGTGGCGCAGCGGTCGAGCGTCTCGTAATCCGAAGGCTGTGAGTTCAAATCCAGGATGGGGGTTGACTAAACCCTCCAGGGTCAGTAAAGTTAGTAACCTTTTGTGGGGTACTCGGTCAATAGTGGTTGACCTATGGGTTTACTCACCCCCGCGATAGGAACATGGAATTTACACCACTGCCTCGGGGCTGTGAAACTGCTTTTTGTCTTTATATTTGTGTCCTTCCCCCGCACCTCCGATTAGTACGGTGCGAAAGGAGTTCAACGTACACACATACACCACACAACCACCTCATTTGAGCAGGACATCACTTTGACTATTGCGCTGAGAAGTCAGCAAAATGTGAGAAACTCCGTGTGTGTGTGTGTGCGTGCGTGAAGGCTGAAAGCGAGCGAGTGAGTGAGTGAATCACCAGCTCTTTGATTCTCTCCAGCCTCTCGTCCAAGTCCTCCAGACCCATGGCTTCCAAGAACGGTTCGTAACTCTCTGAACAGAAACACGAGCACGGGACAGTGGGGGGTGGGGTAGAGGGGTGAATATACGTCCCAAGTCTATTTCTATTTCCCCCATCGCTTTTGTGCTTCTGGTGACCCAGATCACTCCGGCAAATGAGATAAGATCGCGTGAATGTAGATGTGTCATCAAACCCGCCACCACCCAACACAACCAATTATATTAAGGTTTTGTCACGTAAACACAACATGCCAATTAGCGATGCGTTCAGCACACACCGGTGGTGCGTTGGAGACCCACACGACACATTTACAATTCGAGTGCCGTGACGTTTCGCCAGTAACTAGCGTCATCAGACGACAGCCAGAATTGTGGAGAAATCCTCCTGCTGCTTTGGTCTTAAATAGACGAGGGATAAACGTGATGTCGTCACTTGTGAGCCAATCAAGTGGGAAGTCCTAGAGGGGGGGGGGGGGGGGGGGGGGGGTGGGCTTAATGTATGCATATAAATTACAGAGACTCCTCTACCGAGACTCCTCTACCCTGGTCTCTCGAATTCCCACCGCCAGGCTTACACAAGATACACTTGGACCGACCCCTTTCACTTTGTGTCTGACCGCATTATGCTGCTGCGCGCGCGAGGCTGTAATCCCCCGTCTTATTCGACGGTCTGACGACACCAGTAAGCTGAAAAATCATTCTAAATTGAAAAAAAAACCTAATTTCTCGAGAAGTGCTTTTTGTTTTGATTTAAAGCCTTCGTGACTGCAGGGATTCATATTCTTGGTTCTTTCGTGCTGTGGTTTTCACACCTGATGATGATTGCTTGTGTTGCAGTCGAAACGTCGTGATAATTTTATTGTTTTATATTTTTATTATTTTATTGTTTCCCTTCTACGTGACTTTACCGAGAGAACCAAGAATAGAAGTGCTTTTTGTGTTTAATTTGGTGTCCTTCGCCGGCCCCCTGCCAACACCTAAGATTTGTGCGGTTGGCTACGTACGGTGCGACAGAAGTTATCCATACATACGTACGTGCATACATCTATATCTGATATGGGGCCGTCCATAAATGACGATTTTTGACCCCATACCCCCTTGTCACATAAAAAGTCAGACCGACCCCCCAAAAAAAACATGCTTCAAATCGCTTTAAACTATTGCCATTGTAGTGCGTATTTAATGTGGCGCTGCACTCTGATGTTGTAGGAGAAAACATTTATTTAAAAAGTCTATTTAATTAAGTAGAACGTGTTTTCTATATTTATTTAAAGTTGCGCATTTTTACGTGACGTCACATTTCTCAACCCCCCCCCCCCTCGTCACACATCGTCACAAATGTCTGACCCCACCCTCCCCCCTAGGGGCGTGACGTCATTTATGGACGGCCCCAATGCAGGATAAGCTGGGTGGCCTAGCGGTCAGTGTGCCTGCTGCCATGCCGGTGACAGTTTGCGTGCCGAGGTTACATTCCGACTGCCGACAGAGTTCACAGTGCTCCTCCGTTGAACGTGAAAATAATAATAGTAATAATAAAAATAACAATGATGATGCATGTTTCGATTTAAAGCTTTCGTGACTGCAAGGATTCATCTTCTTTGGTTCTTTCGGTAAAGTCACGTAGAATGAGAATAAAATAATAAATTAAAATAACGCAAAATTCTCACGACGTTTCGGCCACAACAAGAACAGAACTGTCGGGACGACAGAGCTTCATTGAAGCTCTGTCGTCCCGACAGTTCTGTTCTTTCACCTGAAGAATCTGCTTGTGTTGTGGCCGAAACGTCGTGAGAATTTTATTGTGTTATTTTATTTTATTATTTTCTTCTCATTCTACGTGACTTTAGCGAAAGAACCAAAGAAGATGATGATGCAGTTGTGCTGCTACTCACCGTAGGTCATGAGGGGCTCGGGCAGCTTGCTGAAGAAGCCTTTCAGGAGCGAGCCCACAATACTGGGGCACTGCCAGACCTGTGCAAGGGAGAGACGGACCAGCGGCACCTGATCAGTGTCTCGCTCGGTCTGCGTGTCAAGCGCCAGCCTTTGACGACGTCATTTTGGGGCATCATCACATTGGGGGATCGCTAAAAGTGAGGACTACTTTGGAGGAAGTCAACGGTGGTCATCCCACGACGAGGTGCAAGATGTGCCTTCCGAACGACCACGAAAAGTCCGCTGACCATGTCACCTCCTGTCATTCAGGACCCATGAACTCTCTGGACAGCGGGAGGCCGCTCCGGCTGCTGCTATAGTGGACTGGAATTCCCTCAACCCGGCCATCTATGCCATCGACTCCCTGCCTCTGTTCAAGTCTAGCTTAAAGATCTTCCTCTTCTCCTCTGCCGTTGATGGGCAGCCTCTTCTCTGTAAAATGCCTTCTTTCTTTTGTTTATATTTGAAACAAAAATTCAAAGAACGAAGGTGCACACCCTCCGAATGCCCAGCACTCTGCAGGTGAGGGTTGGTGGGTCGTCAAACAAAACGTTGTCGTGAAACTTCCTCTCCATGGGCGTCGAGGAGGTGCCATACCCTGGCTCGCCAGGGGAGGGCGGTACAGCAAGTGGATTAAACGCCCTTTGTGTCCATCTGTACAGGGATATAGCGTTTCCCCCTTGCGCGCCTGGGTTTTCTCCGGGTGCTACGGTTTCCTTACACGTGTATAATAAACACGACTGGTCATTAATTGGCTGAAAACAATTTGAAATAAACACCCAATACAGCAGCAGGACCCTCATGAATGAGTCAGTGTGCCTCTCCTGGATAAATATATATTTTGTATGGCGCCGATGTTATTTCGCTCGCCTGGTATGCGAGAGGTCCTGGGTTTCGATCTCGACCCTGACGCCTGCTGTATATTTGGAGTTTGCGTATCTCTCTCTCCCCGTGGTCGCGTGGATTTTTCTCCGGGTCCTCCGGTTTTTCTCCTCCACATTAAGAATCGACGTAATTTGGCCGCTCCTATAAATTCCTGCATATGATAAGCCACGTCCGTTGAGCTGTCACTTGTGACGGCCAGGTCGCTTCTGAAAAAGAGCTACGTAGCTCGGTGGGCTTTACCCGGTAAAACATTTTTGTTTTACAATAATTGAGAGCCGGGCAGCATCGCAAACCCAACCGGTGGCGTCGCGGACGTGGGGAGGGTGGGGGGGGGGGGGGGGGGGGGGGGGGGGGGGGGGGGGGGGGGGGGGGGGGGGGGGGGGGGGGGGGGGGGGGTGCGGCACGCGAGGCCCCGGGCTCACCTTCTCGTCCGTGTCCAGCACGCCGCCGCTCACGTCGATCTGCTCCAGCAGGGTGTTCACGCTCACGGTGCGGCCCGGCACGCGGTAAACGCCCTCGGCCCGTAGCCCCCCGTGCACCTCCAGCGCCTCGCAGCACGCCTCCACCACCTTGGGCACGCACTGCGAAGACAGAGGATCACCCCCACCCCCCGCGTAGTCTTAACACGGCTGCAGGGGCAAGTGCTGTTAGCGAGTTAGGACCTATGAAGGCCGGCACGGCGCACGAGGGGGTGGGTGGCCAGCAACCACGCCCGACCGCCTTTGTCTCCCCAGTGGCGATGTTTACACACCGCACCAGGGACTTATTTGAGGCTGAGTCGACCTAGGGGAGGCCCCGGGACCGGTTCAGATAATCGTCACTGGTGTTGGCCGTGAGCGGGAATCGAACCCGGGTCGCCGGGTTTATGGAGCAGTGCGCTAACCGCTACACCACCGCACTGCGCACACACACACACAGTTGACGAGAGACGTACATATAGAGAGACACACACACAGATAGAGACACACAAACAGAATTAACCAGTAATATATACAAAGACACACACATAGTTAATGAAAAACACACACAGATAGAGAGACACACACCGAGTTAACCAGACACACACACAGAGAGAGACACACAACGTTAACCAGTAACACACACACACAGATAGAGACACACACATAGATAGAGACACACACAGATAGAGACACACACACAGATAGACACACACACACAGATAGAGACACACAGATAGACACACACACAGATAGACACACACAGATAGAGACACACACACAGATAGACACACACAGATAGAGACACACACAAATAGAGACACACACAGACAGAGAGACACACACAGATAGGCACACATACACAGATAGACACACACAGATAGACACACACACAGATAGAGACACACACAGATAGACACACACACAGATAGAAAGACACACACAGATAGACACACACAGACAGAGAGACACACACAGATAGAGACACACACAGATAGACACACACACAGATAGAGACACACACACAGATAGAGACACACACACAGACAGAGAGACACACACAGATAGAGACACACACAGATAGACACACACACAGATAGACACACACACACAGATAGAGACACACACACAGATAGAGACACACACAGATAGACACACACAGATAGAGACACACACACAGATAGAGACACACACAGATAGACACACACAGATAGAGAGACACACACAGATAGAGAGACACACACAGACAGATAGACACACACAGATAGACACACACACACAGATAGAGACACACACAGATAGAGACACACACAGATAGGGACACACACAGGCAGAGACACACACAGATAGAGACACACACACAGACAGAGAGACACACACACAGACAGAGAGACACACACAGACAGAGAGACACACACAGATAGAGAGACACACACAGATAGAGACACACACACCGACAGAGAGACACACACAGATAGAGAGACACACACAGATAGAGACACACACACAGATAGAGACACACACAGACAGAGAGACACACACAGATAGACACACACAGATAGAGACACACACACACCGACAGAGACACACACACAGACAGAGAGACACGCACAGATAGAGACACACACACAGACAGAGAGACACACACAGAAAGACACACACAGATAGAGACACACACACAGACAGAGAGACACACACAGACAGAGAGACACACACAGATAGACACACACACAGACAGAGAGACACACACAGATAGACACACACAGATAGAGACACACACACACACAGACAGAGAGACACACACACAGACAGAGAGACACACACACAGACAGAGAGACACACACAGATAGACACACACACAGATAGACACACACACACAGATAGAGACACACACACAGACAGAGAGAGACACACACAGAGAGACACACACACACACAGATAGACACACACACAGATAGACACACACACAGACAGAGAGACACACACAGATAAGAGACACACACAGAGAGACACACACACACACAGAGAGACACACAGATAGACACACACACAGACAAAGAGACACACACAGACAGAGAGACACACAGATAGACACAGACAGAGAGACACACAGATAGACACACACACAGACAGAGAGACACACAACCACACAGAGTTAACCACTGCTCGGTGTGGGTTGGCAAAGGTGGAGGTGGGGAGGGTGCATGGGGGGGGGGGTGCGGTGCGTGGGGGGGGTGCAGAAAAAAGGGGGGGGGGGCCATGGTGGCACGTGGCTGCCGCTCACCCTGGTGCGGGACTGCGGGCAGTCCTCCAGGAGCACCCTGAACGTCTGGGCGCCCTTGGTGGGGGAGGTCCGCGACTTGCGGCCGAGCCCCCCGCTCACCACGTACTGCCAGAGGCCCTTGCCGAAGCTCGACCTGCTCGAGGACGACCGGCGGGACAACGACGCTGGGAGACGCACGGGACGGGGACGCACGCAGCGCGCGGTCAAGGCCTCAAGCGCACGAAGGAGAATGTCGATCGACCGCAGGTCAGGAGGGTCGGTCGCATCGACTAGGCCGGGCGTGGTGGGGTCGAGTGTGGGTGCTCAGGCCCCTGCCGAGATGAAGAGTACAAACCTGTCAACCCCTTATCAGTGCCCTACCTTATTACAGACCAAGTCAGACCTTATTGGTCATCTTACAAAGTCCCAACACAAACAAATCGACAAAACATTTTTTTTGCCCGTATTGAAACGGCTCCGCGCCGAATGGAGCTGAAAACTCAATTTGCCTGTACAACAATAGGGGTAAACCGTATGGGTTGACAAGATTGAGAGTAGCCTCAAAATTCCCTCTCCAGCGGAGGCCCTTCCACCCAATGGCAGAACCAGGATTTTCAGGTAGGGGGGGGCAACCCCTCCAGCAATGAGAAATGCTAGAGGAGTTGTTAGTAAGGAGTTGTTAGTAAGTAAGGAGTTGTTAGTAAGTAAGGAGTTGTTAGTAAGTAAGGAGTTGTTAGTAAGTAAGGAGTTGTTAGTAAGGACTTGTTAGTAAGTAAGGAGTTGTTAGTAAGTAAGGAGTTGTTAGTAAGTAAGGAGTTGTTAGTAAGTAAGGACTTGTTAGTAAGTAAGGAGTTGTTAGTAAGTAATGAGTTGTTAGTAAGTAATGAGTTGTTAGTAAGTAAGGAGTTGTTAGTAAGGAGTTGTTAGTAAGTAAGGACTTGTTAGTAAGTAAGGAGTTGTTAGTAAGTAAGGAGTTGTTAGTAAGTAAGGAGTTGTTAGTAAGTAAGGAGTTGTTAGTAAGGACTTGTTAGTAAGTAAGGAGTTGTTAGTAAGGAGTTGTTAGTAAGTAAGGCGTTGTTGGTAAGTAAGGAGTTGTTAGTAAGTAAGGAGTTGTTAGTAAGTAAGTAGTTGTTAGTAAGTCAGGAGTTGTTAGTAAGTAAGGAGTTGTTAGTAAGGACTTGTTAGTAAGTAAGGACTTGTCCCTTGCTGTTTATTCGACGCGTGTGCGGCGATGGCGCAGCCATCGATGGAGGGTCGAATTCGAACCGCGTTGTGTGATGATCGGCATCGCTGAAGGTGTTGATGCCTTCAGAGAAGTCGTGTGCTCTGTATACGCAACTTTGCACAATTCTGCGAGTCACTTATAACCGCTTTTCCATTACTTATTGCCAATTATGGACTCAGACTATTGTCCTATCATCTCATAGAGTCCCTGGCACGTAATAATATGCTACACAGTGGCAGTGGGGGTCGCAAAATGCCGATCGGATCATTGGGGGGGCACGTGTCACCCCACCCCCCCCCCCTCCACCAGCAGTAGCATCAGCAAGAAATTTCAGCGCTCAACTTTACCTTTTTCAGAGAATTCTAACTGGGTTTTATGAGGGTTTCTTTTTTACCGTCACTGCCCTTGTTCGAGCGATAGTGACGTTTATAGCGAGGCGGTTTTTTTTTAAATTGCCCAGGAAGTGACGGCTGGGCTGGGTGAATGCTCTTGTTCGCAGCAACAATCAGCTCGACTGTTTCAGGCGTCACAAACCCCCCCCCCCCCTGTACCCCCAATAAAAACTTGAACTGTGCTTCGTTATTAACTTTGACAATGTTGCACAACCGTGTGATGTCAGCGGGGACTTGGAATGCAATGAGGGCCTTCACCCACTGTCTCCGCACAGGTGCGTGCAACGCCATCGTTCCGGCGTTCGGAATTAAAACTGACCTAAACAAAAAAAATTGTATTAACCAGGTATGGCCCACTGAGCTGTAAAGCTCTTTTTCAGAAGCGACCTGGCCACAAATGATAGTTCACCAAAGTGGCTTATGCTCATGGGTTTGATCCTGACCCTGATGCCTGCTATATATTTGGAGATTACATGTTCTCTCCGTGGTCACGTGGATTTCTCTCCGGGTCCTCCGGTTTTTCCCTCCACGTTTAGAATCAACATCACGCATTTAGAGTATTTGGCTGCTATACATTTCCACGCGATAAGCCACTTCGTTGAGCTATAATTTGTGATAGGCAGTTCGCTTCTGAAAAATAGCTATATAGCTCGGTGGTGCCGTACCTGGTAAAATAAAAAAGTTAGTTTAATTTTTTTTTTTAAATAGTTTAGTTTTCGCCAATTCCTCTTTGCTGAATGGCACAGCCGACTTTGTAAGACCGGCCGATATTATTTCAGAAACTGCGACATCGAGGGAGAGGCCGATCTAAGCTACATGACTCAGTGGGCCTTGCCTGGTAAAATGAAAACAATTGTTAACATCTTAGATTATAAACAAAGAAACAAAAAGTGAGACGGAAACGTTTCAGGGGAAAGTGAGCAGCTCCTGCGAGGGTTCCAGAGGCACGAGTGTGGTATATACGGAAGCACGTTGAACTTCTTTCGCACCGTAAGTAGCCAACCATGCTATTCGGAGGTGTGGGGGGAAGGAGTAACAAACTAAATAAATTAGTTTGTCAATCTAGACGATTTAAAAGTCCACAGCTCCAGCGGCTTCCTAATGTCGGAAGGAAGAGCGCGTTCCAGACGGCCGCAGAAGCAGCGCATCTGAACGCGCCGTGCCAGCCTATTATTCCGATGGTGTCTCGGGTGGAAGAGTCGGGGAGGCAGTTGCTCACAGGCTCGGGGGAAGACGTCGCCAGCATCCGCTTCGGGTGGGGATCTGTCGCTGCTCTGCCCCAGTGCTTGAGCCTACGCGGAGAGGGAGAGGACAAGTCGTGCCCGGTCAGTCAAGTGGCCGGCGTCGGCACGGCCAAGCGCTTGGCCCCGGTTCGCTCCAGAGGACAGCATCGCCGGGCCGCGTGATCAGACCGGGTTCTCAAGAGGGGGCGCGTCGGGCCGACGTTGGCCCAACGTGCCCTTCGCAAATGGACTCCTCCCTCCGTCCACCCGGCAAGCAGAAGCAGCGCCAGCAGCAGTGGTGGCGGCAGTTAGAAACGCAAGCAGCAGGAGCAGGAGCATCAGCAGTAACAACACCAGCAACACCAGCAGTAGCACCAACACCAGCAGTAACAACACCAGCAACACCAGCAGTAGCACCAACACCAGCAACACCAGCAGTAGCACCAGCAGTAGCACCAGCAACATCAGCAGTAACAACACCAGCAACACCAGCAGTAGCACCAACACCAGCAGTAGCACCAGCAGTAACAACACCAGCAACACCAGCAGTAGCACTAACACCAGCAGTAACAACACCAGCAACACCAGCAGTAGCACCAACACCAGCAACACCAGCAGTAACAACACCAGCAACACCAGCAGTAACAACACCAGCAACACCAGCAGTAACACCAACACCAGCAACACCAGCAGTAACACCAGCAGTAGCAACACCAGCAACACCAGCAGTAGCACCAACACCAGCAGTAACAACACCAGCAACACCAGCAGTAGCACCAGCAGTAACAACACCAGCAGTAGCACTAACACCAGCAGTAACAACACCAGCAACACCAGCAGTAGCACTAACACCAGCAGTAACAACACCAGCAACACCAGCAGTAGCACCAGCAGTAACAACACCAGCAGTAACAACACTAGCAGTAGCACCAGCAGTAGCACCAACAGTAACAACACCAGCAGTAGCACCAGCAGTAGCACCAGCACCAACACCACCAGCAGCAGCAGCAGCAGCGGCCACTACTACCGAGTCTGCGACCCCCCACTCCCCGCCAACCCCAGCGCGCCTCTCACCCGGGCCTCGTGCACGGCGAGGCCCCAGGCCAGCGCGTCGGCCTGGCCCTCGGCGTGGAAGAGGAAGTCGCGGCCGTCGTGCGTGGAGAGGCCCAGGACGTGGACGCCGCGCTGCTCGCTGGACACGACGTCGCACGTGCACGCCGCCAGGGAGATCTTCCGCGGCCGCCGCTGCCGCTGCTGCTGCCGCTTGCGAGCGCGTCCCACCGGGGGGGTGCCGCCGTGCAGCACGAGGAGCCCCGCGCTCACCTCGACGTACACCGGGGCCAGCCGGCGGCTTGGCTGCTGGAGCTTCGGAAACAAAGACACGAGTAGAGCAACGTCGCCATTGTCGTCATCATCAGCATCATCATCGTCAGCTGCAGCTGCTGGAGCTTCGGAAACAAAGACACGAGTAGAGCAACGTCGTCATTGTCGTCATCATCAGCATCGTCATCGTCTGCTGCAGCTGCTGGAGCTTCGGAAACAAAGACGCGAGTAGATCAACGTCGTCATTGTTGTCATCATCAGCATCATCATCAGCATCATCATCGTCAGCTGCTGCTGCTGGAGCTTCGTAATAAACCCACGTGTAAAGCGACATCGTTATTGTCGTCATCATCATCATCGTCAGCTGCTGCTGGAGCTTCGGAAACAAAGTCACGAGTAGAGCAACGTCGTCATTGTTGTCATCATCAGCATCATCATCGTCAGCTGCAGCTGCTGGAGCTTCGGAAACAAAGTCACGAGTAGAGCAACGTCGTCATTGTCGTCATCATCAGCATCATCATCGTCAGCTGCTGCTGCTGGAGCTTCGTAATAAACCCACGTGTAAAGCGACATCGTCATTGTCGTCATCATCAGCATCATCATCGTCAGCTGCTGCTGGTGCTGGAGCTTCGGAAACAAAGACACGAGTAGAGCAACGTCGTCATTGTCGTCATCATCAGCATCGTCATCGTCTGCTGCAGCTGCTGGAGCTTCGGAAACAAAGACACGAGTAGAGCAACGTCGCCATTGTCGTCATCATCAGCATCATCATCGTCAGCTGCAGCTGCTGGAGCTTCGGAAACAAAGACACGAGTCGAGCAACGTCGTCATTGTTGTCATCATCAGCATCATCATCGTCAGCTGCAGCTGCTGGAGCTTCGGAAACAAAGACGCGAGTAGATCAACGTCGTCATTGTTGTCATCATCAGCATCATCATCGTCAGCTGCAGCTGCTGGAGCTTCGGAAACAAAGACACGAGTAGAGCAACGTCGTCATTGTTGTCATCATCAGCATCATCATCGTCAGCTGCAGCTGCTGGAGCTTCGGAAACAAAGACACGAGTAGAGCAACGTCGTCATTGTTGTCATCATCAGCATCATCATCGTCAGCTGCAGCTGCTGGAGCTTCGGAAACAAAGACACGAGTAGAGCAACGTCGCCATTGTCGTCATCATCAGCATCATCATCGTCAGCTGCAGCTGCTGGAGCTTCGGAAACAAAGTCACGAGTAGAGCAACGTCGTCATTGTCGTCATCATCAGCATCATCATCGTCAGCTGCTGCTGGTGCTGGAGCTTCGGAAACAAAGACACGAGTAGAGCAACGTCGTCATTGTCGTCATCATCAGCATCATCATCGTCAGCTGCTGCTGGTGCTGGAGCTTCGGAAACAAAGACACGAGTAGAGCAACGTCGTCATTGTTGTCATCATCAGCATCATCATCGTCAGCTGCTGCTGCTGGAGCTTCGTAATAAACCCACGTGTAAAGCGACATCGTTATTGTCGTCATCATCATCATCGTCAGCTGCTGCTGGAGCTTCGGAAACAAAGTCACGAGTAGAGCAACGTCGTCATTGTCATCATCAGCATCATCATCGTCAGCTGCTGCTGCTGGAGCTTCGTAATAAACCCACGTGTAAAGCGACATCGTTATTGTCGTCATCAGCTGCTTCTGGAGCTTATAAACAAACCACAAGTGAAGAGCAACGTCCTTATTGTAGTCACATGTTACGCCTGAGTGTTGAATGTATATACTGTATGTTCAACTTCTTTTCGCACCGTATGTAGCCAACCGCGCGAATATCGGAGGCGCAATCAGCTGCTTGAGCTTTGAAACAAGCCACGTGTAGAGCGACATCGTCGTTCTTGTCATTAGCACGGTTGGCTCTCGTACGGTGCGAAAGAAGTTCAACACACGCAAGTAGATTTCCAGCTCCGCTGGTTTTTCATCCGCAGCTGACTCCACGCCAGAGTGAAACTTCGCTAAGAGGGGACGAGACTTTGAGAGCCATCCTGTCGCTCCAACGGATGTCACCGCAAAGCCCCCCCCCCCCCCCCCAAAAACCCGAGTAAAATGCATGAAGGCCACAACAACACGTTGTTTTTCCTGTGTAGAATGGGGGGGGGGGGGGGGGGTGGTATAGAATGCGAAATCTCTTTTTGTTATTCTTGGTTCTTTAGGGAAAGTCACGTAGAAGGGAAATAATAAAGATTAAAAATTTATTTCATTATTTCCCTTCTACGTGACTTTACCGAAAGAACCTAGAATATGAATCCCTGCAGTCACGAAAGCTTTAAATCAATGTGAGCTACGCGTGCGTGTCAACACGCGTGTGAGTCAGGAGCGCTGACGCAGTGGTTATCGGTGGCCACCCTCCCGGCCGCGGCTAACATCAGCGGCGAGTGACATCGTCTTCATGGCCCGAGAAACCCACGTCCTTCTTCACGAGCCAGCGACTCTCTAGTGGGGTGAAGTACGGTCACAACAACAACAACACAACAACACCCCACAACCGACACGGAGTGGGGCGGCCTTCATCCAGCAGTGGATTAGCAAAGGTGCTGTGAGTTATACTAGAGTTGCTGTATTCGCCTATTTTTCGTGTGTCCGTGAATTTCTCACAAGCGTGGTGGTCATCGAGCAAACCTACATAACCCGCCCACGGATATCATCCGAGCCCTCCTCGATCTGTGCACAAAGCCGCTCCCTTAAAATGACATTTCATATTAAAATGGCATTTCATAAGTTCGCCAACTCGTCCGGTCCGCCACGCGAACACGCACCAGTGATGGTTAATGGTTGACTACATGAATCACCCCTCATCCCTGCTTCGATTGAAGGGTTACCAGCAAAGCACACAGCCGATAGCAATCGTCCAGGAGACGACCCCGGTCTGGCCCGTAGCCAATACACAAGTCCGTGCGTGCGCGGTGTGACTCGCAGAGATTAGCATCGCCCACCCGCATTACATGAGAGGTAGGGATGGGTCCGTCCATAAATGACGTCACGCACCTAGCGGGGGGGCGGGGGGGGGGCGGTCAGACATTTGTGACGAGGAGGTGGGGGGGGTTTAGAAATGTGACGTCACATCAAAATGCGCAACTTTAAATAAATATAGAATTGTTATAACAACACTAATTGGTATAACAACACTCATACAACATCAGAGTGCAGCGCCACATTAAATACGCACTACAATGACAATAGTTTAAAGCGATTTGAAGCATGTTTTGTTTTCAAAATGGAAATATGTTTTTTTATTTGGGGGGGGGGGGGGTGGGGGCAGAGCTTTGTGACATCATATCTGAGTGGGGGTCTGACTTTTTGTGACGCCGTGTGACGAGGGGGGGGGGGGTAAAACATCGTCCAAAATCGCGTGACGTCATTTATGAACGGCCCCTCAATGGGACCACCTTAACCGCTCGCCCCGAGTAGGGGGAGGGTGGGGGGGGCACAGGAGGGAGAGTTGGGACGAGCGAGGAAAGGGGATCGGGGCTTTTGCGAGGCGACTCTCCGGGCGTGCACAAATCTCCTCCCCATGACGCGCTGGATGTAAATCACCAGCGAAATGTCACTGTGCTCAAATCGTAAATGTTGTGGATTTACTCTCCAACACACCGGTGGGCTGAAGCAGTCGCCTAACTGGCACGCTTTGCTCACATGACAAACCATACCTGTCAGCTGCGTCGGGTGGTGGCGGGTTAACGACACATTTATTACTTGCACAATCCAACCCCAAAAATAAAAACTTGATTATGAGTTATTACGAGCGCGTTGATGTGTTTAAAAAAAAAAACACCCAACAGGAACGACCAGGCGTCAAGAACTTCTCTTACACAGGCGGCGTTAAGTCCATCATCCCACAGCGATGTATAAGATGTCTCTCGCTGTGTGGAGTAGTTAACAGCGGCTGTATTCCCCTGTGGACAGACTCGGTCCCACCAGAGGAATGCGTAATGTCCACCGCTGGCTCAGGGCTGTGAACAGGAGGCGAGCACCGCCTCGATGCGCGTGTGCAGGAAGGGATTCAGTTTTGAGAGGTTTTTTTTAAAAAAAAATTTGTAGTCCTCCCCCCGTACCTCCGATTAGCGCGGTTGGCTACGTACGGTGCGAAAGAAGTTCACCAGTTCAGGCCACCGGCGGCGGGCACGTGCTGGCCGGGACGCCACAGAGCAGCGGTGGGCAACCTGCGTCGCGTGGAGACCCACGTGGTGGCCTGGTCTCGGTGTGTCTAGGGGTGACGCGTTGGGTGTGGAGTTGGGGTGGGTGGGGTCACGATGAGTGTACGAGCAACGATGTCGAGCCTGTGGCCCGCCGAGGTGAAGGAGGGCCGCTCACGTGGCCACCGTTGACTTCACGAGTGAAGCAGAGGAAGACCTCGCAGAGTTAGTGGCCTTGACGACGACGAAGAGATGTGGCCGCTGCTTGAGCCACGTCGACACAAGACAGAGGAGAGTGCAAACCGATGACGAAATGTGCTTCGGACGCCTACGACGGGGCTGCCCGCGCCATGGATCACGATGATGATGATGATGCGAAGCAGAGGCACGCGCAGGGACCCACCTTGCCATCGTGCGTGTGGCAGTAACGCAGCCAGCCCTGCTTGATGGGCATGGTGGGCGAGAGCTCCCTGCATGGGGAGGTCGAGGCGCTGCTGAACTCCTCGCCCCATACATCCCTCGTGGGCGTCGTGTCTTTAGTGGGAAAAAAAATAGGGCAGAGGAACGCGCGCGCAATGATTAATTAGCCCAATGGGAAGCGGCTGGGAAAGGGGGAGAGTTGCGGGGGTTGCCGTTAGCGAGCGCCTATTAAGGCAAGAGACGTCGCCACGGTGGTTGTAACGGTGAGCAGCAATCCGGAGATTGAGCAGTTCGATCGATCTCCTGGCGGCTGCTAGTTGAAACGATGGGAGCCACGATTCCTAACCTAACCCCACTGCCTCTGTCAGCGGTACAAATGTGTGCGCGCAAAGAGTTAGTCGATCGGAAGTTTGCGTATGGTGGGGTGAAGTGTGAGCACTCCCACCTCCTCTAAGATGTCTGGCCAGTGTGAAAGACGAGGCCAAGTAACCTCTGAGAAGCGGATCTTCAGTGGAGGCCTTTCCACCAGAAGTGTTGTCATGCAGAGCCGCCCTTTAATGAAGGCGAGAACGGTACTCGAAGGGGTCGTGTAAGACAGCCTTTGTTTCCCCAGTGCAGTTGTTTCTCCATCAGGTAATTATTAAAGGCAAGGGTCAATATTTGAGTGAGTCAGGACAGGGTCGTGTAAACTCTGGCCAATGATTGCCACTGTAAATTGAATCCAGGCTGTCTGCATTGTAAGGCAGGCATGAATAATTACACACACATACACCCAACTATTTTATGTACATATGCATGTAGCCAACCATGCGAATCGGAGGTGCAAGACAAAGACAAATATAGTCCAAGAGACTGTTGGGGCAAGTGCTGTTAGCGATCACCTATGAAGGCCAGCACCACGCCCGACCGCCTTTGTCTCCCCAGTGGCGATGTTTACACCGCCCCAGGTACTCATTTGAGGCTGAGTCGACCTAGGGGAGAACCAGGACCGGTTCAAATAATCGTCACCGGTGCTGGCCGTGAGAGGGAATCGAACTCTGGTCGCCGGGTTCGAAGCGCAGCGTAGCGCTAACCGCTGCACCACCGCTCGGACGTGCCGGAGGGAGTACAACATACTCAACACAAAAAGCAGTTCTAAATAATTGAGTTATCATTCTACGTTTAAAAGTGCATCGCTCCAGTTGCTTCCTAATATCGGAAGGCACAGAGCGTTCCAGACGGCTGTAGACGAAAATCTGAAAGCGCGCGATGCAGTGGCCGTCTTTGTTTGACGGGCAGCCAAAAGCCACTAAAAGTTGGTCATGACATCACTACATAGCCTGTGCCAGGCTTGGTGCAAACTGAAGTTCACAGCACAGAAGCAGGTATTATGAGCTACGGGTTATCGGAGCTCATTGATGGAACCTGTCAAAAAATCTCATTGCAAAGGACTCTCCTGAAAATGAGACCTGAGACTCGGTGACCCTTTGCTGGATAAATGTTTTGGCATTTTTCTTGGCCTGGAATAAAACTCAGGTCGCTGGGTTCACAGTCCGGTGCACTAACCGCCGCAATCCACAAGAGTACCATAACGAGACAAAATATGAACATGATTTATATTATGATTGTTTTAATGTGCATGTGTGTGTGTGCGGTAGTGTAGCGGTTAGCGCGCTGCGCTACGAACCCGGCGAACCGAGATTGATTCCCGCTCACGGCCAACACCAGTGGCGATTATATGAACCGGTCCTGGGACCTCCCCTAGGTCGACTCAGCCTCAAACGAGTAGCTGGTGCGATGTGTAGTAAACATCGCCACTGGGGATACAAAGGCGGCCGGGCGTGGCGCTGGCCACCCACCCCCTCGTGTGCCGTGCCGGCCTTCATAGGTGCTTGCTAACAGCACTTGCCCCAACAGCCTGTGAAGTCTATACGGGGGATCTTTGTCTTTTGTGTGTTTGTCAGTGGGGAGCGGTAGTGCAAAGGTTAACGCGCTGTACTACGAACCTGGTGACCGGAGTTCTATTTCATCTTTCGGCCAACACCCAGTGACGATTATCTGGACCGGTCCTGGGCCTCTCCTAGGTCCACTCAGCCTAAAATGAGTAACTGCTGCGGTGTGAAGCATCACCACTGGGGAGACAAAGGCGGCCGGGCGTGGTTGCTGGCCACCCACCCACCCCCTCGTGTACCCGTGCCGGGCTTCATAGGTGCTGCTACTCGCTAACAGCACTTGCCCCAATAGTCTGTCAAGGCTACACGGGTGACACCATAATAGCCATTTTCTGTACTTTTGAGGCATAAGCAATTAAAAAATAACACTTACTACCCGGGAAAAAAAAAATCGTGTTACATAGCGCGTGATCTTTGTCTCATTGTCAACGCCCCGTGAGGCCGGCCGGTTCGCCAACTCACCGTCGCAGGGGCCGCAGATCGAACGATCGGCGGACGTGGGCGTCGAGGCGAAGCCGCCCCCGTCCACGGCCGCCGCCGCCTCTCCGGCCCGGCGAGTCGCACCGCCCGGCGGGCCGCCGCCGCCGCCCTTGGCGCCGTCGCCGTCCGGCTCCGACAGCGACTCGAGGTTCAGGGAGAGCACGCCGGGGTCGGGCCGCGCCGCCGGCAAAGGGGAACCGCGCAACCCCTCCGAGCTGGGGCTCTCGGGCCATGAGCCGCCACCGCCGTCGTCGTTGTCGTCGTCGTTGTCGTCATCGTTGTCGTCATCGTTGTCGTCATCGTTGTCATCATCGTTGTCGTCGCCGCCGCCGTCGTCGTCGTTGTCGTCGTCATCGGCGGCAGCCGCGCGCGGCACGCTCAGCCGTTCTGGTCTCAGCACCCAGATGGGCGACTGCGGTGCGTCCTCCTCGCCGCCGCGGTTCCGACCGTCGCTGAGCAGGCGAAGGCTCGGAGGGGGCTGGACGGCGCGGGGTGACTCGTCGGCGTGTCCGCCGAGGCCCCCGTCCGGGCCGTTGCTGGCGATGACGGGAGACGACATCGTCGGGATGCTCGGTGCGCGTAGCGACGACGCCGTGTGGGATGTTCGAGCCGGCCGAGATCGGTCGATGGCTCACTGTGGGCTCCGGACGATAGATCTACACGGGAAGAACGCACGCGGAAGAAGGTAGCTCAGTGAAATGCGAGACATTTCAAAATGGCACGCAAAAACTGACTCAAGGGAACCTATTAGCTTATCTAATGACACATTAGCTTATCGCCCGTATATAAATGATTTACAGAAATCATTGTGAATAGAATAACAGAACATTTAGAGGCCAAGCAACCAAGGGAGCAAACTGAGTTAAATACAAATTATCTACCTTCGACCGCATACACATTATTGATCGGATTCTGGAAAGACTTGTGATTATCAAATAGCATTATTTTTGGCTTTTGCAGATTATGAAAATATATATCCAAGCTCTCACAAGCCAAGGGCCTCGATAAAATTATAGCTGGTATTTTTTTGTTTGTTACAAAAATGTAACAGCCACACTGAGATGGCACCTCCGACTCGGCACGGTGAGCTACGCACGGTGGCAAAGAGATTCAACATACACACATACGTACCGAAAGAAGTTCAGTAAACACGTACCTAAATCAAGAATGTTACCAAATAAACACTGGGAGAGGGGAGTCGTGCACGGCGCTTTCGCTCAAATTGGCCGTGGCACCGTTACAAAGGCGTTCAAGTCAAAAGGCACAGTTTGGAGCAAACACACTAAGCCGTCCCAGATACGTTGGCGACACAGACACCATCACGACCAATAAAAATGAACTTCGAGAAATGTGGTCGAAGATTTTCATGAAATAAGGCTGCAAAGTGGGGCTCAAGGTCAAATTATCAAACTTTTTTCTTTTTATTTCGCCAGGTCAGGCCAGCTGAGCTACGGAGCCTTTTTTCAGAAGCCACCTGGCCATCACAAAACATGGCTAAACGACGTGGCTTCTCACGTGGAAATGTATAGCAGCCAAATACTCTAAACGCATGTTTAATCTAAATGTGGATGAAAACCCCCAGGGAAGAACCCCACCCCCCCCCACCCCCCCCCACCCCCCCCCACCCCCCCCCACCCCCCCCCACCCCCCCCCCACCCCCCCCCACCCCCCCCCCACCCCCCCCACCCCCCCCACGTGACCACGGGTAGAGAGATACACGCAAACTCCAAATATACAGGCATCAGGGTCGGGATCGAACTCATAACCACCAGTATAGCAGGTGAAGGAGTTAACATCCTGTCACCGTGGCGAGTCATGCACAACGGACACATTCAGAAAACCCATCCGAGCATGTGTGTACCTCGGGCAGTTATCGGAGGTGAGCCCGGAACCAAACTATTGAAAGAAAGTTGTGGACACGAGCAGGCTGTATTTGATTTGGAAAGGCGAACTTGATCATGAAAAGCAACATGCCGACATGGCTAAGTAAATCGTTCAATCTTGTTTTGAAGCTTTCGTGACTGCAGGAATCCATACTCTTTGGTACTTTCGGTAAAGTCACGTAGGTACTTTTCCAAAAGAACCAAAGAGTAGGCATATAGTTGTATACGATATATTCAGTGCCCCGAAAATTACTTGCTTTAACGTACGGCTCAGAAACCTGGACAAACTGGTGAAGATAATGAAACAACAGCTTCGATTTAAAGCTTTCGTGACTGCAAGGATTCATCTTCTTTGGTTCTTTCGGTAAAGTCACGTAGAATGAGAATAAAATAATAAATTGATAAAATAAAATAACACAATAAAATTCTCACGACGTTTCGGTCGTGAGAAAATTCTCACGACGTTTCTGTCGTGAGAATTTTATTGTGTTATTTTATTTTATCAATTTATTATTTTATTCTCATTCTACGTGACTTTACCGAAAGAACCAAAGAAGATGAAACAACAGCTGGCAAGTAACAAAGAGAAAGCACGGATAGGTGCTTGGCTTACAAACACACGGATTCGACGAGATTCACAAACTGGAGACCGGTGATCGAGACTAAGGATTGAATAGGTTGCATTCTGGCCACATGAATATACATCAAAACAAAGATACCCCCCCCTCCCCCAAATAGCCATTACAGACTGTTGAGACAAATGCTGTTAGTGAATGGCACCAACGAAGGCCGGAAGGGCACACGAGGACGTGGGTGGCCAGCACCACGCCCGGCCACCTTTGTCTCCCTAGTGGCGATGTTTACTACACACCGCGATAACCGCTGCGTCACCGCTCCCCACATATACGGCAGAGACAAATATCCCCCGTATAGCTTTACACAGAGTGCTGGGGCAAGTGCACGCGCACAGACGCACGTACGTATGTGTAAGCAGTCAACGCACGAGCCTACCGACACAGAAAGAGAGAATGATCGTCTAAGTTTAAAGCCGAATGTTGTTGGAACGAGTGCTGTTTGCGAGCGTCTCTTGAGTGCCGACACGGCACAGAGGTGACAGGAGCAGCACACCCGGCTGGACTTTGCTTCAAAGAGGCTTTTGTAATACAGTGCATACCGCACTAGGTACTCATTTAAGGTTAAGCAAACTTTAGGGAGGGCCAGGTTATTGTATAAACCTTACTTCATCATCATCATCATCAGCCAAACCACTGCTGTATGAATGCCTCCCTGTGCAAGCTGCTGTGCTGCAAAGTAAAGTTCGCTCGGGCAGAACGAATCGCTTAGAAGGAACGATGACCGCTGGTCGACATCAATGTGGGAGTCCCAGCCGAGGTTTTTTTTTTGGAACTATTTTCCTTTTATTTTACCAGGTAAGGCCCACTGAACTATATAGCTCTTTTTCGGAAGCGACCTGGTTATCACAAAATGATACCTCAACGAAGTGGCTTATCACGTGGACATTTAAAGCAGCCAAATACAGTCTAAATGCGTGTTTCTAAATGTGGAGGGAAAAACCGGAGGACCCGGAGAAAAATCCACGCGACCACTGGGAGAACATGCAAACTCCAAATACACGGGCGTCAGGGTTGGGATCAAACCCTTGACCTCCTGTATACCGGGCGAGGCAGTTAACATCTCGCCACCATATCATAAATGGAACGCGTCAAGAGGACCGCATCAAGAGGACCGCGTCCACGGAGGAGATGGAGCGATGAATTTAGATTTCGTGCATATGCTGGGTGGAGTAATACATTGCAGGTTCGAGAAGGATACACCGTACCACTCGCGTGTGTCTGTTTAAATACTGTACACAAAACAACAACAACAACCGATTACAATTTGACGACAAGCAGCGGTGACGGCACTAGAGCACCTGTGCCAGGCTAGGTGCACTTTGTGGCCACTTGGATGAGTAAAGGCTCACCGGCAAGGAGGCGTTATGGATTAAGAGACTTAAAAAATGCATAAAAAACTAAAAACATTAAAATAGAAGAATATCCCCATTTTGACGTTATGTATGCATGTCCTTATGTTGAACATCTTTCACACCGCACATAGCCGACCGTGAAAATCGGAGGTGCGGGGGGGGGAGAACCAAAAACAACACACAAAGGTGTGCAGCACTGCATTTATATATATTAAAAAAGCTCTCAACCTGGTCCAGACCACCAGTTCAAAAGAACTGAACGTGTGGCCGTTTTGTCGTTGAGAGGCCACCCAACTCGTAGAGCCCAGACAATGTGGCCACCCCAACATTTCATTTTTTCGCCATTTACGGATTTGTCCCCGTTTTGGCGCGAAGCTTTGGCGTGAGCACGTGGCTGATGTTGAGCACCTTTCGGATGGCACACATGATAATAATAATAAAACTATGTAGAGTTGCACCATGTCGCATCGACCTTGGGGAGGTCCAGGACTGGTGCGGATGCCACCAGCCACTGCCATTGGCCAATGATCGAACCCGGGGCGGCGAGGATTTGTACAGCAGTGTGAGACCCAACGCACCACTGCTTCCCACAAAGACAAAGATCCCCCTCATAGCCTTTACATACTTTTGGGGTAGGTGCTTTTAGCGAGCACCGATGAAGCCTGCAATGGCACACAAGGAGTTGGGTGGCCAGCAACGACGCCCGACCGCCTTTGTCTCCCCCAGTGGCGATGTTTTGCACACCGCACCAGGTACTGAATTGAGATTGAGCAGACCTAGGCGAGGCCCAGTACCGGTTCAGATAATCGTCACTGGTTTTGGCCGTGAGCGGGAATCCAACTGGGGTCACCGGGTTCGTAGTGTGGCGTGCTATCCCGCGACACTGAGCACGCACACACACACAGACACACAAAAATGATTTCTTATAATTGGTAAAATATCTCAATCTCACCTCGACTCCGGCACTTGATTTGTGGTTGGATGATTCCCTCGGTCACTTTGTCACAATGTCCACGGGACTTCTTCGTGTGGTTACCATCGTCACCCCGTCGTCAATGCACATTGCTCTGCACGGCTCATATATATAGTACCGATGGGTATCCTGTATACCTGTGTATCGAGGGAGTGGGTTTGGGGGACACACGTTCCAAGATTCAAATACATTCTTTTGCTTCTTGTAAAAAAAAAGCAGGTTTTTTTTTTCTCGCTGAGCACGTTGACAAGGTCGATTGGACGGGACGCCAGCGGAATTGTATCGTTCGTGAACAAACTGGAAACGTCCCAGTGACGTTTAATTTTGTCTTCATTTTCACGCTGGGGCCGGTGGCGTCATCTCCATCGTCGTGTCCGAAAGCAAACGCAAGTCAAACGAAGATAGGCGTTGGTGGAAATTGTGCATTCCGATGGCGCAGACGGAAAGTGGAGAATCTCATGATGAAGCTCGTTTTCACAGATGGACAGGCCTTCATTAGGAAGTGGATTGATCATGGCTGATTATAATGATCATCATCATGATAATGGGACAGGGATCACAACACTTCTTAAAGGCTGAGTGTCCCAGTCTGTCAAAGATAAGTTAGAAGCTTCAATGGTAAAAGACTTTAAATTCTGACACGTCACGAGTGGTGTCACAGCAGTGCAGTTCCAGTACAGTACATCTACTTAAAGTTGTCACTTGCAGTGACTTGTTTAAGAGTGCATTCCTGAAAGTCACTTTAAAGTTGTTTTTTTCATCATTAACGAAGCTCCAAACTCACGTTAGCCAAGCCCGACTCAAACACCCAATATTGCGTATCAATATTTTCACATTTCTTCACATTTATTTTGTTTTATCATTGGACGTGGAATGTGCTCCAGCCACAGGGACGTGGAAAGTCAACATGCTATCTATCTACAGCAGCCAGTCTCTCTCTCTATATATATAACTTGCCTGGTGATGCGCACCACTTAGGCGGCGTGCATTCTACCAACCCTTGAGAAATGATCACGATGCCGATCATCTGATTTTACACACACGCGGAACAATGTCGGAGCCAAGATTTTCAGGTAGGGGGGGGGGGAACAACCTCTCCAGCAATGAAAAATGATAGAGTTGTTAGTAAGTAAGGACTTGTTAGTAAGTAAGGAGTTGTTAGTAAGGAGTTGTTAGTAAGTAAGGGCTTGTTAGTAAGTAAGGAGTTGTTAGTAAGTAAGGACTTGTCCCTTGCTGTTTATTCGACGCATGTGCGGCGATGGCGCAGCCATCGATGGAGGGTCGAATTCGAACCGCGTTGTGTGATGATCGGCATCGCGCTCGCTGAAGGTGTTGATGCCTTCAGGGAAGTCGTGTGCTCTGTATACGCAACTGCGCACAATTCTGTGAGTCACTTATAACTGCTTTGCCGTTACTTATTGCCAATTATGGACTCAGACTATTGTCCTATCATCTCATGGAGTCCCTGGCACGTAATAATATGCTACACAGTGGCAGTGGGGGTCGCAAAATGCCGATGTATTACTAATAAACCCCATTGAAATCCCTAATTTCGATCGGATCATTGGGCGGGGTGGGGGGCACGTGCCACCCCACCCCCACTGGCTCCGCCAGTGTGGCGGAATGTTCAAGTGGAGGAGCCCGTGCGTGATGGCACTGCAAGCCAGTACTCAGCGGCAGGCCATGGTTGATGGATTGTGTAGATTGCATCGTGTGCCTGCAAGACGCACGAACCTGCTGCCTGGGCTGTGAAGCATGCAGATATGTGGGTTGCAGCAAATGAACCTTATGGCGGGACCCCGGGATCCCATAAGTCCCCGGCTCTCGCATAAACTGCGTAGCGACGTCATTTTTTGTCTATATTCTTCATTCTTTCGGAAAAGTCACGTAAATATAAAACAAAAAAAAGCTAAAAATAAAATAAAAATAATAAGATAAGTAATAAATTTAAAATAACTAAAGCAAAAAACCCACGACGTTTCGATCGCAACACAAGCGGCCTTCATCAGAAACAATCTAATGGAACATTGAGAGCCAACAATTTACGATGCATACTTTAAAACAGGTACTGTGCGTGTGTGTGTGCATATATGCAAACACACACACACACCCATGGCAGGACTTTACGATTTATCGTACGAGGATTACGTTTCATTTTCCGTGGCAAATATCTTGGGGAGTTGCTTCATTTCGTACAGCAAAAACAAAGATCTCTCGTATAGCCTGTAACAGCCTGTTGGGGCAAGTGCTGTTTAGCGAGTGGCACCTATGAAGTCTGGAACGATTTCGCGTGGGTGGACAGCACCACGCCCGGCCGCCTTTGTCTCCTCGGTGGCGATGTTTACTACACACCGCACCGGCTACTCATTTTAGGCTGAGTCGACCTAGGGGGAAGCCCAGGACCGGTTCAGATAATCGTCACCGGTGTTGGTCGTGAGCGGGAATCGAACCCGGGTCGCCGGGTTCGTAGCGCAGCTTAGCGCTAACCGCTAGGCCACCGCTCCCCACGTATATCTTGGGAAGTTCGCACGCACGCACACAACACACGCGCGAGTCGATCTGTATCACAGTCGCAGGGCAATCGCGGTCACCATTCAATGCTGGAGAAGTCACTTACCATTGGCTCATGAAAGGCTCCTTGAACTTTAGGCGCACGCTCTCCCACCTGTGGCAGCTTCAATTAGCCGTGACTGCCCAGTTGAGGTGCGTCTCCATCCAACCTCTTGCCTGCGTTTCCTCCTCGGTGGACGCGCAAGAGTACACCCGGTCGCCTTGTGTGTTGCGTTGCGTGCGTGCGTGTGAGCGTGTCCCCGCGTCGCGCCTCGCTTCGTAACCGCTTCCAGCTGCTGGCACCTTGACTGGGGCAAGCCGTGTGTTGGTGGGATTACAGGAGGCGGGGGGGGGGGGCTAAAGTGCTCACTGTGACTGCATCACACCCGAGGTGCGCACGCGGGGAATTACCCCGAGCAACGTCATCCGCGTTGTGAATGGGGGTTGTTGACGTTTCAATAAGAAAAAAAAGTAAAACTATTGTGGGCGCGTGTGTGCGCTGTTGTATTCATAAAATTAATCACTGTTTGCTGTACAACTGCAGGTAGGTGGGGGGGGTTAATGTTTGCCCGAGTCACCGCCGGTGTAAAGGAGCGTCTCCGACGTTTTGCTAATCGCCAGAACAAAAGCGGCGGCGGTGGTCACCGCATCGCGCGGCCCTTTCAAGAAGCGCTTCTGCGGCCGTCTGGAACGCTCTTCCCTTCCGATATTAGGAAGCCGCGGGAACCGTGGTGCACTTTTAAATCGCCTAGATTGAAAACGAATATTCTATAGAATTGCTTTTTTTTGCGTTAAGTTTGTTGTCCTTCCCCCGCAGCTCCGATTAGCGCGGTTGGCTACGTACGATGCGTAAGAAGTTGAACATACACACACACACAAAGGAGGCACTTTCCACTTGACGAGAGGCAGCTCGCAGAGATCGCTCAAGTCGGGACCGTGTCACGTGTGCGTGTAATCATAATTATAACGACAATTTCGATAGCGTCCCAACAAGGCAAGCCATTCTTACAAGGGCGTAGGACAAACAACAACAACAACACGAAGTCAATCCATTCCAACCAGAATGAGATGGAGTTTTGAATAGATACCCGAACGTCGACAGTACGTTGCGCACGCTATAAAACTAAAACTATTGTTTTTTTTTTTTACCGGGTAAGGCAAACTGAGCTATACGGCTATTTTGCAAAAGCGACCTGGCCACAAATGATAGCTCAATGAAGTGGCTTATAATGTTGGACATGTATAGCAGCCAAATGCTAGAAATGCGTGGTGTTGATTTTAAATGTGGAGGGAAACACCCGGAGGACCCGGAGAAAAATCCACGCGACCACGGAGAGAGAGTTCACCGCAAACTCCAAATATACAGCAGCAACAGGCGTCAGGGTCGGGATCGAACCCACGACCTCCTGTACACCGAGCGAGGAAGTTAACATCTCATAGCCACTGTGATGATGATGATGATGAGAGTGAGACACGCAGACTACAAATATACAGAGGCAGACGTCAGGTCGGGATCTAACCCACGACCTCCTGCACACCAGGCGAGGTAGTCAACATCTCCTAGCCACCGTGATGATGATGATGATAGAGGGAGACACGCAAACTCCAAATATACAGCAGCAGCAGGCGTCAGGGTCGGGATCGAACCCACGACCTCCTGTACACCGGGCGAGGTAGTTAACATCTCATAGCCACTGTGATGATGATGATGAGAGTGAGACACGCAGACTACAAATATACAGAGGCAGACGTCAGGGTCGGGATCGAACCCACGACCTCATGTACACCGGGCGAGGTAGTTAACATCTCCTAGCCAGCATGATGATGATGATGAGAGAGAGACACCGTAAACTCAAAATATACAGCAGCAGGCGTCAGGGTCGGGATCGAACCCACGACCTCCTGTACATGGGGAGAGGTAGTTAACATCTCCTAGCCACCGTGGCGCCCCCACACACAGGAGACAACGCCGCACGGTCCAGTCCACACGTATGCTCATGTCGCCGGCGATGCAGAACGTCGTCGTAAAACAATCAATGAAGACGAAAGATGCTCGAATAGCTTTGAGAGCTCATCGAACGGCAAGCGGCTATCTTGTATCCAAGCCTGGTCTGTAGATTATAGCAGCAATGAAACTTCAGCACTTGCAGAATGTTATTTCTACAATGACACTTAAATTTTAGTTCCCAGGTAAAGCCCACTCAGCAATTAGATACTTTTTATATGCCAATTTAAAAAGTGGTGATCAGAAAATGTTTATTAGAAATTTAATGGACATGTCCCATGGTGTTAAAAGTGCAGTCTCCGACTGTATCTGTCCGGCCTTTTTTCATTTCTTTAGAACTGCTTTATATGTTTATTTTGTTGTCCTGCGCCCCCGCACCTTCCATTAACAAGGTTGGCTACGTACGGTGCGATAGAAGTTTAACATACATACATTGCCTCTATGTGCTAGGAAGGACAATTTCCTAAATGTCTGCCGATTGTACATACAATACATATGAATGCAATATTTTTTAACGAATGTGTTGAGTTTTTACTTTATTTTACATCAAACCTTCTATTCTTACGACACGCATTGCTTAAATGTTTAAATTCAGTTACATTAATCCTGCTATTTTAGCCGGGGGTTTCCCCACTCCGCCTACCCACGACGTCGGTTTTACAATAAATGCCCACGTATTTTCTAAACAAACAAATAAGGTTTTGTATTCTTGGTTCTTTCGGTAAAGTCACGTAGAAGAAAACAATAAAATAATAAAAATATATTCATATTCTTGGTTCTTTCGGTAAAGTCACGTGACTTTACCGAAAGAACCAAGAATATGAATCCCTGCAGTCACGAAAGCTTTAAATAAAAAAAATCAGGTTTTACCATTGAGTGTTAAGGACACGAAGCAATGGCAAATGAAACAACCTGGAGACTGACCCGCTACAGGATCGTCAACTGTTGCTCTACATTCACAGAATACCAGAATGCAAGGCACGCATACCTCTACACCGCACTGACAATGCATCAAAGTGAGTAGGGAGATCGTGCCGGACTAAAATTGTCTCTCTCTGAAATTATTATTAGACACACTTCGCCTGGCAAATGTACAAAGGCTTCAGAAAAAAAAACAGAATTTAAAACCGGCTGTATCAGCTGCATAGCAAGTCGGGGGTTCATTCATTCATCGAGTGGCGTTGACTTAAATCTCGTAAAAACCTCAATTTGCACGCGTGAGATTTGTGTTCATTACAATTGGCTCCCGTGACTCATGCAAAGTCTCTTAATTTCCACGACACCATGCACCGCAATGTCAAGTGAATAATTGGAACAAAATAATTGCTCTGAATCGCACAAATCCGTGGCGTCACGGGAGGGTATTGGAGTGTCGATCGTTGTACGTCGAATAGGTTTAATTGTAACAAAGGAAATCCAGGGCCGGATTAAGGTTCTTGTAAGGCCCCAGGCACTGCTGTTTCGTAGGCCTTCAGTGATAACTCTTTACAGCTGGCACTGCTGCTGCTGCCCAATGTTACTACCGCCGCTATCACTCCGCTCGTTTCTCATGCGGTACCTGGTCCAGCCGCTGGATAGATGTCGTTACTGCTGACACGTTCACTATTTAGTCTGTGCCCTCATTCGATGGAAGCGTGCTGTGTGCCGCAGATAAACAGATTTCATTTGAAATTTATTGAAAGAAAAAAACAAGGTAAGCCTAAAAATAAACTAAGCTAAAATTTCTTCAACTATTTTTTTTCAACGAATTGTGAAGGGGAGCGTTCTTTTTTTTCCATCAACCAGAGGACAACGCCACCTTGTCTTCCCTTGCACTCCTCTATAATTGAGAATGAGATTGTGCGAAAAACACCATTTGAAGATGTTATTGCAAATTTTGCGATGAAAACAATCTCGAAAAGTCCTCATGTATCTCACCTTGTGAAAAAAAACGATTCACATGACTCCGCCTCTTTGTGTATACACTGCGCCTATCCTTGCGATATAAATATATTTATTTAAGAAGATATCTTGGTTAAAAAATGTAGCATACAAACAACAAAATACATAAAATTTTGATTTAAAGCTTTCGTGACTGCAGTAATTCATATTCTTAGTTTTTTCGGTAAAGTCACGTTGAAGAGAAACAACAAAATAACAAAATATATATAAAACAATAAAAAAAAAATTCTCACGACGTTTCGACCATAACTCAAACGGTTATCATCAGGTGTGATGATGATCATCAGGTGTGATGATGACCGTTTGAGTTATGGTCGAAACGTCGTGAGAATTTTTTATTGTTTTATATATATTTTGTTATTTTGTTGTTTCTCTTCAACGTGACTTTACCGAAAAAACTAAGAATATAAACAAAATACATGATTAAAAAAATGTCATAGGCTCATTAGTTTTTGTAGGCCCTCAGCAGTGCCTACTGTACCTGTTAGATAATACTGCCCTGAGGAATTCCCTCTTCAGAGTAAATGTACCTGTATACAGAATTTGCCAAGTAATTACAATCGACAAACTTGGCTTGAAAAGCCAGATATTTTAGAAACTAGATGATAAGACTGGAACACTGCAGTTGGTTATGATTTACACTTTTAGTTAGGAGCCTATTAAACAAAAATATAATATTTCTTTAGCAGTGATGCCCAAGCACAGATACAAAAAAAAGTCACCACTTTTATCATGATCGCTATTAGAACGTAAAGACTGCATACAGGAATACAACGACCAAGCAGACACAAAAAAACGAAACTATTTTACCTGGCAAAGCCCACTGAGCTATCTGGTCTCAAATAACTCGACGAAGTAGCCTATCATGTGGAAATGTATTGCAGCAAAATACTCTAAAAGCGTGATGTTGATTTTAAATGTGGAGGGGAAAACCGGAGGACCTGGAGAAAAATCCACGCGACCACGGGGGCAGAGACATGCAATCTCGATATTATACAGGCGTCAGGGTCACGAATCGAACCCACGACCTCTTTCATACCAGGCAAGGGATGTCTCGCCACCGCGGCACCCCAATATATGCGTACGTCCCATATCTCTCCCTCCACGTAAAACGTTTATATTTTTTACACAGCCCGGCCTTCTGGCAGTGCGTAATTTCAGCAATATTATACCGGCGCTATTCAGTATTTTGTTCAGTAATACGCGAACATTTGTAACGATTACTCTCTGACACAGAAGAGAGGGCAACGATGTTATGGAGAAATGTTACCCCCCCCCCCCCACCACGAACGCAGATGTTTTAACATCTTCAAGTAATTGTTTCCCTTCTACGTGACTTTACCGAAAGAACCAAGAATAAGTAAAGTACTGTTTATCGGAACTACCATAGTGCTTTCCCAAGATTGCACTGACACCACTCACCCCAAACACTTTGACGCACTTGCTGCGTTACTGGTGGTGTTGCAAGTTTCTTGTTCCATTGTTTATGTCATGGAGCCGGTGTGGCCGACCCTAAAAATACCCAAGCTGCGTATAAACCGCTGGAACATCTTCATATTTGAATAAACCATATTTCTTTTGTTTGATATTTAGGTGTTTTGTGGGCGATTTCAAGCTACTGTTCTTGTCAAATATAAAAGTCAAGGGTTATTTATGGGCCTCAATCATTATAATGACTTATTGCCAGTGTAGACATGTATTTGAGAATGCGCTCGTGTAGACTCTATATGCTGTAGAGTTTCGTATTTTTCAATGTCCGCATGTGTTTGTGTTACTTAACACCCTGGCCCACCCCTGCAAACGAAGGTTCCCTGGTAAACAAAAAAACCCCTTAAAAACAATGGCGTTTAGCCATTTAACTTGTTGCTAAACATACCCAAGGAATGATTAACACTGGCTTAACAATTTGTTTGAAATTTTGCACGACGTGTTACAGTATACTTGATGCATGTGTAATGCGATGTTCGTGGTTAATTAATGTTTAAAGTCAGTGCCTCCCACGCTCCAATGAGCAATACTAACTTGAAATATTATGGAATATGTATCCTGAATGTGGAAACTCCACATAAGAACGTGCCCCAGTTACAGAATGTGGAAGCTCTACAGTCAACAATTGTTCTTGTGAGAGCCAGGAGTAACGATGATTGCTGTCGATGCTATGAGATATATAAAAAATTCCGTGACGATTGATCCACATTGTCAAACATAAATCGGCCATCATAAGCGGCCATGATCTATCCACTGCACCATGAGTATAATCCCGAGCTGTCAACATCCCGAACGGTCATGCAATGCGACAATCCATTTGGGCTCCCGTACTCAAGTTGATCTCACCGCTCCATCGCTTCGGTGGACGTCTCGGGCGACAATAACACATCAACAACGTTTTTACATATCAACAATTACATCAACAATGACAATAAGATACCAACAACAATGTGTAAGTTGAGTAAAACACGTATACTTTACCATGGGAATACTACAAATCGTTTTAGGTAGATTATTTATAAGTATAAATTAGAAAGTACTATTCACTCTCGATAAATGCTCTTAGAAAACGTGGTCTTTAAAGGTATTCAGATGAGTCAAATGGATGTTTTTATTTCCAGAGAAGTGATATAACACGTTTCGAGTAACCTTTTTAAATCAAAACAAATATTGTATACGTCTGCACAAGGCTTGAGTTGTTGAACCGCTTGCAATACACTGTATATACGTTATCAATATCACATAGTTTATCTGCATAAGCTTACAGATGTTATCTATTACCAGCCCACTGGTAGTACCGGGAATTCCATTTATGCCCCATGATGAGGATAGTCACTGTACAAGACAATGTTGAACTTCTTTTGCACCGTACGTAGCCAACCATGCTAATCGGAGGTGCGGTGGGGGTACCAAACTAATCGCTGTATATTACCTATGGCATATGTAATCATTAATATGGACATTGACAAAGAAAACAGATTGTAAGCAAGAGGCATCGCGACCGCTAAGAAAAGTAATCGGGCTTGGGAAGGACACATCACTAGAAGGGACAATGGCCGGTGGTTGAGACGAACTTGGAGTGGCAGCCAAAGTGACAATCATTTCTTGATCCTCGCAGAATGAAAACCCGAGTCAAGCCTCCAACCACGCTTCACATTTGCAACCTTCCAAGTGCAAGTTGTGCGTTACAACCACAGGGCCACTTGGTCCGTAAAATCTATTTTTGGCTGGTGCAATGCGAACAATGCAGTTGCATACACTGATGCAACCAAAGTCATCCGGTGGGTAAAGTATTTGCTGCTCAGCCAAAATTCTTAGAATGTGTGCTATTCACATGCTGGTTGAGGGTCAATTCCTGCACGACGGATCGCTCTGCCTTTTAATGCAGAGATTGGTGGAAAAGTGCACATGGCGCTCTGCCAGGCTTAAGTTCTCCACCAGCATGTGAGTCACACTCAATATGTTTCAGGCAGATTTTTGCCAATCTGCATGGTCACTCCGTTGGGGATTTTATTTACCACATGTAAAACAGATCTCCTCTGATTGGAGGGATGGTACCACAAGTCTGCCCTCTTATGTCTGAACCAAGAACTCAAACTTATTCTGGAAAATAAGTCTGAGCACTTTTGGAGAAAACTTCCAAGGTTTCACAAATATCCAACCAAAATTTAACACAGGTAAATCAATGTAAATGTTTATTCAGCCATACATAGCATGCTTAACACTCATGTAATATTTGTGTTCTGATGAGTACATCTAATGAGTTAAATGTCTAATAAATCTATTGAGTTTAAGGAGTATTGTTGGCTATAAGCCGCGTAAGCCTACATTTGTTCAATCATAGATGATGGAAACCTCTGTGCCAATGGCTCGTGTTTTGGCCCTTGGACCTTGTGCACTCATTTGTTGGTGACGTAAATGATTTTGTGGCGGTCGATGAGCTCGATGTCTCTCTCCAGCTGCTTCATCTCCATCTCCAGGCGCTCCTTGCGATGCTTCTTGGGGGCTGTGTCGGTCACAACCGACAGTCCCTGGTACTGGCGATGCAGCTCATCCCAGTTCTGCTTCAGGCCCTGCATGCATAATCAGCACGATAAGCACAGCATTTCATTGGGGTTGGTGTATCACACACCGATGAAGCCTTCATGGAGGCACTCGGCTGCTTGACAATTTCCATGTAAATTTGGTAACGTAAGTAAAAAAAGACACAGCCTTTTGTCAATACACCTCCTCACATCGTGTTTGTCGTGGGCATTGTTTAACCATAATTTAACACGCTGATCCATGCAGGCTGGTTAAGGGGGGCCGGTTAGAAAATTACACCCTACCGATGTTTGCCGTGGCCAGGAATTGAACCCAGTATTCCTGGGTACATAGCACAGTGCACTTACCACTGCACCATCGCTCCACTATAATTCTATCCACGCATAATTGGAGTGTTCCGCTCTTATATGAGTAAAACTTTCTCAAGCTAATCCTGTCTCCCCCTACATGAACAAATATTATAACATCCTAATGCAGGGCCCTCCATAATACTGTTTATTTTTATTGCAGCTTTAAGGTCCTATGGGTGTGGCTGGGTATCCTACTGGTCAATGCACTTGCATAAAATCAACGGTTTAAATTTAACCGTCGCACAGAAATGTCTGCAGACAATTATTTTAATATACAATGCTGTAAAGTAAATGACTTTCCAATGTATTTTAGAATAATAGGATATCGCACTCCACCCTAACAGTTCAACATGTAACCGAAAATGTAATTGTAAACAATATAAGGTTTCCAGGACTCCCTAGAAAAGTAATGTTAATGTCTCTAAACTATTTACTAACATTGCTTTTATGACGCTGTGCTAGGTGTTATCAAGTGACACGACCTGGACTGTCTTGCCAATCCTTGGACATTGGACTTAGAAGAAACGCACACACCTTCTGAACTCATGGTCTCGATCTAAACATATGGTAAACATTTTGATTTAAAGCTTTCGTGACTGCAGGGATTCATATTCTTGGTTCTTTCGGTAAAGTCACATAGAAGGGAAACAATAAAATAATAAAAATATAAAACAATAAAATTCTCACGACGTTTCGACTGCAACACAAGCAATCATCATCAGGTGTGAAAACCACAGCAAGAATTTTTTTTCAAATTTTCTTGCTGTGGTTTTCACACCAAGAATATATGGTAAACATGTTATCCCAAATGTTTGCAGAAGGAAACATTTTATCATGTATGCTGTATGGGTCAATTGCAACGCAAAATTGTCATACAACGCAGGACCAACTTTGCTATGTTTGACAAACATCTCTAATTGAAAGTGTGCAGCTTAAATAAATATAATACATTGGTGACAAAACAGTACAATAGTTTAATGCCAGAGTTTCAAGCCTCAAGATTAAAAAATACGCAAAGAGGTTCTTATCTCGAAATGGAGCATGATGTGTATCAAAGCTCAGTTATCAACAAAGAGAAAATTTATATTTTAAAGTTATTTGCGTGAAAAGTGAAGAGATATTACTTGCAAAGTAATTTCCCATTGTGAGGTATTGTTTTGCTGTCTATGGTGGCTTTGCGGAATATAAACACATTTGCTCAGAGCCACAACACAAATAATATACATTTAGGATATGCACTTTTGGGTAGTGACATGGCATATGGAAGCAGTTCTCAACTGGGGGTACATGGAAATTTCCCAGGGGGTACATGAGGTGATTTATAAATGTGTGAAATAATATGATACATGAGTCATTGGTGAATAATTATATAAGAATTTGCAAATATAAAATAACGATACTATTGAAATCCATATGGTAACTTGGAATGATATAAAAGACCTTTTGAAAAGTATTGATTGTAAACAATGCGGTTTCCACGGGTAACCAGCGAGCGCGAACAAATTACGTCACACATTTTTTAAAATGTTATTCGCTTGCAGTTACCCGCTAGTTAGGACACCTCACAAAATGGACAATTTAAAATATTGATGCTCATTAATTCCTACATTTATTTCTCAGACAACCATATTGGGTCAGACAAGGGGGGGGGGGTAACTCGGCTGAAACAAAATTCAACAAGGGAGGTAACAGTAGCCAAAAAAGGTTGTAACCACTGGCCTAGGGGCAGTGCGTTTGCCACTTATTGCAAAGGTTCACGGTTCGATTCCTGCGGCCGCCGTGGTTAATCCTGCAGGTGTAAGCAACCACAGTTTTTCACGCTCTGTATGCTTTGCAGTGGACGTTAAAGATCACACGACAACATTTGCAAGAGTAGGCCATTGTGTGCTGGGCGTCATGGTCCAAGTCAGTAATGATTTCACATATATTTTATCCATCAGAGCTATATTAGAGGAAGTACATGAAAAAGTAACAGTATATGATGGGTATTTAAAGGATTTGGTGAATTGGTTGAGCCCATTAAACACACGATAATTGGCATCCTGGATGAACCACCAGTGGCTGCCCAGATTCAAACCCAAAACACTTAAAACGGTCATCTAACTCCTGCTTGCAATGTGGCCCCAAGAGCACGAGTGTGAGGTAGTGTGTATGGATCTGGCCATCTCCAATCGATTACCTGCAGCATGCTGCTCCTCTCGTGCTCCGACAGCTGGTTCAAGGCCCCACGACGCAAACGCTCGCGCACGTACGCGTCATACTCCTCCTGCGCCTGCCGCATCTCCTCGTTGCGCCTGACGATGTACTCCGGAACCTGGCCGTACTCCTGTGGGATGCGAGTGGACGTTCATGCTAAGGTGGTGTTTGCTAAGAAACTCAACGAAATAGTAACCAAATCACGATTAAAGTTATAATGATTGCTATTGTGATATGGCTAAACAGGTGCAAGGATATTGCATGACTTTATTTGCGTGTTCTTGTTTAATGGGCAAAGCTTAATGAAGAGCAATAACCAATATGGCATGTTTAGGTCACATTTCAGGTATCCCTCACTTTATGCAGTAGATGCCTTCCAACAAAAGAGCTCACAAAGCACCACCTCACGAGACCGATGCCTGCCGAGTAGTGTATACAGTCCACACACAATGTTGTCCCACGTCCGACCGTATAGCCGCATCTGAGTGAATCCCGACCCCATATAGAGAATTTTGCGTTGAAATAGGTTATCCGCATGTACGCAAAATTGCACAGAATGTAAAAATAGTATGCAATGGTATGTCTTGACGTCGCAAAGCTCAGATGATGAATTGATAGAATTTTGCATAGTCAAATGAAATCAGAGTTTTTTTTCACTGTGTTTAGCTCCTTTGACAACCCTGCAACAGCGGTGGAAATTCCAAATTCCAATTATAAGTGCTATTTCAATAGGACAACCACTGTTAACTTCCCAGGACCAACTTAAATGAGCATCTTGTAAAATAAAGATATCTAGTCAGGTACCATTGCTGAAAAATGTTCAACTCGAAATCTGCACATTGCGAAATGAACATCTGAAGATTACGAGCTGAAATAAACGAGGAATAATTCGTTAAATCTTTGTTGTTTATACTGAGCCAGTGGTGGAAGTTTTGTGTTTCGATTAGCACAGTTGTCCACGTACGGTGTGAAAGAAGTTCAACATACATACATTATCGTGGCGACTAGTCCCTCCGTAATCATACAAATCTTAACTTCCCACAAACTAGTGCTTATTTTATCAACCCCAGATGGAGGAGTCGACATATAATCAGTATTTGAACTCATGATTGTGAGCCAGGTGCTTTTCAGCCCCAGGTAGGATGATTTGCATCTTGACTTAAAGCTTTCGTGACTGCAGGAATTAATATTCTTTGGGTCTTTCGGTAAAGTCACGTACTGTAGATAGGTTCAAAGAAAATAACAAAATAGCAGAAAACTACGACATTTCGATCGCAACACAAGCGGTCGTCATCAGGAAAAGGATGTCGACCACTTGTGTTGCGATCAAAACGTCGTAGTTTTTATTTTATTTGAACCTATCGACGTGACTTTAACGGAAGACCCAAAGAATAGGATGATTTGACTCAACTTATTTTAAGATTTACATTTTATACGTTTGTCCATTTTATCTTCTCTATTGACGTGTCGTACATTTCAGCAAGGATACCGAAGGTACAGTATAAATGGTGCCATGTGAGTAACATGCCATTGTTCCCGAGTATTTTTTAACCCACTTCACTACTGAATCACAGAAGTTGACCTTTGATAAATGTATTTGTACCATTTGGTGGTGACCTGAACTTCCTCCTTTTATTTTTTTTAGTGCACTTGTTTAAACAGAAATTTCACACTGAGTCTAACAACTCTTATTCAAGAAGGTCCTGCCAAGTTTTCACAGGAGGAGTGATGATTGCTACGTAGATTCCAATTGAGAAATGTGTGGTTAATTTTACAAATGTGGACCATGATGCTGGCACACAATGGCGTACTTTTGTGAATTATACCATTGGATCTTTAACGTCCAATCTTAAGTAGACGCTGCACATTTTGAGAGTTGATACACCCGCAGCATTAATCGCTAATGCGTTAGCGGTGGGCTATTTTTTTTATTTTCCATCGAGAGTTGTGAGTCAATAATTGTTGATAATGTATGTGAAATAGAATGGTTGATATGCTGTTTCATGTAAAATATGCTGCAAAAAATGCTGGATTTTTTTAAAACGCATAAATGTGAAAATATACATTTGGTTTATTTTACACAATTTTGCATGAATTATTCAACAAAACATTGAGGTGAGGTGATTGGGGAGCTCACTCAGTCAGCACTTTTGAGATCCTGGTTTTGAACCCAGTGACCTGAGATTAAACCGTGTTCTCAGTTGTAGCGACTCAATGATCTGAGCTGTTTCACAAATTACTTCACAAAATGACAATTAAAAAATGTTGATTTGACTGCCATGCGATTAATATTTCTCAAACAGGGCATGTGGGAAAATGCAGCACCGCTAGTGTGGATAAGAAGTCACTTAAAAGGACATCAATAATTATGTCGTATCACCTTCTGCAGACTATTCTATAATAAAGGATGAGGCCCGACTCAGCTAGATTTACAAATTGACATTTCTTTGTATTATGACATGAGGAAAAGACGGAAAAATGTTTTGGAATAGTTTAAATGTCAACAATTATCATATAACATAAAAACATCATGTTAAGTTATTCATGTAAAAACTAAATAATACCTATAGTTTGAAAGAGAAAATTAATGCAAACAGTTTGTTAAATGGCAATCAAAAACATTTAAATGGATCTAGAATAAGCCAAATAAAAAATATATATATTAGCCTGGCGGTTTTTCGGTGTAATCATTATAGACCCAACTAAGATCATTAACTCTCTATACTTGAAAACCCAGTTTAATCACCATTGGCTGCCCAGGTTGGAACCCAGCATCTCATTGGTGCCGGCTCAGTGCTCGGACACGACACTAGTCCCATCAGCCGCCCAGCAACCCGTAACTTCCACTCACTTTCTTGTGCACGAACTTGGGCACGAGCCCCGAGGGCTCCAACGGCTGGCGATCACCTCTCTTCGTGTCCACCAAGGTGGGCTGCGGGCGGCGTGGGACCGCTGTGATCACGTCCACGGCGTTGGTGTTGACAAAGTCCTTCCTGGAGTGGAGGCCCATGGGCGGCCTCTCGTCATGCCCTGGCACTCGTGGTCGCCGCCTCCCCTCGTCCGGATAATGGAAGGGCCTCTCTGCGACAGGGGTCACACCACCTTCTTGTGGCCACCGTCGAGACGGGTGGTGCACATCGAGGCAGCTTTAAGGAAACAATCAAGACTGCTTCACAATTGTTTTCGTGAGGTGGAGCAGTCCCACGAGACAATCTCACATGCCTGCAATACTTTGCTTTCGTGGAGGACACAGATGTGCTCTATGTGCAAATAATTCCCAACTAGCAGTGGGCTAATAGATGACCTGCATACAGTAGTACAGCAAGGAAGTTAATAAGTGCTCTGGTTTCCTCCCAAATGCAAATAATCCTAAATTCATTTGCCAGATAGGATTAAACCATGTACCAGAAGACGTTGTTAATTAGATCATGTGGTCAACTGAGATACATGAATCAGAATCATTGATACTGCCAAATAAATGGAAAAAAGGGTTATAGTTAGACAAGAGTAGCATGCGGATCAGGCAACAAAAACAAGAGACAATATATTTACTGATAAGAAAAGTAAATGCGCTTAGGCAGGACATGTCACTAAAAGAGATTACAGCTGATATCCTGGTGACAGAATGCACCTTAGAAGCTGACCACGATAGAGATAAAGTGATGAGAGCAGACCATGCACAGGAGACAGTCGGAACACAGCGCCGCGATACTAAGAGATGATGGCAGTGTGGACAGAGGAATAGGTAGACAATGCCTCGTGAGAATGATTACATAATCATAATTAAAGTATATGAAATGTGAATGAATGGGAAAATCAGAGAATGGTGTCCAGCCCTCTGAGCAAAGTGTAGCACTCACTCTCAGGCAGAACAGCATCCCGGGAGTGCTTATGGAGGTATCCCTGTGGAGATGGCACCTCAACCTTGGCTGGACCCATTGTGCGCTGGCCCTTCTTCCTCTCATTGGCCTCCAGGCGGACTGACTCTCGGAACCTGGACATGTACCTGAACGCACGGAGGAGACCGGGCGGCTCAGTGAGCTAATGAACATAATATCTGAGCAGGAAGCCTACACAGCTGACATCCTAGGTTGAAATCCATCCGGTCAGCTTCAATTATATGTGTATATACACCTGACAATCGCTCCTCACGGATTCGCAGTTGCATGCTATTTTTTTTACCAACAAAAATTTGGAAAGCACTTGGATGCGGTTTGCAGCAGCACAGGTTGAGGAGCAAGGATTTTGAAGGTGGCATTGTATATTGTTCTAACTTGCTGACCCACCCATAGTGGACATCTGTGAAAAAGAGACTCCACACACAACTCACGCTTCTGTACAGCCGTGCTCTGATTGGCTGTGGAAAGGGAGCCATTTATTTCGGGACACAATACCGCGTGCTCCCGTACAAAACAACAGACTGCGGGGGGCTACCTTGCTTCTCCCTCCTTTATCAATAAAACGTTAAAGTTATGAAAAACTCTGCATGAACAAAATTTGTAGTCCAGCATCTGCCCTACCCACTGGTACATTTTTGGGTCTTTGGACCAGATCTGAGTTAAAAGTGAGATGGAGTCTGACCCTGATGACCCTCCACCACCCTCTCCCCGCAATAAACTACAATCACTCTACACCATCGCCTGAGTGTTCCTAACTACCAGCCTGCAATGGTGAAAACATCACTTATGTACATAGCTTCCTGTTGCATAATTATAGAGTATTTAATTCCTTATTTCAGGTTAATCTGTGCAGTGGTGAGATAGGAGTGAGAATGACTTCACAGATTCACTCTACATGACCTTTTCTCAGAATGCATCTCCTGCGCAGAGTGAGGGTCGGGTGTATGTACGGCTCATTTTTTTTATTCACTGCTGGACAAGTCCATCTGTGAGGGTCACGGGGGAGTTATTTGACCACGATTCACCATGCTGATAAGTTGTGGTTGATGAAAGTTGGGGGACATTGTTGTGGGAGCACAAAAGTACAATGGATCCATTACATTTTTTATGGGTTAGATCGCTTAAATATGTGTCGTTATACCCGCCACCACCCGGTCTTCAATACACAACTCTGCCTGTTGCCTGATGATGCTGGTTGTAATTAACGGCGAAAAGTCGTACTCGAACTGTAAATGTTGTGGGTTTACTCTCCAACACACCGGTGTGCTGAACTAGTAACGCATTGGCATGTTTTGTTTACGTGACAAACCTTACTAATTGGCTGTGTCGGGTGGTGGCGGGTTTAACGACGCATTTATACTTACGCGATCTAACTTAAAAACAACTTATGGATAATATTTGTCGCCAAAAGCCTACTCCTACGCGTTAAACTCCTACAACGGATGTTGCTGCACTGCCCTCTGTTGACCACCACGCGGCACCATTTGCAATGAAATACGGAAGGTGTAATCTTGGTATCAATCCAGTCACCGTTGGCTTCAGAAAAAGCTTAATAATACATTATATTCATTTAGTTTTCAATTACCTTTGTCATACTCCAGCTATGGGAAATACCTGGATTTTGAAAATCAGGTTTGAACTGAAAGCCAAAGCGGAGACATGAGCACAGGCGAGATGTGGTCCCGAAGGTGATTCAGTGCGAGCACAGCAAGCGGCACAAATACAATGTATGATGTCTTTAATATACTTAGAGGCCGTAGCCATGGAGTCAAAATTGGGGGGGTACCAAATCTTCCAGGGGGTCCGGGGGTCCCCCCCCCCCAGAAAAAAAATCGAAATTTGAAAACGAATTTCCTGCCTAAAATATTAAAAAAATTCACTAACACATGGCATGGAATTGTATTTATTTTTTACAACATCTAATAGTGTATTGTATTACATTGCTCTGTTTTTTTCTTTTTTACCTTTTCTCGTTTCAATGTATGTAATAGCAGAGATTAGGGATTAATAAAATACAACCATAACCACAATCATATAAACATAAAGCTATTTTATAGCGATATATTGGGGGGGACATTTTGAGCATATTTGAATATTGGGGGGGATGTGTCCCCCCCAATATATATTATAATTACGGCCTTGATATACTTGCCTGTCAGCTAGCTTAATGTTGCATCCTCCCTCACTGACACCACACAGCATGCTTTGGGGGGTTTACGATGTTACATGGGTTCTAGCGAGCACTGCTTATTTGCAAGCGCCAGGTGACTCCTTACCTGGCTGGCTTCTCCGGAGTCACTTCTTCCCGCGGAATCAGATTGTACACACTCTCCTCTTGACGGTTCATCGTGGTCATCATAGTGTCCGCCTGTGTCCCCTGTATGAAGCACAACAATCGGACACACACACAATGTTGATGCGATGTTGTTGTTGTTGAGGTGGATATTTCTAAAGGCGTTCTGTTGGAAGCTGTGTACAAGTGCTAATGGCAAGACCTATGTATTGCTTAGCTGATAGGTATAGCACATGTTATATTTCGTGTGCTTAACACGTAGGCTTTCGCGACTAATATCCATAATACAGATTTTTTGGGGGATTTGATCGCGTAAATATATAAATGTTGTGTCGTTAAACCTGCCACCACCCGACACAGCCAACTAGTAAGGGTTTGTCACGTAAACAGAACGTGCCAATTCGTTACGAGTACAGCAAAGCCACAAACATTATACAATCAATTGTAAATATTATGTTGTGGCATAATATCGTAAACAAAAACGCTGTATTATGGATATATTTATTGTGATAATACACTACTTTAGAATACAGGGTTGTTCCAATGGCGCAGAATGCCGGACAGAGGACACACCGCGAAAGAAGGGCGTTCTTCGTCACCGATATGTCGTGCTGAGGGTGAACGAAAATCTAACGATACAGTATAAGAAAACAGAAGTATAAACAACACAAATATGTTGGGCCAAGCGACAACACAGGCGTGGAAGGGATCCAATAAACCAAGCAAGGCAACGTGGTAAAGAGATCGACGAGAGGCAAGTGTTGAGATTGAGTGGGAGCGGTAACAACTCGCTAGAGATAACCCTGGCGAATATAATATATGTTGGTAATCATTGCGTTCGACTGCGATATAATAATGCAGCAGACGAAGATTGTACTGTATAGTTTACTATACAGCAGTATGTATATGTGTTACTATTGCGATCAGTGTAGTTTATAACCATAGTAACAAGTGCAGTTTACTGTTTTATTGTAAATACTGTACGTAATTACAATAGTGTCTTATAAAGTCGTATTCAGAAGTATAACAAAGCAAACTCTACAAAAAAATGTACTTGTCACCGTAACACTGTGATTGCTGTAATAATATAATTACTGTGCAGTAGTTTACTTTCACGTACTTTTACCACAGTACTGTATAGTAAACGCCGCAAAATAGTTGTAGTGAACTCCAGTACCGTAGAATTAACCATATTGTACCAAAGCAATCACTGTCGTGTAATTAACTGCAGTAGATTACCTTGGCAATAGTGGTAGCTAGTAGGGAAGCTTACAACACTATGGTATATTAAACTGTGTAGATTCGTCATTATACGATACCACGGTTAACGGCAGAGTAACCGCTATAGCTTACCACACTTAATTCTATCGTAAATTAACGCGAATTTACCACGTCAAAAATCTGCACTCATCACCACTGCTGCAACAGCGCGTATCAAGAATCCTGCACGGGATTGCAAGAGCATTTAAAATAAAATACAATAACACAATACATACCGTAGCAAGCTACACACCTGCAGGCGCTGTACTCTACCAGTGGGTCTTGTCGATGTCCCTGCTGTCGAGGGGTTAAGTAGAGGCTACAACTATATAGGGGTTACGTACAGGCCTAGTACTACAACTATATAGGGGTTGTTAAGTCCAGGCCTAGTACTACAACTACCGAGGGGTTGTTGCTGCAGAGGGCTTGTTAAGTACAGGCCTAGGGCTACTATATAGGGGTTGTTAAGTCCAGGCCTAGTACTACAACTGTAGAGGGGTTAAGTTCAGGCCCAGTACTACAACTACCGAGGGGCTGTTGCTGCAGAGGGGGTGTGAGGTGTAGGCACAGCACTATCGTACACCTGGAGCGAGGTTGTTGCTGCAGGGGGGTTAAGTCCGGGCGCAGGACTACAACGCGCTGGCTGTTGCTAGGCGACGCGTTGCTAAGGCGCCGCCGTTGCTAGGGACGCGTTGCATTTGGTAGACCGCATAGAGCGGTGGGCGCAGTGGTCAGAGCGCTGGCTGACGCCGGTGGGCGCGTGAGATCTGAACTGCTTCTGTGGGCTCCACCCACCAACTCACCCCCCTACCCACTCACCCCCCTACCCACTCACCCCCCTACCCACTCACCCCCCCACCCACTCACCCCCCTACCCACTCACCCCCCTACCCACTCACCCCCCTACCCACTCACCCCCCTACCCACTCACCCCCCTACCCACTCACCCCCCCCACCAACTCACCCCCCTACCCACTCACCCCCCTACCCACTCACCCCCCTACCCACTCACCCCCCCCACCAACTCACCCCCCTACCCACTCACCCCCCTACCCACTCACCCCCCTACCCACTCACCCCCCTACCCACTCACCCCCCCACCCACTCACCCCCCTACCCACTCACCCCCCTACCCCTCTACCCACTCACCCACACACCCACTCACCCCCCTACCCACTCATCCACTCACCCCCCACCCCTCTACCCACTCACCCACACACCCACTCACCCCCCCACCCACTCACCCCCCTACCCACTCACCCCCCCTACCCCTCTACCCACTCACCCACACACCCACTCACCCCTCTACCCACTCACCCACACACCCACTCACCCCCCCACCCACTCACCCCCCTACCCACTCACCCCCCTACCCCTCTACCCACTCACCCACACACCCACTCACCCCCCCACCCACTCACCCCCCTACCCACTCACCCCCCCCTACCCCTCTACCCACTCACCCACACACCCACTCACCCCCCTACCCACTCACCCCCCTACCCCTCTACCCACTCACCCACACACCCACTCACCCCCCTACCCCCTACCCCTCTACCCACTCACCCACACACCCACTCACCCCCTACCCACTCACCCCACACACCCACTCACCCCCCCACCCCCCTACCCACTCACCCCACACATCCACTCACCCCCCCACCCACCCACTCACCCCACCCACAACCCCCACTCACCCACCCCCCGCCCCCACTCACCACCCACTCACCCCCACCCACTTATCCACCCCCACTCACCACCCCCACTCAACCCCCCCACCCGCTCACCCCCCCCCACCCACTCACCCCACCCACCCCCCGCCCCCACTCACCACCCACTCACCACCCCACCCACTAAGCCCCCACCCACCAGGTCACAAACCTGATACTGACCAGCGTGTTGAAGTATGGTCAAATAACACCCGTGACTGATGACGACATGTCGTGGGCCCTTTATTGAACGGTGGATTGTAAAATGGGCTAAAGTTATTACGAGGTGATTTTTTTTGTACACGTTAACAACACGTGTGCGTTTTGTGTGAGTTTATACTTTACCGATTTAGTGTGTGTTTATAACACAGGCCCGCAGGGACACCTAAAACGTGAAAACATAACAAAATAGCGTCGTAGTGTGAACGTGCCAATTACTTCGGATTCTAAGATGTCACTCGTCGCAGTGGCACACGTGAGAAGCTTTCACCCATTCATTATTCAAAGAGTCTCTCTGCCGTGGTGTCAAATGACCTCTGAATTGGAGTGCTGGGTGGCGCGCGTACCCATAGCAAGGACCCAGGCCGAACACAAACCCACACCTCGCTCACACAGCCTCCTGCAGTTGGCCTCGGTGTTATTGCATTGTTGGGGAGCATGTAGACACCGATAAGGGGGCCTTCACATCTTCCGTGAGACCATCAATGCTCGGGCTTGGCCGGTGGTGACTCGGTGGCTGCCGCAGATCTGCGTAGTTTGAGATCGAGAGCCTGAGCCTTGTGGGAATAGGAGTCGCCTCTTGTACAGGCGTCATCCTTGACCTGTGAACCCCACACGGTTTACCCCGTATTCTTGTACAGGGAAATTGAGTTTTCAGGTCCGTACGGCGTGTACAGCCGTTTCGATACGGGCAACAACTAAAATAGTCCGTGTTTGTCCCTTGTGATGGGACTTTGTAGGATGAACGTTGAGATTTATAAGGGGCACGGGGGGTGACCAATAAGGTCTGAATTGTTCCGTAATAATCTAGGGCACTGATAAGGTGCGTCCTTTGGGTGCATGAAACTTCAACGTACATAGGGCGTATTGTTACGCACCAGCCATTCATTCGCTCTGTAAGCGCCGCGTCTTCCCTTGAACGAACGGAGAGGTTTTGGGGTGGGTTAGGTCGGGGTTGGGGGTCTGAGATGTTCGCCGCAGCCACCCAAAACTTCGTGACTCAAGTTGGCAGCAACGGGCGTCTGGTGGCTGTGCCGAGCTTGAACGAGGCCGACCGGTACCACCCGCTCAACCTCGTCACCAAGAAGAGACGCGCCTGGCTCTGGCAGAAGGCCAAGCACTCGTCCACGTCCTTCGCCCTCAAGGACATTTTGGTTGGGGAGAAGGACATCGACATTGGTAGGTTTGGTGCGGTTCGGATTGATGCCGGAGAAGTTTTGTGTTTTTTTCCGTGCGACGGGAGCGTTGGGTCAAGCGCGTGACCTCTTGCAACAACGTTGGCATATTCTTAGCTCTTTCGGTAAAGTCACGTTGAAGGGAAACAATAAAATAATAATAAAAATATATAAAACAATAAAAATTCTCACGACGTTTCGACCATAACACAAACGGTCATCAACAACTCGTTTTCACACCTGATGATGACCGTTTGTCTTGTGGTCGAAACGTCGTGAGCATTTTTATTGTTTTATATATATTTTATTATTTTATTGTTTCCCTTCAACGTGACTTTACCGAAAGAGCTAAGAATATGAATTACTGCAGTCACGAAAGCTTTAAATCAAAATTTTAACGTTGGCATAAATACTGCTGCTCTTGCAGCCACGCTGTTCGCACATGCGAATATAATATATGAGCAAAAAATAACATTTGTAATTAATACTGCCTTGTAACAGACACATGTAAATAATACTCATTACACTGCAAGTGAAAATACGTACCCGATGTTAAATAATTACATCAAATTGGGCGCAATTATTACTCAATTTGAGTCGGTGGTTTACATAAAAACAACCCGAGGCTCTGTGGCATTGCACACGCGCAGTATGGACTGGTGGTGATGTGAGATGCAGAAACTAACAGACGGTGCAGCCTACAGGCACGGGAGGTGCCTTGCTGCTTCATTCATTCCATGCTTACAAAATAGACACAAGCAGTGCCTTCTCATTTTCATTTCCGTGCAAAAGGAACTGGGTATTCACAGCATTCTGCCCGTGGGACATTAGTGGGGTTTTTTTAAGCACGGGAGATGAAAGAGGATTGTCATATTTCTTGAACGGTACACCCTCGCGTGTATGAGTGTTTTAGACAAACATGCAAACTGGAACTTTCAATAATTTGTTTTTAAAAAAAAATCCTGAAGGTCCTGAGTCTGTGACAAGTGCAATTATTGTTCTATTCTGTATCGGTTACGTAACATGCATGATATGAAGGGGAGACTATGGTCACAATCGTACCTTTTGCTGTCGAGGAGTCATATTTTGTGTGTTTTTATTATGATTACCGTTCTTTCTAGCCCCCACGTGCTTTTCTGTCTGATGAGCTTCTACAGAAAGTGTTTGAATGCGTTAGCAGGCAATGCTGGTTGTGCTGTGAGGGCAAGATTAAGGAGAAGTCTCTGCCGGAAATCGCATGTGTGTCTGCACCCGTGAAGACCAGTGTTAGTTTTATGAGCCAAATTAATTAAGAAAGTATTAATCAACAACTCGTTTTATACCACTATCTACTAAAGACCACAGTCAAACTGAATATGAGATGAAATTAACAAATGAAGACACGCTCTAAGATAATTTTGTAGCTTTATTAGAGACCTCAATGCACCGTTGAAGACCAAAAAATGACAACAACAAAAGTTTAGCTGGCTGCCCGGCTGGCTAGCGTGTGGGTGACATCACCACTCCACGTCTGCGTGATGACCTCACGCACACGTCACAGCATTGAGCCGGGTTCGTGCGTGTAAACGTCACGCCTTCCCCCTCCACCCACCCACCCTCCACCTCGGCCGTGCATTCCACGCAAACGCGCAGGCACTGCTGGTGTATACGGTATATTAAAAACAATTGTTCACTGGTTGGCTGACCTGAGACAATGTCGGGAGACGAATTGCCCACCTAATAACAAGTAGAGCGATTTTTTTCGAATTTGGTAAAAAAATATATGATTCAAGAGCCACAACGCATGTGAATATGAGACGGTCCTTAACCTTTTCGCGTTCACAGATGACTGCAAGTTGCAGGGTGGGTCCCATTCACAACTAACTCTCCGAACGTGCAAGCGGTTAGCGTTAATTTTATTTAGAGAGGCATAGCGCAATTGTGTTCAAACACATTGTACTCACCGCAGAGAACTGGAGCAACACAACTGCACTCTGTGGGAGCCTCGCTACCGATAAAGGTATTTAGTTTTTTCCTACGGTTCCGATGACTGACGTGTACGTACGTCATCGGTTCTGATGACTTGCGTGCACGTACGTCATCGGAGCGGATGAATAAATAACGTCACGAAGCAATCCTTGAAAGAGCTGCATGAACCGCAGGTTGCCCTCCCCCGGACTGAGACGACGACTAAAACGAAACCCGCAAGCTTGCCATCGTCGACTCGCCTAAAACCCTGACCACGACGAGTGTACTGCGCAGACGTGACGTCGTACCAGCTGGTGAACTACGAGGACGAGTCGGACGGTGCGCCGGGCCGTCGCGAGCGCCACGGCTCCGAGGGCGTGCTGGCCGGCGTGGGCTTCAGCGTGGCGCGCTCCGAGAACGTCGCGGTGCACGCGTCCCTGGGCATCGTCACAAAACACGAGCTCGACGTGCCTCTCCTCCTCCGCCTCTTGCGCAACAGGTGCCACGCCACCGCCACCCCTCTCCCTGCCCCGTCGATCAACGCCGGTCTCCAATGACCGCGCATGAAATAACCATCGCGGTACATTTGGTGGCGCAATCAATTTGGCTGGCCGGGTTTCTCCGATGTGAGAGCGCTGAGCTTGGCACCGCTGGGAATCTTATCGTTCGATTCGAGGCAGCCGTCTGTTATTAAAACGGCTATCAGGTATAGTGAGTTGGTGGTTCTCATACCGGTCACGAATGACCGCACGAAAAAAATCCCACCATGTAAAATTTGGTTATGCACCCAATATGGATGAATTCTAACTTTCGAGACTGAAAATATCAGTTTAACTATCATGCCATGACAATTGATTCTCATATACGTTGAACTTCTTTTGCACCGTACGTAGCCAACCGGGCTCATCGGAGGTACGGGCGAATGACAACAAACCAAACATATGAAGCAGCTCTGGCAGAGTCAGTGAGAAAGTGCTACCACCGAATGTGTGGACCAGAGTACACTTATAGGGATCTCAGAGGCAGCTCTGTAATATTCGCTTCATTGAGCTATTCTTTAACTTGAGGAATCGCACTCCGTTGTCAGAGATTTGTTATGACATGGATACTTTGCGTCATGACTTGAGCAAAACCGATTGAAATCATTTAGACGCTCATTACTTTGTTTATAATTGAATCCTGGCCGGCCGGCTTAGAAACCTGAACAAATGAACGAATGAAGCACAAAAACAGTGCAAGTGAAACATGAAAAGTTTGCCTACAGGCCCTTGGCCACCGCTGTGCCGTGTCGCCTGCAGGAGGGTGGACGTGGAGCACTGGCTGGTGCGGCAGACTCGCGCCAGCGGCCGGGCCGTGCTGTGCATCGTGGCCGAGAGCATCCGCACGACGAGGCAATGCTCCCTCGCCGTGCGCACCTCCCTCGAGCAGAAGCTGCGGGTGCACAGCCACCGGAGCCGAGCGAGGGTACGCGTCCCCCCCCCCCTCCCCCCCCCCCGGCTCAAGCGCGCCTCTAACCCGGTCATGGCTGTCGGGTTTTTTCCCGGGTCCACACCGCATGTCGTTCGGCGTGATGCCCGATGTTTGTTGTTCGTAGTTGTAACGTTCTGATCCTGTGCCCCCCGCTACTGGACATCTGTGAGAAAATAATCAGAATCAGATCAGAATAGTTACTTACTCTGGAGGTATCGGATGAGCTATAAAGCTCCTTTTCACAGATGTCCAGTAAGTGCGAGTAAGAATATTACAACAGCAAACAGTACAAAAGCACGACGGCAGTGCAAAGTACAAGAAAGTCAAACAAATCACCCAAAAACATACGAATTAAACCAAATCATTCCCATCCTACCAGGCAAAGGCCGCTGAGGCATTAACTTATTTTTCAGAAGCAATCTGGCTGCAAATGAAAGCTCAACAAAGTGGCCTACTATGTGGACATTTATAGCAGCAAAATTATCAAAATAATCTGAATGCATGTTTCTAAATGTGGAGGGGAAAATCCACGCGACCACAAGGAAGACATCAAAACTCCATATATATATAGGCATCATGGATCGAACCCACAACCTCCTGCATATCAGGCAATAGAGTTAACATCTCGCCACCAGTATCTAGCTTGATTCTCACCTGAATTTTAAGAATGGTAGGCAAAAACTTCACGAAGGAATTAAACATCTTGTTAGAACAAAGAAAGGTGTCATCTCCCAGGGTTCTCACTGAATTAATGAAATAATGGGTTGTATCTCATTACAACTCTTCAGGCTAATATTACGAGGTAAATTTATACGGAAGAATGTTAAAAAGAGGCAGCTTCTTGTTCACATTCAAGGGCAAGTGCGCATCTGCACTTTGGATAAACGCACAGCGGCTAGTTTTATATGTCTGCTTGCATGTTGCCCAGTGTGTATGTTAATTCACATGATAGTGCGCTGTTTTTGAGTTGTACGCCTTTTGGCGTCTTCTGGTCCAACACCAATGGAGACTAGGCTCTAAGAAAAGCCGTCTCGGGTGTGGACCAATCAAATTCAAGGACAGTGCATATTATTATCAGAGTTGTCTTTTTTGTTTGCATTTTGACTGCTTGTGTTGTGGTTATTGCAAACATGATGCCTTGAATAAAGGTGTCAGTTTTTGTGCCAGTTAAAAGGGTAAAACCTATTTCTATGATCAGTTCTGTCTGATTGGCGGTAAGGTGTTGACGTTGAGTGGGATTTTTCTGAGTGTGCATTGTTTAGATTTAAGTCTTCATATTGTAGAACACTGTCACGCTGAATGTTCCAATTTGTAACCCTTTTCAAATTTCCCACTGGTATATTTTTAGTTTTCAATTATACGATGCGGTGTGATTTCAGATAGCGTTGTGTTTTTCTGTATCCCCCTCCCCCGGGGTCACCCATGTAAAAAGAGCGGTTTAGCTCATGGGCCCTACCCCAGGTGAACAAAACTAAATACATAAGCATGTACATTTCATCTCAGGGCTCCCGTTGCAGGAGTAAAAACCATTGCCCAATCGGGAGGGAAATTTAGTTTACCTCACTTTTTCTCTTACATTATACATAAATCGTGAGCCTTAATTTTTACCCAATAAAAACAAAAGCACCTCGATAGGTATCGCCATCGTTTTGGATTTACAATTGAGTTTTGCATGCGAATAAATGTCATTTGTTTCGAAAGAAAAACGGTTGGAAATTTGATGCATATGCCCTTATCCTACCCGCAGCGTTGACATCTCAGCACTCTGACCTCCGAGAGATCTGGCCACCTGCAAAAAGGCTCTCTCTCTACTCGATCACCACGCGCGCTACGATTGCGTAATGTTTATGCGCTTGTTGTCGTGTGGTCGCTCGCAAAAGGTATTTAAAAGTCCTTTAGGGCCCTCGGTAAGGAAGAGCTTTCCCCACTCCCGGATGAGAATAGCGGCCCCGGCTGAGCGGCTTCGCTGCGTGCGTGCGGCGCGCAGGGAAGGGCAGCGGAGGAGGGCGTCCGTCAGGGGAAGGGTCGCGACAAGACCATCGTCATCCCCGCCCACACCACGGTCGCCTTCAGCGTCTTCGAGCTCTACATCCGCTTGGACGGATCCTTCGGTGGCTGCACACGCACGCACGCACGCACATTTTACTTCCACGACTTATTTATCCAGGAGAGCCACGCCGAGTCGTAGCACTCTTTTTCAGAGGGAGGGTCCTGCCGCTACGTTGGGTTTTTATTTCAGGCAATTAAGGATGCGTTGTGTTAATTATGCCTCGTGGGAGGAAACCGGAATACCCGGAAAAAACTGATGCGAGCGAGGGGGCAACACTCTATCCCCGTACAAATGGAAAAAGGTGCCGATTAGTCCACTTGCTGTACTTCCTTCTCCTGACGAGCCAGGGTATGGCACCTCGACGCCCATGGGGAGTTTCACAACATTATTTGAACCAGTCCGGGGCTTCCCCTAGGTCGACTCAGCCTCAAATGAGTAGTGTACCTGCTGTGGTGTCTAAACATCTGCCACTGGGGAGACAAAGGCGGTTAGGCGTGGTGCTGGCCACCCACCCCCTCGGGTGCCGTGTTGACCTTCATAGGTGCTGCTCGCGAACAGCAATTGCCCCAACAGTCTGTTAAGGCTAACGAAACAACTTTTCATTTTACCAGGTAAGGCCCACTGAGCTAGAGAGCACCTCCAATTATCACCGTTTGCTACGTATGGTGCGAAAGAAGTTCAACATATATAGAAGCGACCTGGCCACAAATGATAGCCAAACGAAGTTGCTTATCATGTGGAAATTTATAGCGGCAAAATTATCTAAATGATCTTAATGCACGTTTCTAAATGTAGAGATCATCGATTGTCCAGCGGCTTCGGGGGTGGAGGGGGCGCCGAATTTTCAAACACGCCGATTAATCATTATTTAAAATAGCTTGTTTTTGCACATTCTTGTATGAAATTGTGTTTTTAGGTGCTGTGATGTGTTTTTGTATTTTAAATGTGTTTACTATGTGCAATTGGCATAAATAAACATACAAATAGACACAAATAACCTGTAAAAAAGGTACTGTATTTACTGTACCATACTTACACCTCCGATCCCAAACATTTGACACTGAAATTAAGCAGAGTTACTTTTTTTGTCAGACCGGGTTACAGCCTTTGGGGCGGTTTTTGCCGGATCGGCCCGGGACCGCCGGACAACGTTGGAAGCAGCCGGATAATCGATGATCAAAAAAATGTAGCAGCCGAATACTCTGAACAGTCTGAGCTGGGGGGAATGTTTGTCTTTGCCCCTACGAAGAGCTGTGCGTTGCTGCCGAGCTGCCGGGGGGGTTCGAGCGCGAAGAGACGCTGGGCGAGCGGCTTCGTCACCTCGTCGCCCGTCTGGCCGTGTGGCGTGGGAGCAGCAGCCCTTCTCGATCGCTCCGGGCCGCTCCAGAGGGCCGCACCTCCCCGTCCGGTAACGCGCAGTCATCCCATCAATCAGTCCCCCCGCCGCTCCCCTTCCACTTTACTCCCATACCTGATGCACAAAAATTGATTTTTTTTTTTTTAAAATGAATGAACAAAACTCTCCAGTAGTGCGCGACTGTGGTCATCCAGAACAGAGACCGTACAACAGATAACGAACGCAATGCCCCGATCCGTAAATACGAAGGAGACATCACAGCGATGATACACTCCGCTGCTTCTCCTGGACACGGTTATCTGGCTTGACCCACCTGAATGTGAAACTGTAGTTGTTCTGCATCCAAATCACCCGTGATGGAAGAAGAGAATCCCATGGCCACCCCCACCTGGAGTGTTCACATTTGCAAAGGTTGGCACACCGGACTTCCCCCCCCTCGCGGCAGTTGCAACAACGGTGCAGGTTTAATTTTCGGGGACACTTTTTGCCGGTATCAAGATGATTAAAAAATATATATAATAGGCTTTACCCTTTCCAGCAATAATACAGGAGAGTGTTAAGATGTTGAGACACCATTTGCAATGCATCAAGTCTGCATTGACCATGTAACTGCTCAGCCCGAGCTATTAATGCTTTGATATTTGCATTCCCTTTGTGCTGTTCGCCTTTTGGCGTCGTTCTTTGGTCTAACGCCGGTGGTGAGACAAGGCCATAGAGGAGGCTGTCTCTGGTGTAGGCCAATCAGTTTCAAGGACAATGTGTAACATTATCAATACATGTTTGTTTGTATGTTTTACCATAATCATGATGTGTGATTAATGCAGACTTGACACCTTGCAACGGGTGTCTATTTGGTGTCTGAACATCTTAACACCCTCCTGTAGTATTACCGGAAAGGTGCAATTTTCTTAAATCCACCAAGCCCCATTCACTGCTTCCACCACCAGCAGCAGCTCTGTCCACACCAAGCAGAGTGAATGGATGCGCCACGATTAGGAGATCGTCAGGTCGCGTGTGGAGATATACTTTATAGGAACTCCCCTCTTCCAAGACGTCTGGCCAATGTGGAAGAGGAGGCCAAAGTGCCACAATGGTGGGGGGGGGCTCTATAGAGCTCCTTCTAAGCCAAGGCCATTGTGCCACAGCAGTGGCGTGAGCAATGTCTCCACCTTCGGCCATTACGTTTGTTAACTCTGACATGTGAGCCGATTCATCCAAATCGCTGTCCAGCTCAGGCTTGGTTCGGTCCTCGGTCTTCAGGCGTGGAACGTGCTGGCCTCTGAAATTCTTCCATTTAGAATTCAACTCAAAGCTTTCTAACTTCGCAAGATATTTTTGTTAACTCAGTTTTGGGTATGGTTTTTTTTTTTCCACAAGTAAATAAACAACTCCAATCTCTCCTGCGTGGTGTCGGGGAAATCACGGGCAACAGACATGAAGGGGGGCTACCGGCCCTCCAGCCGCCGCAGCTCGACGGCGGACACCACCACCGTCGACTTCTACGAGCAGACGGCCACGCTGACCGATCTGTCGGGGCCCAGCGGTGTCGGGGCCAGCAGCACCAGCAACGTCGGCGGCCGCGGTGGCGGCTTCCCGCCGGAGGAGCCCGGAGCGCACCAGCGCGTCAACCTGCTCCACCAGGGCGTCTCCAAGGGCCCGTGCGCGCTCTGCGGCCTGGGCGCACGGCCCAGGGACACGGTGTACGGCTGCGTCGAGTGCGCGTGGGGAGGGCACAAGTACGTCAGGCTCCACGCAGTGCCCTGCTTCGACCTCTGGCACAGGAAGATGAAGAGTTGAACGTCGATTGCCCCCCCGTCTCTAACCCTGCCCCCCCCCCACCCCCCGCCTCGGGTTCTTGTTTTAGTGGTTGCCGAGTGACAGGGCCCCCCGTATTCATTCTCTAGGTTATAAGGTCGCGGGGCTCATCGCACACACTTAGGGTTTGCCACAAATGAACCGCCGATATCTTGCTGATATCGTCAAGGAGCATAAACCGTCACGTGAACTCCGGTCATCCTCGCAGCGGCGGCTTTTGGCTAACCCATCGAACTTAGGCGGTCACCGCATCGCGCGCAGTTTTACTCTGGTGAAAAATGGTGAAATCCGGTGAAAATCCCAGGTATTTGGTCGTATTCTGACAAAATATTGGTCGAAACAACTTTTGCCAACACACGAATGAGGACTTAATGTCTCTCATTCAGCCTTCTGTGCATTTAATTTCGGAATGCTGGAAACCACAGTTGCTACCTTGTGGTTTTGGCAGATACAGCCAGTGGCCAATTGCTGGGCATGGAGTGTGGGATATTGCCTGAGCAATAACCATACCGGGAGGTCAAATACACACTCACATTTATGATATTATTTAGATTCCTGTCTTATTTGAACCAGAAAAAAAATCGCTGATTGTCGGGACTTTCTGAGTTACAACTAGTGACGTGACATCATAAGCACGTGACAGAGGCCTCAGAACTCCGAGATACAAACCGAGGCCAGAGGCGCATTTCAGCCGAAGCCACTGACTGATGAGGTATCAAACCGTGCTGTAGGAACATGAGGTCGCAGCAGCAGCAACCGCCTACACATCAAAGACGAATAAAAACTGCCCACAGGCGTAGGCTATACTTTTGTACTTCAAATCCGTGTTTACAAAGTCCCCAAAGCACAGTGCCTACATATGTTCACGTAAAAGAAACACCGGACGGGATTCAGGATTCGCATTCACAGGAAACTGAAACTGCCTCGGCAACTCAAAGCTCCTCACATTAGATCTCAGTTTCGGCCTCGGGACTCTCTGATGGTGGTTTGACCCTGTACGGGCAAGGTGTACGCCAGCACCGGCCTGCGAGTGCGGATCAGTCTGCTAGTAGGGGAGCGACGTTACTTTGTGGGGGGGGGGGGGTTCTCCCAATTCAGTAACAGTAGCGGATCATTTTTCAAATCTGCCTGAAAGTTTGGACCCTGGGGGAGGGGGGGGGGGTTTCTCCCAATTCAGTAACAGTAGCGGATCATTTTTCAAATCTGCCTGAAAGTTTGGACCGTAATACGACGGGATCTTTATCATCTCACTGCACAGCGGTATTTTTTCCCTGCTGTAATCTGTTGTAATCATCCGAGGTCAGGTATTCTGCCCAGCTTCTCGACCTGTGAACGCCGTTGATGCTCCGTGGCTGTAACGCCTTGTACTTCCCAAGCGGAGCGAGATGTCCCTGTAAATACTTGGCACCATTGTCGGTGTCTCCTGGCGAGGGCGATTTCTTCCCCAACGCTTTTTAGTCCGTGCCTGATGGATTTTAGTTTTCATCAGGTTCTGTCACGCACAGGGCTATGAGTGTCCAGGCCTGTGTATAAATTAAGCCTCTTGTTGAGTATGCTTGACTGCCTATGGAGCCCGAGGGATATGGCAGGGTTTTGATTCTGGCTTCCAATTACTGTAATCCAAGACGCACCGTTTCCTTTGATGCAGTTTCAGGTAAAAATTGGCTCATCGTGAATGTGTGGTTTCATGTGGTTTACAGAGGATCAGTTACCTACCTATTTGCCTGCCTACACCAACCTGCTTCATGACCTCTGTTGTCCATACTGTGTATCATGACTTTGCTGAAGGTTTTCTTTTAAGTTATTGATATTAGCAGATTTCTGTGCATGCATTTTGTATTCGCACCCTTTGAATTAAATCAACTTCAAATGGGCTTGACTTTTTTATTTTTATATTGGGCCCGTGTAGACATGAGCCAGAATGAAGATGTCATATTTATTGTTTTTTTTTTACACAGGAATCAAGCTTGCATCTAAAAATGCGACAGCATCGGTCTGATAGTGAGACACCTGTTAATTTACTGCGCCCGATTAAACACGATAAGTCTCATTCATGAATCATTGTGCTCTGATCATCATGCCATTGCATATTTCCATCACACGTAGATCAGAAGTTTAGATCACCTTGGACATCACCTCCGATTAGCCCCCGCACCTCCGATTAGCACGGATGGCTACGTACGGTGCGAATGTAGTTCAACATACATACTTATATAAGAGTTTCTGTGTTGAGTGATTGCATCATTTTCATTAACATCAAATGATCGGCACGTCTGTGACTTTCTTAAACACGCCTCAAAGTACTCCATCCAAATTTATAGCAGCAACCGACGCAAACCACCGAAAATCCCGAACAGCGCAAACCCAAGCGTGCAGATGAGCTGTGGGTAGACTTGGTCATTTGGTTCAGAACACGGACGTACACTTGCCTACAGGTGAAACTAAAGATACGTGCTTCACAGTCCGTTGTATAAGTGAGATGGTGCATTTGGTAATTGTCTCCCGAGGTAACCAGACAATTGTGGGAATCGAATAATGTAGTCGGCTTTTTAGACTAGCTGATTAAAAAAAAACAAGAATACACCATAACGTACAAATAATAGAATGCATTTTTCATGGGGAGTGGTGGTGCAGTGGTTAGCGTACCACGCTGTGAAGTCTGTCACCTCGGGTCGATTCACGGCCATGGTTAATATCAGTGGTGAGCGACATCTGATGCGGTCCTTGGGTGCCTTCTCTCTACCAATCTGTACTCACCAGTGTGGTGAAGCATGGCCAGATAGCATCGATGACCCACATGGTGTGGGTCATCATGGAGGTTGTGGGTGGCATCACCCAGTAGCGGACCTAACCGAAGTCTGGAAAGTGTCATCAACGTTACACCTCGTCACGCCGGCACGCGAGTGAAAACTCCACGCGAGAAAATCACTCGACAAGACTTCAAAATAAGCAAATAGATTTTATGTCTCGCTGCAAGCACGTACAGATCAACAAAGACCTACACTTGGTTAACCAAAAGATTACAGTTGAAATTGCACTTGATTAGCATTGCCGCTCTCCGATCCGAGACTGAAGCAATGAGGTGATTTACCATCAGACTGCCGGCAAAAAAACACTCGCTAAACGTCCACCGGCGGCGCCCATAAACCTTTGGTCGAGATGATGCATGATTGCAAAAGATTGCATTTCCTTAAGTGATCAGACGACCGTTGAAAGCATTAAGGCTGCAACACAAATATGAGCACAGGGTTTTAAAGAGGCACTGCATCGTATGAAAGTCAGAAGATGAATGCATCGCAAAGGCTGACATTTCCCAAAATATATGCGCGAGGTCCACTCGTTGTTCATATATATTTGTGCGAGTGTGTACATTGTAATGCCTACACGTATGTGTAGCATTATGCAACGTATTGTTTAACGATGCATTTTCACGTAATTACAGAATGCACGAGGGTTGGGTTTAAATTCGTTCAGAATGTAAATTACAAACTAGCCCTCACGTACCCATCACGGAACACGTGTTGTTACAAATTAATGTCTTTAAAAATTAAATAGCGCAGTGTCGGAGTGCATGCGTTTAATATCAATTTAATATCAATCTGAAACCGCACCTAACGTACGCATTCTTAGCCTTGTATATAATTTGCAAAGAGTATGGCTCAAATTTGTGCGTAAAAAATGAAGAAACCTATCATTTTTGGGAGGCACTTATTAGCTGGTAGATGGAGGCTTATGTGCACCTTGTAATCCAGCACCGTGGAAATCTTGATTTGATGTTTTCGTGACTGCAGGGATCCATACTCTTTGGTTCTTTCGGTAAAGACAACCACTTCAGCAATTGTTTTTCTTGCTGTGGTTGTCCCACCTGATGACGGACGCTTGTGTTGCGCCCGAAACGTCGTGATTTAATGTATTTTATACCGACGTGACTTTACCGAAAGGACCAAAGAGCATTGTTGTTAAACCCCCCTTCTTCTCGTGGGCGTTGGGGGAAGATGCCAGTCTGGCTCGCCAGAAGGTGGCACGGCAAATTGCGGATCGACATATATATATGATCTGTTCCATCTGTATGGGATCATGTGTCCCATCTGTATGGGATAGAGTGTTTCCCCCACCGCGCATGTGGGTTTTCTCCTTGCGCTCCGGTTTCTTCCCTTCCCACGTGCAAAAATGCTCATCATAAATTGGCTGCAAACATCTTAACAAGTAACAATTAAACCCAATGCAGGACCCTCCTGAAAAAGAGTCCTTGGACTCAGTGTGACTTCCTGTGTAAATAAGTAATGGTTATTATTGTTGTTAAAACACAAGGCTGTGATCACAACAGGCCGTGTGCATTAATGCCGACTCCCAATGTACCCAAAGCCCTTTGTACGTCTTCATAAGCTGCAATAATAATACATTTTATAATGCGGGCAAAGTTGCGGACCGAAGCTGCAATTCTGAGGCGTGAAGCCGAACTCAGCGTCAGATCGCGTCGCGCGGTCCGGTGACACTCAGTTAAATGTCGAGCTGAAGAGGTGTGTCTTTAGATGGCTTTTGGACGAAGAAAATTATTGATCGTTACAGATGTGAATGGGTGGGGGGCGGGGAGGGATGGCGTTCCAGATGACAGGGGGCTGTGACGGAAAAACGACGCGAAGCAATGACCGTCCTTGTCCTGGGGGTTTCCGAGGAGGTTCTGCGTCGCACTCCAAAGGTGTCTACGGACCGTTGAAGTGTCAGGCGTCAGCAGAGAAACTTCGGTACGGTGGGTAGCCGGATTTTAGGGCGTGGGTGCAAAGGCAAGCGATCTTGAAGGTAATTCTGGCACGAAGGATGGACAGGGAGTCTGGGCGAGGGTTGCATGGGCTGTAGACAAATGATAGTATATTTAAAACATCAATTTTAATTGCACATTATAAGAAATGATAATAATTTTTTTTATTACAATTACATTTCAGCATATATATTTAATCCAAAGTAGCTGAAATCACCGCCTTAACCCACAAAAGCCTCAGTCTGTGTCACTCTTGCAGAGGGCGTTGTGCTGGGAACGTCTCATCAACTCGATTGTGGGCGTCATCTGTGCGCCTTGCCGTGAGGCTAGGGCGCACGGAGGAAAGCCACACGTGCACCTGAACAACTGGTGCGTTCTGCACCTGATGGCCATCCTGCTTGGCTGTACTGTCTCATATGGACACCTCAGTACGCAGCAGGTGGATGTCTCAAGAAACACCATGCCTCTTGTAGGAACCAGCGTTTCAATTGCTGGCATCCCGGTCAGACACCCGCCTACGCCAACAATGCAAAAGCCACTGCATTGGAGGTGTGCATGGCCCCTACAGCTAATGCCGTTGGGTTTTAATGAACTGTAAAGAATCAGAACCAGAATCTTTATTCATACTGCAGGAATCCAATGACCTATGAAACACTCTTTTTCACAGATGTCCAGTAGGGGCGGGTCAGAAAGTTACAACAGAAAATACCAAAAAAACGACAGGGGTGCAGAGTATCGGAAAGTTAAGCAAATCACTCAAACTAAACAATTTCAAATGTAGCAGGTAAAGCCAGCTGAGCTATTAGCTCAGTGGGCTGCGGATAAGATGAGTCGCGGATAAGATGAGTCGCGGATAATAGGGCTGCGGATAAGAGTTCTGTGTATGAAGCAGTATTCCTTTGGTGGCCCCTGAGCCAGTGGTTGAATATTCCACATTCATATGGCAGGGACATATTTATATTCTTGAGTGTATATTGATGTAAAATATATGTCTGCATATACAGCATACACATGTATATTGTGCATCTACAGTAGTATACCCCAATTAGCATGGTTGGCTACGTGAGGTGACAAAGAAGTTCAACATATATGTACAACATACATAGTTATACACAAACAGATGAGCTCTTGGTGGCACTACATGCCTATATATAAATTTAGTGGTGGGGTTGGCGGGTAACGCATAGATCATGTGCGTGAAATATACCAACGTTCTGGGTAAGGGATTGCCTTACAGGGGCAGTACAGAAAGTTGTTTTTTGATGAGCCCTATGTGTGGCAGTTGAGCATTATCTTACAATATATATTTGAACCAGATTATAATTAAGTGCAAAAAACCCCAAAACAATCGGTCAGAACATTTAATGCAGGAAGCCCTAATAAAGAGTTCAGATTCTATGAGGCTTTCCTGGCTAAAGATCTCAACTTACAATGATTGTCGCTCCATGCTGCCAACACAGTGCTACCTACGCAGTGCCTCTTTAAAAGATCCAAGCTTCTCAACACACAAATGTCTTAACCGCAAGAATGTACAGAGCCGTAGCAGTAATATTAATTATAGATAACGTACACATCTCTGATATCGTGACAATATCCTCTTGGCTTCAGGCACAGCCTGAATTGGAAAACGGGGAAAGGAAAGGGGCAATGCATGAATCACATCTCAGCGACAAACGCAAAACCGACAGGGCATTCCTGGGTAAAGAAAGCTCAGCTATGTATATTTGAGTTATAGCGGAACAACAACACTTGCCCAGGCCAGAATCGTTGACCCGACGCTGGGAGGACGAAGCCCTCTCGAGCGCAGTCCCAACAATCTGGAATACCATCCAATTCTGTGGTCTGTGCAAGATGGACCTATTCAGAGATAACGTTGTGGGTGTGTTCGTTAACCCTCAAAGCCATGCCATGTGAAAATATTGCAACGCAGAACAGCGCTGTGATTGGATGGAAAGAGGAATGAGGTCAACGTGGGCTTGGCAGTGTTGCTTGTGCCAATGCCTGTGCGTTAAAGAAATAACCCCTTGCTTGGTTTGAATGGGCCGTTCAGGCTGGGCCATCCAGGTAGGATGGGAGAGCTGAGAATAAGGTCATGGGATGAAACTTTTCAACACATTATGATGAAATGAAATTCTGTTAATTGGAATGATTGTCATGATTTGGGGGTTAAAATTTAATTTGAAAAAATTATAATCCTTTGCAGTCCCCATTTTGGCTCATGAGCTAAAATGTAACACTTGAATAGCATTTGAACAGGCGTAATCTAGTTGTACACGCACAATTCAATGCGTGTGTTATGAAAGACACAATTACAGTCAATTATCAGTTTTTGCATACCCAGATTTTTTTTTTACCGTTGCCTTAACTTGATGCAATTCATGCCTCCGATTAGCACGGTTGGCTACATACGGTGCGAAAGAAGTTCAACATACATACGTACAAGTGAACCGAGTTCAATGAAGCAAACGTATTTTAGGAACCCGGAGATGAGCGAGCGAACAGTGGAACGAGGGGTGGCCAAGGAGGTTGGCAAAGTCATGGGGTGCAGTGGCTACAGCTGCGCTTTTTATCTCAGAGCTGCCCTGCACCCCGATCACTAGCGAAGATGACCCCAACACTGGAAGCCGTATTGTTCTGCATCATACCGGTCACCTAGCTACTCCAAGTGTGCAAGTGGGGTGAATGGCCATCGTGGGAGAAGAGGCCACAGTAAAAGCCCAGCCTTGGAGAGGCTGAGCTGGGACTCTACAAGAACAGCAGCAGCTGACAGCGCGGATGTGTGAGCGGATGCCACGCAGGTTCGTGAGCCGGTCACCATATCGCGCCCTTTCAGGTGCACATCTGCGACCGTCTGGAACGCTCTTCCTTCCTATATTAGGAAGCCACTGGGAGCTATGCAATTTTTAATCTAGACTAAAAACATTTTTTTTTTAGAACCGCTTGGTGTTTAGTTTGTTGTCCTTCCCTCTCGCGCTTCCGATTAGCATGGTTGGCTATATTTGGTGCAAAAGAAGTTCAAGAAACTGATGCCGCGCAGAATGAGGGTCAGCAGGGCGAGGCGGAGGAGAGTGAGCATGCTCGGCAGTACTTCTAAGTGTTCAACCAATAAAGTAAAAATTTTCATACGTTGAATGAAACCTAATAAATGGCTCATTTTAACATGGTGTGTAATTCTGCGAGTAATTGAAACTATTTAGATATGTACTCATGTCACCTCTGGAGAACTCCATGTAAGTTATATTTTGAGTAAAGATTATACATATTATATTATTTTGGTCTTTCGGTAAAGTCACGTAGATAGGTTCAAAGAAAATAACAAAAAACTACGGTGTTTCGATCGCGGACGAAGGTACTTTGCAAACCCACTGGCTATCAACAAAGATTCGTTCATGAAGCCATCCATATATACAGACATAGACACAATTTCAACCGAGAAGATGGGTACAAACTCAGCAATCACTGGAAGGACGTTATCAACCAGTTTAAGTCATAACTGGCTGTCATGTTTCCATTTTAGATCTGGCAGCCCTTTAATTAATGGAAGCCCACCACCAACACCATCACTACCATCACTACCAACAACTACTATCACCTCTAGCAGCCCTTTAATTGGTGGAAGCCAACCACCAGGACCATTTCTGCCCACTCCCTTTATTGGTGGAAGCCCACCACCAGCACTATCACTACCAACAACTACCATCACCTCTAGCAGCAACTTCCCTTACATGAACATTAGCTACCCCACCCATGCTGCTGACACTTGGGCTACGCCCATTTTTAAACCTTTATAAACAGTTTGCCTTTAGAGGCTAACCCCCTTTTCCTGATGACGACCGCTTGTGTTGCGATCGAAACTTCATCGTTTTTTGTTCTATCTACGTGACTTTATCAAAAGACCCAAAGAATATGAATTCCTGCAGTCACGAAAGCTTTAAGTCAAGATTGATAAATATTGGTAAAATTACGCGCTCTGTCATTATCCATCTTCAAGTGTGGTTCAACTGACAGAGGCAACGGGTATGCTGGAAAACATCAAAGGCAAACGAACTTTCCATGACGACAACAATCAACGAATACAGTAAAAAGCAATGATGTAATTGAAACAAAAAAAGATCATCCCCGACACAGAGATCACACGAATCTGGAACGGGGTTCTTGGAAGCTGTAAACGTGCCTTGAATTTTCTCAATCCCTCTTTGACATCAATCCACGCGCGGGCGCACACCGGGGCGCGTGCGGGGCAGGGAGTGTGGCTGTTGCGATGTAACAGTTTAGTACAAATCGACTTGCAAAGCCAGGAATCTCCGGTCCCATCGACCGGCATCCGTGGTAAGTTTGAAACAACAGAGCCACGTTTCTTAAAATGTCTTAAATCCCCCCCCCCCCCCCCCCCCGGCTGCTGTCCACCCAGCGGTATCAGATGTTGTACATCGCAGGTAGTTTAGTCAATCGGTTGGTCGCGCACGGTGGGGTTAAGTGTGAGTACTTTCACCTCTTGGAAAACGGCTGGCCAGCACAGAGAAGTAGGCCAAATATGCTCTAGTGGGGCTCTCCAGCGCAAATAGATTTTCTTAACTTCAACTAAATTATGTGTTTTAACACCACGAGATTAGATTCCACTTTGCACACTCACCTCAGTAATGGCCTGTAATCGATAAATAATGAATACATTAACTTTAACTGAAGCACAGCAAAACGTGATATGAAACTTAAATCGATTTTATGTTATTTATTTAACCATTTGGAGTCCAAAATTAGTTTTGCTACATTTTTTCATCTGCCATTGAGTATATTGGCAAACAGCTCATAATAATAACTTTGAGACATTTGTCAAACCACTGCTAGATGAAGGACCTCTAGCGCCATGGTGATCACGGTGGTTATTTGACCATACTTCACTTCGCTGGCTAGTGAGGGTTGGTGAAGGGGGGCTCAAGACTGGTTAAGGTATCATTCGCCACTGGATGTTCGCTAAGGCTGAGAATCAAACTCACGGTCACCCGGGTTCATAGCACATGAACGTTGGCAATTGTTCCTAAAATAAATTAAGATGCCATGTGCCCACATAATATTTGAGAGCTCTTAAAGAAGGCCCAACTGCCCCAAATCTAAGTCGAAATAGTTTTCTGATTTAAGGGAGTCATTGACAAAGGTGGTTACATTTAATTTTTTAAATTTCCCCTTGAATAGCAAACGCATTTTGTAATTCAACCTCACACGGTTTATTAAAGACTCGCTTGCTCAACCCATTGAAAATTTAAATTTATGATAAGACTACAAACGAAAATAAACATGTACGACAAAAGTGATATTAAACTGAAAAATGGGCAAATTTTATGAAACCGAAGGTGCAAAATGAAATGAGCTTTAAGTGAAACGTCTGCAGCTTGTTTAGACGTGACAAGAGGTCAGTCGACATCACACCATTTCAATAATGTTTTAAAGATTTACCGCCGACAGTATTAGAGGACTGTGAGGGATGGCAATTGCATGGAGAGGCCTTCATCCAGTAGTGGACAGGCCTTTCATGATGATGATGATGCGGATTTATATATTTGTATTACACAGTTTACAAAGCACTACTTTTCCACAAACAATTATTTAGTTAAATTTTGATTTAAAGCTTTCGTGACTGCAGTAATTCATATTCTTAGCTCTTTCTTTTATGATTTTATTGTTTCCCTTCAACGTGACTTTACCGAAATAGCTAAGAATATAATTATTTAGTTGTTTTTTTGCCAAAGCCCGTTGCGTTGCGGAGCCATGAAGTCAAATACGAAACCCTCTATACGGGAGCCTTAAGAAGCTGCGGTGAGTTTCAGTTGTGCAATCAATGGGACTGCGAGTCTCAATTGGAAACTACCATTTGTGCGTGGAGCAGTGCGTCATTTGATAAGTGACAGAACAATGTCTAATGACTCGCCATTCCCAATTGACACGGGAGAGGTCGTGCCCATCAGTCGTATTGTGAGTATTTCTCAACATTTAATGGACGGGGAAAAGCCACGACTGACTTGTGGAAAGGAGTCAAAGGGACATATTTGTTTCTCACGAAAGCGGAGAGGTCTTGCGCATTGCAGCTGGTGATATCTTGTTACTGCGGAGATAGGGTATCACCATAAACCATACCGTGTGGGAAGGCTTTCATCTAGCAGTGGATTTGACAAAGGGCCGTACATTATTATTTGCTTACTTGAATACAGGTTATATTGATCTTTAAGTGCTTAAATCACAATGTACGGGGATCCTTTTTTGACAGTAGCTGATAGAGAATTACTTACAATGCTAATAATTATTACAGTTTAAATAGGAAAACATTGTTTCATCGTCATCATTTTCCACCATTTAAAATACGATGCTCATCATTTATATTAACATGCAAAATGTAAAGTTCGAAATTTAGCAGCAAAAATATATATTTATTTTCCGTAAGTCCTATTTTATCCGTTAACTCGAACGGAAGCAGAGAACAACGTTTGCAGATTTCAGTTGTTAGAGCATTGTTAATGATGAGAACAGAATTGCACGTGTCAGACTATTCGACTAGCACGATTACGATCGGCACCACCACCACCACCGGTGAAGACTTTAAATTAGAAATTGTGCAAATGTTGCAACATTCATAGCAGGTTTATGAAAGAAGAAAAAAAATGCACACAGCTTGTTTCCAGAGCTGCACAGGCTATCGCACTATACAGAATCTTTGCATTGAATTCGTGCTATGATACACTTCCCTATAAGATACGGACAATTTGGATAATACGTAATATTTGTTTTCTCAATTTATATGACTTTATGGTATTTTTTACATATATACTTTATATAACAGCCAAACGGAAGTCTTAACTGGTATATGAGTGCACAGAAGGGACAAAAGCCTTTTGGGGAAGGGAGAGGGGGCGGTAGCCATCTTATAAACTGGGGGCGAGGCTAGGATAATGAGTGGGAGGGGATTGCGAGAATGGGGCGGGGTCAAATGACCGCTGTAAAACTGCGGTGGGAGTTTCACCTGCCTGGTAATAATTGGGCTATAGTGGCAAGTACTGGTGGAGCACACCAAATGGGTCTTATGTTTGAATATGAATGCGCCCCTCCGGTGTGACACCGCGTCAGCCCCCCGCCCCCCCCCCCCCCACGGCAAAGAGGACGTCACCAGAGAACCTGGCTTTCCAGTTTCGCGAACCCAGATTCTCGTCTCAGCTCCCAGTAGGTTCCGTTCGTTACCCAGCACTCCCGGCCGCTGGAGTCCACCACTCTCCTGTGATGGGGGCAGAGGTGGGGCGGGGGGGGGGGAGCAGGGAGGTGGGGGGTAACATTCACAGAAATGGGAATGTGGAAACAAGTGGCAGAAAAGTATTACACTCTGAGGCTCACAGCAAAAAGTGTCTAAAAGGCAGAGGTGTCTCGAGGTAGCTTGGTCAGGACACGTCGCTTGGGGAGGGGTGATGGCCGGCGGTCAAAGGTGCATGGTGGGGGTTTAGGTGGCCAGCGAACGCAGCTAAAGCAGTCGAGAGGAACGACTACGGTGGAGATGGAGTGATGAGGTCACAGTTCGTGTGCGGCAGCTAAAGGGATCGTCGCGTTGTGAGTCTATTAACGATTGGCAATTGATTGGGAGAGGCCTTCATCCAGCACTGGATAGAGCACAGCTGATGATGATGATGATTAGACATTCTTCTTTCAGTACACTGGCATGCTGATTTTATTTTTCAAATTTCATTTAGTGTTAGACTTTTTTGTTGTATTTATGTTGTATGGCAGGGTTACTGTAAGGTTAGGGTCAGGATTTGGTTTAGTGGTTGTATCTATGCATGTTGAACTTCTTTCACACTGTACGTAACCAACAGTGCTAATCGCTGGTAGGGTTAGGGTATAGAGGAAGGGTTATGGTCCAGTATAGGGGAAGGCTGAGGGTAACGGTTATAGTGGTAGAATTTTTGTCGGTCAGGTATGGGGATAGGGTTTGAGTTAACGTCAGGTATCGGGTAGGAATTATCATCATCAGGTATAGGGGTAGGATTAGGGTTATGATCAGGTATAAACGGACGGGTTAGGGCCAGGCATCGGCATAGGAGCATTCAGCCTCATGTATCATGGCGGATTATTATCATGGTCATTTATAGGGTTACAGTCAGGGTCAGGTATGGGGCTCGAGTTATGATCATTGTCAGGTGGAATAGACTTAGAGTCAAGGTCAGGCATAGTGCAGCAATGTTATTGTCAGGGTGATGTGTAGGGGTTATTGTCAGGGTGAGGTGTAGGGGTTGTTGTCAGGGTGAGGTGTAGGGGTTGTTGTCAGGGTGAGGTGTAGGGGTTGTTGCCAGGGTGAGGTGTAGGGGTTGTTGTCAGGGTGATGTGTAGGGGTTATTGTCAGGGTGAGGTGTAGGGGTTGTTGCCAGGGTGAGGTGTAGGGGTTGTTGTCAGGGTGAGGTGTAGGGGTTGTTGCCAGGGTGAGGTGTAGGGGTTGTTGTCAGGGTGAGGTGTAGGGGTTGTTGTCAGGGTGAGGTGTAGGGGTTGTTGTCAGGGTGAGGTGTAGGGGTTATTGTCAGGGTGAGGTGTAGGGGTTGTTGCCAGGGTGAGGTGTAGGGGTTGTTGTCAGGGTGAGGTGTAGGGGTTGTTGCCAGGGTGAGGTGTAGGGGTTGTTGCCAGGGTGAGGTGTAGGGGTTGTTGCCAGGGTGAGGTGTAGGGGTTATTGTCAGGGTGAGGTGTAGGGGTGGTTGTCAGGGTGAGGTGTAGGGGTTGTTGCCAGGGTGAGGTGTAGGGGTTGTTGCCAGGGTGAGGTGTAGGGGTTCTTGCCAGGGTGAGGTGTAGGGGTTATTGTCAGGGTGAGGTGTAGGGGTTGTTGTCAGGGTGAGGTGTAGGGGTTGTTGCCAGGGTGAGGTGTAGGGGTTGTTGTCAGGGTGAGGTGTAGGGGTTGTTGTCAGGGTGAGGTGTAGGGGTTGTTGCCAGGGTGAGGTGTAGGGGTTGTTGCCAGGGTGAGGTGTAGGGGTTGTTGCCAGGGTGAGGTGTAGGGGTTGTTGCCGGGGTGAGGTGTAGGGGTTGTTGCCAGGGTGAGGTGTAGGAGTTGTTGCCAGGGTGAGGTGTAGGGGTTGTTGCCAGGGTGAGGTGTAGGGGTTGTTGCCAGGGTGAGGTGTAGGGGTTGTTGCCAGGGTGAGGTGTAGGGGTTGTTGCCAGGGTGAGGTGTAGGGGTTGTTGCCAGGTTGAGGTGTAGGGGTTGTTGCCAGGGTGAGGTGTAGGGGTTATTGTCAGGGTGAGGTGTAGGGGTTGTTGTCAGGGTGAGGTGTAGGGGTTGTTGCCAGGGTGAGGTGTAGGGGTTGTTGTCAGGGTGAGGTGTAGGGGTTGTTGCCAGGGTGAGGTGTAGGGGTTGTTGCCAGGGTGAGGTGTAGGGGTTGTTGCCAGGGTGAGGTGTAGGGGTGGTTGTCAGGGTGAGGTGTAGGGGTTGTTGCCAGGGTGAGGTGTAGGGGTTGTTGCCAGGGTGAGGTGTAGGGGTTGTTGCCAGGGTGAGGTGTAGGGGTTGTTGTCAGGGTGAGGTGTAGGGGTTGTTGTCAGGGTGAGGTGTAGGGGTTGTTGCCAGGGTGAGGTGTAGGGGTTGTTGTCAGGGTGAGGTGTAGGGGTTGTTGCCAGGGTGAGGTGTAGGGGTTGTTGCCAGGGTGAGGTGTAGGGGTTGTTGCCAGGGTGAGGTGTAGGGGTTGTTGCCAGGGTGAGGTGTAGGGGTTGTTGTCAGGGTGAGGTGTTGGGGTTGTTGCCAGGGTGAGGTGTAGGGGTTGTTGCCAGGGTGAGGTGTAGGGGTTGTTGCCAGGGTGAGGTGTAGGGGTTGTTGCCGGGTGAGGTGTAGGGGTTGTTGCCAGGGTGAGGTGTAGGAGTTGTTGCCAGGGTGAGGTGTAGGGGTTGTTGCCAGGGTGAGGTGTAGGGGTTGTTGCCAGGGTGAGGTGTAGGGGTTGTTGCCAGGGTGAGGTGTAGGGGTTGTTGCCAGGGTGAGGTGTAGGGGTTGTTGCCAGGGTGAGGTGTAGGGGTTGTTGGCAGGTTGAGGTGTAGGGGTTGTTGCCAGGGTGAGGTGTAGGGGTTGTTGCCAGGGTGAGGTGTAGGGGTTGTTGCCAGGGTGAGGTGTAGGAGTTGTTGCCAGGGTGAGGTGTAGGGGTTGTTGCCAGGGTGAGGTGTAGGGGTTGTTGCCAGGGTGAGGTGTAGGGGTTGTTGCCAGGGTGAGGTGTAGGGGTTGTTGCCAGGGTGAGGTGTAGGGGTTGTTGCCAGGGTGAGGTGTAGGGGTTGTTGCCAGGGTGAGGTGTAGGGGTTGTTGCCAGGGTGAGGTGTAGGGGTTGTTGCCAGGGTGAGGTGTAGGGGTTGTTGCCAGGGTGAGGTGTAGGGGTGGTTGTCAGGGTGAGGTGTAGGGGTTGTTGCCAGGGTGAGGTGTAGGGGTTGTTGCCAGGGTGAGGTGTATGGGTTGTTGTCAGGGTGAGGTGTAGGGGTTATTGTCAGGGTGAGGTGTAGGGGTTGTTGTCAGGGTGAGGTGTAGGGGTTGTTGACAGGGTGAGGTGTAGGGGTTGTTGCCAGGGTGAGGTGTAGGGGTTATTGTCAGGGTGAGGTGTAGGGGTGGTTGTCAGGGTGAGGTGTAGGGGTTGTTGCCAGGGTGAGGTGTAGGGGTTGTTGCCAGGGTGAGGTGTAGGGGTTCTTGCCAGGGTGAGGTGTAGGGGTTATTGTCAGGGTGAGGTGTAGGGGTTGTTGTCAGGGTGAGGTGTAGGGGTTGTTGCCAGGGTGAGGTGTAGGGGTTGTTGTCAGGGTGAGGTGTAGGGGTTGTTGTCAGGGTGAGGTGTAGGGGTTGTTGCCAGGGTGAGGTGTAGGGGTTGTTGTCAGGGTGAGGTGTAGGGGTTGTTGCCAGGGTGAGGTGTAGGGGTTGTTGCCGGGGTGAGGTGTAGGGGTTGTTGCCAGGGTGAGGTGTAGGAGTTGTTGCCAGGGTGAGGTGTAGGGGTTTGTTGCCAGGGTGAGGTGTAGGGGTTGTTGCCAGGGTGAGGTGTAGGGGTTGTTGCCAGGGTGAGGTGTAGGGGTTGTTGCCAGGGTGAGGTGTAGGGGTTGTTGCCAGGTTGAGGTGTAGGGGTTGTTGCCAGGGTGAGGTGTAGGGGTTATTGTCAGGGTGAGGTGTAGGGGTTGTTGTCAGGGTGAGGTGTAGGGGTTGTTGCCAGGGTGAGGTGTAGGGGTTGTTGTCAGGGTGAGGTGTAGGGGTTGTTGCCAGGGTGAGGTGTAGGGGTTGTTGCCAGGGTGAGGTGTAGGGGTGTTGCCAGGGTGAGGTGTAGGGGTGGTTGTCAGGGTGAGGTGTAGGGGTTGTTGCCAGGGTGAGGTGTAGGGGTTGTTGCCAGGGTGAGGTGTAGGGGTTGTTGCCAGGGTGAGGTGTAGGGGTTATTGTCAGGGTGAGGTGTAGGGTTGTTGTCAGGGGTGAGGTGTAGGGGTTGTTGCCAGGGTGAGGTGTAGGGGTTGTTGTCAGGGTGAGGTGTAGGGGTTGTTGCCAGGGTGAGGTGTAGGGGTTGTTGCCAGGGTGAGGTGTAGGGGTTGTTGCCAGGGTGAGGTGTAGGGGTTGTTGCCAGGGTGAGGTGTAGGGGTTGTTGTCAGGGGTGAGGTGTAGGGGTTGTTGCCAGGGTGAGGTGTAGGGGTTGTTGCCAGGGGTGAGGTGTAGGGGTTGTTGCCAGGGTGAGGTGTAGGGGTTGTTGCCGGGGTGAGGTGTAGGGGTTGTTGCCGGGGTGAGGTGTAGGAGTTGTTGCCAGGGTGAGGTGTAGGGGTTGTTGCCAGGGTGAGGTGTCGGGGTTGTTTGCCAGGGTGAGGTGTAGGGGTTGTTGCCAGGGTGAGGTGTAGGGGTTGTTGCCAGGGTGAGGTGTAGGGGTTGTTGCCAGGTTGAGGTGTAGGGGTTGTTGCCAGGGTGAGGTGTAGGGGTTGTTGCCAGGGTGAGGTGTAGGGGTTGTTGCTAGGGTGAGGTGTAGGAGTTGTTGCCAGGGTGAGGTGTAGGGGTTGTTGCCAGGGTGAGGTGTAGGGGTTGTTGCCAGGGTGAGGTGTAGGGGTTGTTGCCAGGGTGAGGTGTAGGGGTTGTTGCCAGGGTGAGGTGTAGGGGTTGTTGCCAGGGTGAGGGTGTAGGGGTTGTTGCCAGGGTGAGGTGTAGGGGTTGTTGCCAGGGTGAGGTGTAGGGGTTGTTGCCAGGGTGAGGTGTAGGGGTTGTTGCCAGGGTGAGGTGTAGGGGTGGTTGTCAGGGTGAGGTGTAGGGGTTGTTGCCAGGGTGAGGTGTAGGGGTTGTTGCCAGGGTGAGGTGTATGGGTTGTTGTCAGGGTGAGGTGTAGGGGTTATTGTCAGGGTGAGGTGTAGGGGTTGTTGTCAGGGTGAGGTGTAGGGGTTGTTGCCAGGGTGAGGTGTAGGGGTTGTTGCCAGGGTGAGGTGTAGGGGTTGTTGCCAGGGTGAGGTGTAGGGGTTGTTGTCAGGGTGAGGTGTAGGGGTTGTTGCCAGGGTGAGGTGTAGGGGTTGTTGCCAGGGTGAGGTGTAGGGGTTGTTGCCAGGGTGAGGTGTAGGGGTTGTTGCCAGGGTGAGGTGTAGGGGTTGTTGCCAGGGTGAGGTGTAGGGGTTGTTGCCAGGGTGAGGTGTAGGGGTTGTTGCCAGGGTGAGGTGTAGGGGTTGTTGCCAGGGTGAGGTGTAGGGGTTGTTGCCAGGGTGAGGTGTAGGGGTTATTGTCAGGGTGAGGTGTAGGGGTTGTTGTCAGGGTGAGGTGTAGGGGTTGTTGCCAGGGTGAGGTGTAGGGGTTGTTGCCAGGGTGAGGTGTAGGGGTTATTGTCAGGGTGAGGTGTAGGGGTTGTTGTCAGGGTGAGGTGTAGGGGTTGTTGCCAGGGTGAGGTGTAGGGGTTGTTGCCAGGGTGAGGTGTAGGGGTTATTGTCAGGGTGAGCTGTAGGGGTTGTTGTCAGGGTGAGGTGTAGGGGTTATTGTCAGGGTGAGCTGTAGGGGTTGTTGTCAGGGTGAGGTGTAGGGGTTGTTGCCAGGGTGAGGTGTAGGGGTTGTTGTCAGGGTGAGGTGTAGGGGTTGTTGCCAGGGTGAGGTGTAGGGGTTGTTGCCAGGGTGAGGTGTAGGGGTTGTTGCCAGGGTGAGGTGTAGGGGTTGTTGCCAGGGTGAGGTGTAGGGGTTGTTGCCAGGGTGAGGTGTAGTGGTTGTTGCCAGGGTGAGGTGTAGGGGTTGTTGCCAGGGTGAGGTGTAGTGGTTGTTGCCAGGGTGAGGTGTAGGGGTTGTTGCCAGGGTGAGGTGTAGGGGTTGTTGTCAGGGTGAGGTGTAGGGGTTGTTGCCAGGGTGAGGTGTAGGGGTTGTTGCCAGGGTGAGGTGTAGGGGTTGTTGGCAGGGTGAGGTGTAGGGGTTGTTGCCAGGGTGAGGTGTAGGGGTTGTTGCCAGGGTGAGGTGTAGGAGTTGTTGCCAGGGTGAGGTGTCGGGGTTGTTGCCAGGGTGAGGTGTAGGGGTTGTTGCCAGGGTGAGGTGTAGGGGTTGTTGCCAGGGTGAGGTGTAGGGGTTGTTGCCAGGGTGAGGTGTAGGGGTTGTTGCCAGGGTGAGGTGTAGGGGTTGTTGCCAGGGTGAGGTGTAGGGGTTGTTGCCAGGGTGAGGTGTAGGGGTTGTTGCCAGGGTGAGGTGTAGGGGTTGTTGCCAGGGTGAGGTGTAGGGGTTGTTGCCAGGGTGAGGTGTAGGGGTTGTTGCCAGGGTGAGGTGTAGGGGTTGTTGCCAGGGTGAGGTGTAGGGGTTGTTGCCAGGGTGAGGTGTAGGGGTTGTTGTCAGGGTGAGGTGTAGGGGTTGTTGCCAGGGTGAGGTGTAGGGGTTGTTGCCAGGGTGAGGTGTAGGGGTTGTTGTCAGGGTGAGGTGTAGGGGTTGTTGCCAGGGTGAGGTGTAGGGGTTGTTGCCAGGGTGAGGTGTAGGGGTTGTTGCCAGGGTGAGGTGTAGGGGTTGTTGCCAGGGTGAGGTGTAGGGGTTATTGTCAGGGTGAGGTGTAGGGGTTGTTGTCAGGGTGAGGTGTAGGGGTTGTTGCCAGGGTGAGGTGTAGGGGTTGTTGCCAGGGTGAGGTGTAGGGGTTATTGTCAGGGTGAGGTGTAGGGGTTGTTGTCAGGGTGAGGTGTAGGGGTTGTTGCCAGGGTGAGGTGTAGGGGTTGTTGCCAGGGTGAGGTGTAGGGGTTATTGTCAGGGTGAGCTGTAGGGGTTGTTGTCAGGGTGAGGTGTAGGGGTTGTTGCCAGGGTGAGGTGTAGGGGTTGTTGCCAGGGTGAGGTGTAGGGGTTGTTGCCAGGGTGAGGTGTAGGGGTTGTTGCCAGGGTGAGGTGTAGGGGTTGTTGCCAGGGTGAGGTGTAGGGGTTGTTGCCAGGGTGAGGTGTAGGGGTTGTTGCCAGGGTGAGGTGTAGGGGTTGTTGCCAGGGTGAGGTGTAGGGGTTGTTGCCAGGTTGAGGTGTAGGGGTTGTTGCCAGGGTGAGGTGTAGGGGTTGTTGACAGGGTGAGGTGTAGGGGTTGTTGCCAGGGTGAGGTGTAGGGGTTGTTGCCAGGGTGAGGTGTAGGGGTTGTTGCCAGGGTGAGGTGTAGGGGTTGTTGTCAGGGTGAGGTGTAGGGGTTATTGTCAGGGTGAGGTGTAGGGGTTGTTGTCAGGGTGAGGTGTAGGGGTTGTTGCCAGGGTGAGGTGTAGGGGTTGTTGCCAGGGTGAGGTGTAGGGGTTATTGTCAGGGTGAGCTGTAGGGGTTGTTGTCAAGGTGAGGTGTAGGGGTTGTTGCCAGGGTGAGGTGTAGGGGTTGTTGCCAGGGTGAGGTGTAGGGGTTGTTGCCAGGGTGAGGTGTAGGGGTTGTTGCCAGGGTGAGGTGTAGGGGTTGTTGCCAGGGTGAGGTGTAGGGGTTGTTGCCAGGGTGAGGTGTAGGGGTTGTTGCCAGGGTGAGGTGTAGGGGTTGTTGCCAGGGTGAGGTTTAGGGGTTGTTGCCAGGGTGAGGTGTAGGGGTTGTTGCCAGGTTGAGGTGTAGGGGTTGTTGCCAGGGTGAGGTGTAGGGGTTGTTGTCAGGGTGAGGTGTAGGGGTTGTTGCCAGGGTGAGGTGTAGGGGTTGTTGCCAGGGTGAGGTGTAGGGGTTGTTGCCAGGGTGAGGTGTAGGGGTTGTTGCCAGGTTGAGGTGTAGGGGTTGTTGCCAGGGTGAGGTGTAGGGGTTGTTGTCAGGGTGAGGTGTAGGGGTTGTTGCCAGGGTGAGGTGTAGGGGTTGTTGCCAGGGTGAGGTGTAGGGGTTGTTGTCAGGGTGAGGTGTAGGGGTTGTTGCCAGGGTGAGGTGTAGGGGTTGTTGCCAGGGTGAGGTGTAGGGGTTGTTGCCAGGTTGAGGTGTAGTGGTTGTTGCCAGGGTGAGGTGTAGGGGTTGTTGCCAGGGTGAGGTGTAGGGGTTGTTGCCAGGGTGAGGTGTAGGGGTTGTTGCCAGGGTGAGGTGTAGGGGTTGTTGCCAGGGTGAGGTGTAGGGGTTGTTGCCAGGGTGAGGTGTAGGGGTTGTTGCCAGGGTGAGGTGTAGGGGTTGTTGCCAGGGTGAGGTGTAGGGGTTGTTGCCAGGGTGAGGTGTAGGGGTTGTTGCCAGGGTGAGGTGTAGGGGTTGTTGCCAGGGTGAGGTGTAGGGGTTGTTGCCAGGGTGAGGTGTAGGGGTTGTTGCCAGGGTGAGGTGTAGGGGTTGTTGCCAGGGTGAGGTGTAGGGGTTGTTGCCAGGGTGAGGTGTAGGGGTTGTTGCCAGGGTGAGGTGTAGGGGTTGTTGCCAGGGTGAGGTGTAGGGGTTGTTGCCAGGGTGAGGTGTAGGGGTTGTTGCCAGGGTGAGGTGTAGGGGTTGTTGACAGGGTGAGGTGTAGGGGTTGTTGCCAGGGTGAGGTGTAGTGGTTGTTGCCAGGGTGAGGTGTAGGGGTTGTTGCCAGGGTGAGGTGTAGGGGTTGTTGCCAGGGTGAGGTGTAGGGGTTGTTGCCAGGGTGAGGTGTAGGGGTTGTTGTCAGGGTGAGGTGTAGGGGTTGTTGCCAGGGTGAGGTGTAGGGTTGTTGCCAGGGTGAGGTGTAGGGGTTGTTGCCAGGGTGAGGTGTAGGGGTTGTTGCCAGGGTGAGGTGTAGGGGTTGTTGCCAGGGTGAGGTGTAGGGGTTGTTGCCAGGGTGAGGTGTAGGGGTTGTTGCCAGGGTGAGGTGTAGGGGTTGTTGCCAGGGTGAGGTGTAGGGGTTGTTGCCAGGGTGAGGTGTAGGGGTTGTTGCCAGGGTGAGGTGTAGGGGTTGTTGCCAGGGTGAGGTGTAGGGGTTGTTGCCAGGGTGAGGTGTAGGGGTTGTTGCCAGGGTGAGGTGTAGGGGTTGTTGCCAGGGTGAGGTGTAGGGGTTGTTGCCAGGGTGAGGTGTAGGGGTTGTTGCCAGGGTGAGGTGTAGGGGTTGTTGCCAGGGTGAGGTGTAGGGGTTGTTGCCAGGGTGAGGTGTAGGGGTTGTTGCCAGGGTGAGGTGTAGGGGTTGTTGCCAGGGTGAGGTGTAGGGGTTGTTGCCAGGGTGAGGTGTAGGGGTTGTTGCCAGGGTGAGGTGTAGGGGTTGTTGCCAGTGTCACTGAGAGATGTCACCGGAAGAAGCGTGGTTGGTGCTGCAGATTATTCTCCTCCAGGTGGCGCCGCCGCTCGCGCTGCGTCTCCTCCACGCGCCGCTTCTCCTCGCTCGCCGCCTCCACGTTCCCCTCCTCCAGTAGCCTGTGGCTCACACGCGGGGACACGCGGGCACATGTGTAACACATGTGTAACATGTGTAACACACACGATGCACACGAACGCACACAAGCGCGCTGCGCTACGAACCCGGCGACACGGGTTCGATTCCTGTTCACGGCCAACACCGGTGACGATTATCTGAACCGGTCCTGGGCCTCCTCTAGGTCGACTCAGACTCAAATGAGTACCTGGTGTGGTGCGTAAAGATCGCCACTGGGGAGACAAAGGCGGCCGGGCGTGGTTGCTGGCCACCCACCCCCTCGTGTGCCGTTCCGCCCTTCAAAGGTGCTACTCACTAACAGCACTTGCCCCTGCAGTCTGTGAAGGCTATATGAGGGACCTTTGTCTTTGTATACCAGACGAGGTAGTTAACATCTCACCACCGTGGCACCTCAAAAACCAAATACCATTTAACAACCGATACCTTACCCATAATATAATCTTTTAAAATATATTTACATGCTCTAACACACACACACAACAAAAGAAACCTCCGTGGATAGTATTGGACGCGAAAGCCTACGGATGTGTTAAACAACACCATCGCAATTCAATCGCAATTTTTGTTTTTAAATTCTCCATTACACGCGACTTTGCGTTGCCTATCCAGCGCAGAGCGCACGCAACGGGGGTGTGTGTGGTGTGTGTGTGTGGTGTGTGTGTGTGGTGTGTGTGTGTGGTGTGTGTGTGTGTGTGGTGGGTGGGGTGTGTGTGGGGTGTGTGTGTATGTGGTGTGTGTGTGTGGTGTGTGTGTGTGGTGTGTGTGTGTGGTGTGTGTGTGTGGTGTGTGTGTGTGGTGTGTGGTGTGTGTGTGTATGGTGTGTGTGGTGTGTGTGTGGTGTGTGTGTGGTGTGTGTGTGTGGTGTGTGTGGTGTGTGTGGTGTGTGTGTGTGGTGTGTGTGTGTGGTGTGTGTGTGTGGTGTGTGGTGTGTGTGGTGTGTGTGTGGTGTGTGTGGTGTGTGTGTGTGGTGTGTGTGTGGTGTGTGTGGTGTGTGTGTGTGGTGTGTGTGGTGTGTGTGTGTGGTGTGTGTGTGTGGTGTGTGTGTGTGGTGTGTGTGTGTGGTGTGTGTGTGTGGTGTGTGTGTGGTGTGTGTGTGTGGTGTGTGTGTGTGGTGTGTGTGTGTGGTGTGTGTGTGTGGTGTGTGTGTGTGGTGTGTGTATGGTGTGTGTGGTGTGTGTGTGGTGTGTGTGTGGTGTGTGTGTGTGGTGTGTGTGGTGTGTGTGGTGTGTGTGTGTGGTGTGTGTGTGTGGTGTGTGGTGTGTGTGTGGTGTGTGTGTGTGGTGTGTGTGTGTGTGTGGTGTGTGTGGTGTGTGTGTGGTGTGTGTGTGGTGTGTGTGTGGTGTGTGTGTTGTGTGTGTGTGGTGTGTGTGGTGTGTGTGGTGTGTATGTGTGTGGTGTGTGTGGTGTGTGTGTGTGGGGTGTGTGGTGTGTGTGTGGTGTGTGTGTTGTGTGTGGTGTGTGTGGTGTGTGTGGTGTGTGTGGTGTGTCTGTTGTGAGTGGTTTGTGTGGTGTGTGTGGTGTGGGTTGTGTGTGAGGTGTGTTTGTTGTGTGTGTGGTGGGTGGTGTGTGTGGTGTGTGTGTGGGTGGTGTGTGGTGTGGTGTGTGTGTGTGGTGTGTGTGTGTGGTGTGTGTGTGGTGTGTGTGTGTGTGGTGTGTGTGTGTGTGGTGTGTGTGTGGTGTGTGTGTGGTGTGTGTGTGTGGTGTGTGTGTGGTGTGTGTGTGTGGTGTGTGTGGTGTGTGTGGTGTGTGTGTGTGTGGTGTGTGTGTGTGTGGTGTGTGTGGTGTGTGTGGTGTGTGTGTGGTGTGTGGGGTGTGTGTGTGTGTGGTGTGTGTGTGGTGTGTGTGTGGTGTGTGTGTGTGGTGTGTGTGGTGTGTGTGTGTGGTGTGTGTGTGTGGTGTGTGGTGTGTGTGTGGTGTGTGTGTGTGGTGTGTGTGTGTGTGTGGTGTGTGTGGTGTGTGTGTGGTGTGTGTGTGGTGTGTGTGTGTGGTGTGTGTGGTGTGTGTGGTGTGTGGTGTGTGTGGTGTGTGTGTGGTGTGTGTGTGGTGTGTGTGGTGTGTGTGTGGTGTGTGTGTGGTGTGTGTGTGTGGTGTGTGTGTGGTGTGTGTGGTGTGTGTGTGTGTGTGTGGTGTGTGTGTGTGGTGTGTGTGTGTGGTGTGTGTGTGTGGTGTGTGTGGTGTGTGTGGTGTGTGTGTGTGGTGTGTGTGTGTGGTGTGTGTGTGTGGTGTGTGTGGTGTGTGTGGTGTGTGTGTGTGGTGTGTGTGTGTGGTGTGTGGTGTGTGTGTGGTGTGTGTGTGTGGTGTGTGTGTGTGGTGTGTGTGTGTGGTGTGTGTGTGTGGTGTGTGTGTGGTGTGTGTGTGTGGTGTGTGTGTGTGGTGTGTGTGTGGTGTGTGTGTGGTGTGTGTGTGTGGTGTGTGTGTGTGGTGTGTGTGTGTGTGGTGTGTGTGTGGTGTGTATGTGGTGTGTGTGGTGTGTGTGTGTGGTGTGTGTGTGTGGTGTGTGTGTGTGTGGTGTGTGTGTGGTGTGTATGTGGTGTGTGTGTGTGGTGTGTGTGGTGTGTGTGTGTGGTGTGTGTGGTGTGTGTGTGTGTGGTGTGTGTGTGTGGTGTGTGTGTGTGTGTGTATGTGGTGTGTGTGTGTGGTGTGTCCCACCTCTGGTCGGGGCGGAAGCGCGTGTCCGTGGGCGGCAGCACGGCCGCCAGTGCGGGGTCCAGCTCGTTGAGCTCGATGGCGAAGCGCGTGAAGCCGTAGTACAGCTGGTAGTCATTGGGCATCGAGCCTGGGGGCAGCGCGCAGTGTGGGAGGGCGGAGGGGGCAAAGGTCAGATGTGAGAGCAAGAAGAGCGATTCTCTTCTCGTGCATGGCGATGTGGTTGCAGGAGCCCGATGCCCAATGTTGAGGTCCTGCTGCTGCTGCTGGCCATGGCGAGAGAGCTTCAGGCGTTCGTGTCGTGTCGCTCTTCCTCCTCTATTGAAGCAGTTTCAGTTGATTTATTTTTCAGTTTATTTATTCTTCAGTTTATTTATTTCTCAGTTTATTTATTTTGCTATAGCCCTGTGAGCCATTCGGCTCATGAATCGGGTGCAACCACAACAAAACAAAAAAACACGAACAAGACAAACATCTTAAAGTGACTTTGTGTGACTGTGCAAACAGAAAATCCATGGGAAAAAAAACATCAAAAATATTCCTGAAAAAAAGCACCGTACACCAACGCTGTGTGCAAAAAATCCCAGTGGGATGCAAGTCAAACAACAACAACAACCACAAGAAAACTTTGATTAAGGCCATCAGCAGCGCAGACTGTCGTGTTTTTACCGTGTGGTCCATAGTTTGGGCTACATGGCCGCATTCGCACTACTGTGGATTATCTTTAATGTATCTCTATGGGTCTCTACGAGTCTCTATGTATCTCAGTGTCTATGATGTGGATTATCTTTAATGTATCTCTATGGGTCTCTACGAGTCTCTATGTATCTCAGTGTCTATGATGTGGATTATCTTTAATGTATCTCTATGGGTCTCTACGAGTCTCTATGTATCTCAGTGTCTATGAGCCTCTGTGTATCTCTTACGAGTCTCTAATTGTCTCTATGGATATCTATCTCTATGGGTCTCTATTAATCTCTGTGCATCTGTATGTAACTCTATTGGTTTACTGTACGGTCCATAATTTGGGTTGAATGGCCACAATCGCACTCCTGGGGATTGTCTTAAATTTTACGCACAGTGAAACCTTGGATTGCGAGTAACTTGGTCTGCGAGTGTTTTGCAAGACGAGCAAATTTTTTAAATAAATAATAATTTGATAAACGAGCGATGTCTTGCAATACGAGCAAGACATCGCTCTCTCTCGCTGCGGGATTGTGGGTAATCATCTCCCATGCTCGCTCTCAGTCGGCGTGCCTCACTCGTATAGTCAACATCCGTGCGAGCGTATCTTGTTTACTATAGTACTATAGTGTTGTGACCACGTGTATACTGTTTACTATAGTACTATAGTGTTGTGACCACGTGTATACTGTTTACTATAGTACTATAGTGTTGTGACCACGTGTATACTGTTTACTATAGTACTATAGTGTTGTGACCACGTGTATACTGTTTACTACAGTACTATAGTGTTGTGACCACGTGTATACTGTTTACTACAGTACTATAGTGTTGTGACCACGTGTATACTGTTTACTACAGTACTATAGTGTTGTGACCACGTGTATACTGTTTACTATAGTACTATAGTGTTGTGACCACGTGTATACTGTTTACTACAGTACTATAGTGTTGTGACCACGTGTATACTGTTTACTACAGTACTATAGTGTTGTGACCACTGTTTACTACAGTACTATAGTGTTGTGACCAGGTGTATACTGTTTACTACAGTACTATAGTGTTGTGACCACGTGTGTACTGTTTACTACAGTACTATAGTGTTGTGACCACGTGTATACTCTTTACTACAGTACTATAGTGTTGTGACCACGTGTATACTGTTTACTACAGTACTATAGTGTTGTGACCACGTGTATACTGTTTACTACAGTACTATAGTGTTGTGACCACGTGTGTGTGCATAAAGCATTTTTTTATTTTGTGTCCAAGTGTAGTGACTGTTCTTTAGTAACTGTACTGCAACAATGGCCCAACAATGCAATGTCACAATTCCGCGAAACACTCAAAAGGAGGTAAAAGCAAGTGTTATAGGATAGGTTCCTTGTTAAAGTCGCACAAAAATAAAAAGATTCCAGTGAGCCAACAGATGGCAGTGATTCCGTTAGTGACAGTGAAATTCGTCCTACACAATAACCCTCCTCTCTCTCGTCTCCCTCACACCAGCCACGATTAAATGTAATTAATACATTGGATTACTTTATATTACATTTAAATACAAATATAAGGTACATTATTTTGTATTAATCATTTCTAAATGAATATTTTATGGTTGTGGAACGAATCATCTGAGTTTCCATTATTTCTTATACGGAAATTCGCTTTGATATACGAGTGCTTTGGATTACGAGCACGTTTCCGGAACGAATTATGCTCGCAATCCAAGGTTTCACTGTGTATGAAGGAGATGCGTGCATCGACTTGTTGATGTTCTGATGTGATGGACAGTTCGCCAGTGACTTTGATCTGCCACAACTGCGCCACATCTCCACAAGTGGAGAATTAATGAGAACCCAGAGTGTGACTGCGGCCAGCCGAATCAGACAATGGAACCACCGTATCGCAAACACATCCATCCTACGCCCAGCTCTCCGGCGGACTGAGCAGCATTAGTCGTGATACCTCCGAAGCTATCGCATGGCTCACAGACTTGGACGTCTGATTTGCACATACTAGCCACATGCTCGAAGAAGTGACTTCAAGGAACGTCAAAGCCATGAGGTGCGATCTTTGGATCTCAAATAGCGTGTTGCTTTGGACACCCGCGTTGTTCCAGTCTGTTCGCCAGCATTCTTCCAGATCTGTGTGAGATGCTAGGACGAGGGAGGTACATGCACAGCCCAGGAGGGTACTAGTACAAATGAGTCGTGGTAGTGAACTGGCACAGCTGATATACGAGCACTTTGTTCACACCTGAGTCCAGGTTCCTTGTGTAGTGACATATAATGGGTCACTACGGCGCCTAGCGCCATCTACCTACAGAGAGAGGAATTGCGTGTGTAGTAGCCCTCTCTGCCAGCAGAGTACATGATGTCATGGAAGAGGTCTCAAGGGGAGCATGGTTCTCGGGGCTGGCAGAGTAGGGGGCATTTAAGGACGTAGTAGCCCGATTGGCTGGCAAGGGTACATGATATGACAGGGGCCAAAGGTGACAGAAGGGGCACGTGGTGTATGGCCCAGAATCTTCTAGGAAGTTCCAGGAGGCGTGGCCAATGGCGGAGCCAGGCCATGCTGGGGGGTCATAAAAGGGAGGTCCCGGGGTCCCATCATGGGGCTGTCTGCTGGAATGGAACCCGCCGTGCTGCGTCTTCTCTTCGGTCTTCGTGCTCGGCATCATGGGTCAGGCAGTGTGCCGACGGACCTGCCCCATTTGTGTAGTTACCCTGTTGTGGTTTATGTAGTTACCCCGTTGTGGTTATAGAATAAATGGTGTTGCCTCCTGAATCAGTGTGTCTCTCAAGTGAACCCACGACACTTGTGCGATAAGCTCAGCCCAGGTGTCAACAATTGTATAAAACATAACATGATATGAAGGTGGTTTTGCACTAAATTACTAAATATTTAGTACTTTGTAAATAACAAGTACTGTATATAAGCAGACAATACATTTCCGTCATATCTGTCTCCCCACGATGACTAAAAGTATTTTACACAACCGATCGGCCCCGCGTCCTCCCGGGAATGAACAATTTCAGCGGCTTTGATTCGATCGAAGCAAACTCTGGACCCGGTTTCGACATGCAGTGTCTCATCAGCAGAGTCAGACTGACTTGGATCTTTGCTGGCAAATTGCCAAATGTTACAGACAAGGACCCTCCCTTTAAGATACGGATCCTATTGCGATGCAAAATTACGTAATGCATAACGCCAAAATAACGAGTGGTGTCGTTGTGGAGTATATAAATAACGTAGCGTGGGATATTTTTTAAATAAGTAATTCACCTGTACGTGTGGGATGGTTGTGAGACGTTAATCAATGTTGCCTTTTTTTTTCCCGCAGAAGCTTGTATACAGATTCGTGGAGACACACACATATTGAGTAATCACACTTATAGAGGTATTGCGAGAGGATGACATGGGTGATTATGGGTAGACTGAAGCCACTGGATGTTAAAAGTCATTTGAGTGACACCCCCCCGCCACCCACCCCTCTTTTTCCCTTCACTCTTGTCCCTCTACCCTCGTCTTCCCCTGCCCCCCCCCCATATAAAAATCTACGCTCCTGCTCGCAGTCCCTGCGTGAGTTGGGGCAGTGAGCCCAAATTTCTCACCCCTCCATTAAACCTCAGGGGTAGTCAGTTTGGGCATTTGTCCGGGGAATTTCTGCGAGCCCCTTCCTTTGTTACGGTTCGTGGTTTGTACCCTGGCTCTTGTCAAATATATAAAAAAAGTAATTCCAGCGAAGTAAAAAAAACACGACTTTGTCATCTCACCGAGATGTTTGCTAACCATTACACCACGGCTGCATCTACTTGTGACACTCAATTGGTTTCTAAATAATGAACCTAACACCGGGTAAGGATAACTCGTCCTGGGCATCGACATTACATGCGTGCGATAATTTGTAATTTGCTCGTATTTGTTTTCCTAATCCCCCAAGAGAGAGAGAGATATGTCAGAAGCCTGTTGAACCAGGTCACGATGGTAAATAAGACTACCCTGGTCTCTCGAGCTCTCGCCTGGTTAAAACTAAACATAAACTTGAAAAACCTTCAGATTCCTTCTGCAGGCAGAACAAAACCCTTTAGCACGTGTCGTGATGGGTACTGCAAGATCCGACCGTGTCCATGCAGTGCTCGCCCAGCTGCATTGAGAGTTGCTGTTGCCAAACAAATACATTTCGATTTAAAGCTTTCGTGACTGCAAGGATTAATCTTCTTTGGTTCTTTCGGTAAAGTCACGTAGAATGAGAATAAAATAATAAATTGATAAAATAAAAGAACACAATAATATTCTCACGACGTTTCGGCCACAACACAAGCGGCCTTCATCAGGTGAAGGGGACGAGACTGTCTGGAGGACAGCGCTGTCTGGAGGACAGTCTCGTCCCCTTCACCTGATGAAGGCCGCTTGTGTTGTGGCCGAAACGTCGTGAGAATATTATTGTGTTATTTTATTTTATCAATTCATTATTTTATTCTCATTCTACGTGACTTTACCGAAAGAACCAAAGAAAACAAATACATTATTATAAGGTCGCACTCATTACACACAAAGTGAGTGCCACAAATGAACCACGATGCCTTGTTGATAACGTCAAAGGAGCATAAAACATCACACGGACCCTGGTCATCCTCGCAGCGGCTTTTGGCTAGCCATCGAACAAAGACAGTGGTCACCGCACCGCGCGCTTTCAGATGCGCTTCTGCGGCCGTCTGGAACGCCCTTGCTTCCGATATTAGGAAGCCACTGCAGCTATGCGCTTTAAAATGTCGACCGAAAACGAATTTCTTTAGAATAGCGTTTTTTTTGTGTTTAGTTTGTTGTCCTTCCCCCGCAACCTCCGATTAGCACGGATGGCTACGTACGGTGCGAAAGGAGTTCAACACGCATACATACGTACATTGCCCTTGCAAGTGGTTGCCTTACGTAGACGTCGGCTCCACCTCCTCGCAATCCACCAACCGCAACGTCTAAGATCGCTGGATTTACACGCCACGCATTGCCACCGCACCTGGCGGACTTGCGACCTACGCCTTGGGTACACGAGAGGCTGACGACAGATGCGGGCGCACGTGCGCAGGGTCACCGACCTGGCCTCCATATGCATTTGGCGGAGGGAGGAACGCCGCAGTAGAGACCCTCGTGCCACTTGCCGAAGAGCCGGTGCAACACTTTGCCGTCGGCGTCCATCACCGCTCCCTGCACCTCGTTCACGTTGGAGTTCCAGTAGTTTCCCTGCGCGGAACGCACGCGCGGACGCTCACGTTCGCCGCCCAACGGTCCCGCTTGCGATCGTGACAGGTTCAACGCGATCGCAGGGCCAGTGTCGGATACGTACCGGAGCTGTGCTTCGCGCATTGATTCCTCTGCCCATGGGTGGGGGCCCAGACTGACCGTTTCACCTCACCCGGGTTGTGTTCGACAACACCTCACCGCAGAAAAGAAACACTTCACTCTCCTTGCTTCGTTCCTGGGACTGCTCAACTTGGGAATTCCCCCCCATGGTCGCGTATTCCGCAGTTCTTATAATAGCCTTGCTCAATTCAAGAAACGTATTAACTCTTTATCTATCACACCTTCGATAGTGCTGTTTGTTGCTGGCCGCTTCACATTATTGGCCTGTGTGCCAAATATGTAAAATAAAGTTTCTACATTTACGTGACAGATATAGGGTCTCCTTTTCTGCATTTTCTAATATTTAAAAAAATTGCAGTTAATAGAAGCAGCCAATTACAAACACACTCATAACTAATGAGTAAGGTTTGTCACGTGAACAACATGTGCCAATCGGTTACTGCTTCAGCACACCGGTTGTGCGTTGGAGAGTAAACCCACAACATTTACAATTTGAGTACTGTGACGTTTCGCTGGTGATTACAACTGGCCTCCTGAGGCGATTAAACCTCTATTACGGATGACATTGGTCGCGAAAGCCAGCGCGTTAAACTCACAAATACAGACCGGGCTCACTGCGGGTCACAGATGTGGAGCTCTACACAGATGGGGGGACATACGAGAGGGTTAGATCACGTAAATATAAATGTGTCGTTAAACCCGCCACCACCCGGTCTTAAATACACAACTCTGTCTGTCGCCTGATGATGCTGATTGTAATTACCGGTGAAACGTCGTACAGTACTCGAATTGTAAATGTTGTGGATTTACTCTCCAACACACCGGTGTGCTGAACTCGTTATTAATTGGCACGTTTTGTTTACGTGACAAACCCTTACTAATTGGCTGCATCGGGTGGTGGCGGGTTTAATGACACATTTATATTTACGCGATCTAACCCAACGCAAAAACCTCGATTATGGATAATATTCTGTCGCGAAAGCCTGATACGTGTTAAACAAGAGGGTGAATAATTGCGATCGCACCCGCACACGCCTGCTCCGCCCGTGACCTCAGCGACGACAACAACAATGCTGCCCTTCTGTCGACCCACTGCTGGAAGACGGACATCGAGAGCGCACGAAAAGAAGACGTTAACAAGAAAAAAACGGGCGACGCAATGAACGAATGTAAGGAAGGCGGATTTCGCGTCGATCATCAAATCGTCAAGAATCAACGTCTCATCCGTATCGTGAAAACGTATATGTCGCGGCAAAGAATCGAGCAGTCGTTTGAAACCAGCAGGGTCCCCCCAACCCTCCCTTCCCCTCTCCCCCTTTCCCCTGCTCCCTTGGCTTTCTTTTCCCTCACCTTCCCCCCCCTCCCCATATAAAAGTACACACACCCGGTCTCGCAGTCCCCACACTTGGTGAGGTGGAGAGCCCACTCTCTCCCCCCCCCACCACACCCCTGCTTTAAACCCAGATGCACAGCAGTCCAGACTGAGGTGTGCGGATTTTCTGTGCACACCCCCGCCCTCCTCGCGTCGCGGTTTGTGCTCTGTACCGTGCAACTATTGAAATAAAAATAATAAGAAACAGTGGGGTATCTTTAAACGGATTGGCCTGTCCTACTGCACGTGCATCGTGGAGACTCGCCCCCCCCCCGGTGCGTCGTCATCATCATCATTGTCGTCATCGTCATCGTCGTCGTCATCATCCTCGTCAACACCATCGTCATCACCACCATCATCATCGTCGTCATCATCGTCGTCATCATCGTCGTCGTCTTCTTCGTCTTCTTCGTCGTCGTCGTCATCACCCTCTTTGTTGTGCTCCGGCCGCCGCACCTTGACAAAGGTGAGCTTGCAGCTGCAGCCCCCGCTGCGGCGGTTGCGGATGGTGATCTCGCCGTAGTGCTCGATCCAGCGCGGCCCGTTGAGGATATTGTGGATGCAGGACGTCACTTTGTTCCACTCGTACAGGTCGCCGTACCTGCCGTGGCAGCGTGGGGTCGCAGGAATGCGATTAGAGCGATGCCCAAACCGCTACAATAAGCAGTGGCGAGATGTTATCTCCCTCGTCTGGTATGCAGGAGGTCGTGAGATTCGATCCCGACACTCTGCGCATCACGACGGGCGACGTCTCCACAAAGTGACAGCCGTCTCCCTCCCTCGAACTAAGCTCTCAGTCGCTAGGATACCGGTCGCAGATGCAGCGGTGACATTTCTGATAAAGTCGAACCATCAAATGCAAAGAAGGCGTCTTTAGCATCGCATGTGGAAGGACTGCAGCTGATCCAAATCAGCTTGAAGCAATGCCTGCTTCAAGGCCACACAAGCAACGTCGCCAAACGGCTGCCAGACGATCGACCTCCCTGCTGTCACCTAACCCCAGTGCCAACCAGCTATCAAGAGATATACAACATGTACTGCATTGTATAACATGTACATAAATAAAAAAAACACTTCGGAAGGATAATTTGTGGGGTCGCGGTTTATTTCTGTTACATTCCGGAAATAACTACAATGTCAAATTACCAGTGGTGTCATATGAGGCACTTTGGAAAAAAACAAAATCCAGGGCAGAGGAATGAAGCATATTACAGTATATGGCGTGCCCCACACATTTGAGTCGTGTGTGTGTGTGTGGGGAGCGATAGCGTAGTTGTAAGCGCACTATGCTACGAACCCGGCAACCCGAATTCGATTCACACCCACAGCCAAAATCAATGACAGATATCTGAAATGGTCCGCCTCCCCCCTAGGTCGACTCAGCCTTAACGAGTACCTGGTCTGTAGGCAGGTACTCGTTAAGGGGGTGGTATTGGCGACCTAACCCCCTCGTGTGCCGTGTCATCCGTAATAGGTGCTCCGCCATCAGCACTTGCCCCCAACAGTCTGTTAAGTCTATAGAGTCATTGCTTGAAGCCAGTGGTCCATGATGTGCTTTTCCGCGGCCGTCTGGAATGCTCTCTTCCTTCTGATATTAGGAAGCCAGTGGACCTATGCACTTTTAAATCAACTACATTGACAAACTCATTTCTTTACAACTGCTTCTTGTGTTTAGCTTGTTGTTGCCAAGACTTCGGATTTTGGCTATGTAAGGTGGGAAAGTTCAACATACAGTAAGGGAAAAAAGTATTTGATCCACCGCTGATTTTGTACGTTTGCCTACTGACAAAGAAATTATTAGTCTATCATTTTAATGGTAGGTTTATTTGAACAGTGAGATACAGAATATCAACAAGAAAATCCAGAAAAACGCATGTCAAAAATCTTATAAATTGATTTGCATTTTAATGAGAGAAATAAGTATTTGACCCCCTCTCAATCAGAAAGATTTCTGGCTCCCAGGTGTCTTTTATACAGGTAACGAGCTGAGATTAGGAGCACACTCTTAATGGGAGTGCTCCTAATCTCAGCTTGTTACCTGTATAAAAGACACCTGTCCACAGAAGCAATCAATCAGATTCCAAACTCTCCACCATGGCCAAGACCAAAGAGCTCTCCAAGGATGTCAGGGACAAGATTGTAGACCTACACAAGGCTGGAATGGGCTACAAGACCATTGCCAAGCAGCTTGGTGAGAAGGTGACAATAGTTGGTGCGATTATTCGCAAATGGAAGAAACACAAAACAACTGTCAATCTCCCACGGCCTGGGGCTCCATGCAAGATCTCACCTCGTGGAGTTGCAATGATCATGAGAACGGTGAGGAATCAGTCACCAAGAAAACAATTGGTAACACACTATGCTGTGAAGGACTGAAATCCTGCAGCGCCCGCAAGGTCCCCCTGCTCAAGAAAGCACATATACATGCCCGTTTGAAGTTTGCCAATGAACATCTGAATGATTCAGAGGACAACTGGGTGAAAGTGTTGTGGTCAGATGAGACTAAAATGTAGCTCTTTGGCATCAACTCAACTCGCCGTGTTTGGAAGAGGAGGAATGCTGCCTAGGACCCCAAGAACACCATCCCCACCGTCAAATATGGAGGTGGAAACATTATGCTTTGGGGGTGTTTTTCTGTTAAGGGGACAGGACAACTTCACCGCATCAAAGGGACGATGGACGGGGCCATGTACCGTCAAATCTTGGGTGAGAACCTCCTTCCCTCAGCCAGGGCATTGAAAATGGGTCGTGGATGGGTATTCCAGCATGACAATGACCCAAAACACACGGCCAAGGCAACAAAGGAGTGGCTCAAGAAGAAGCACATTAAGGTCCTGGAGTGGCCTAGCCAGTCTCCAGGCCTTAATCCCATAGAAAAATCTGTGCAGGGAGCTGAAGGTTCGAGTTGCCAAATGTCAGCCTCGAAACCTTAATGACTTGGAATAGATCTGCAAACAGGAGTGCGACAAAATCCCTCCTGAGATGTGTGCAAACCTGGTGGCCAACTACGAGAAACGTCTGACCTCTGTGATTGCCAACAAGGGTTTTGCCACCAAGTACTAAGTCATGTTTTGCAGAGGGGTCAAATACTTATTTCCCTCGTTAAAATGCCAATCAAATCATAACATTTTGACATGCGTTTTTCTGGATTTTGTTGTTGTTATTCTGTCTCTCACTGTTCAAATAAACCTACCATAAAAATTATAGACTGATCATTTATTTGTCAGTGGGCAAACGTACAAAATCAGCAGGGGATCAAATACTTTTTTCCCTCACTGTAGATGATGAATCATCACAAATAGGAATCAATACTAAAGCACAAATGTATGCAACAACGCACAACAAGAGTGTTACGGTGCGAATTGTGTCCAGGATTTTTGTTTTACCAAAAGTCACGCTCCTCACTGCCAGTGGGCGCTAATAATTGGCTGCACGGGCTGGGTGTGTCAGTGTGGCACAATCCCACGCACAGCATGTGAAGGGGACACTCACGGGCTGTTAGGTTTTATTATCCGTAGGAACTGCCATCTCCAGATAAATTGATATGAACAGCCAAACTTGCTGAGGAGACCAAAATCAAAGTGCACGATTACCATATTCTGAACAACTCATTCACACACCAGCATCTCCACGGTGAGCAGGGTGGATTTTACAATTTGTATTTCCCATGCCTTCCGTCAGCTTTCCCCCGATTTGGGGTCGAATGAAAGTCCCTACCCACGCTCGTGTCTGCTCTGCACCAATTCTCCTGTACTGCTCACGTCTCAACCTTTCTCCTCGCGTGTCCTCACTCGGTGTCTATCCAGCGCCCTCTTGCTCTTCCTCACATCCGTTAGCAATGCGTCGCCGTGCCACGGCATTCATTCTGCGTCCATAACCACCCACAAGCGTGCGTGTCGGATCTTCCCAAGCGTTGTTATTTATTACCCCCCCCAAGTTGTGTACTGATGAGCTTCGTCTCTTATTTTCCCCAGTCTTCATACTCCCACGTCATTGCAATTTCAATAAGGCGACCAAAAATAGTCAACCCTAAATGCATTGCAAGGGGCTGGGGTTAATCTGTCAATAGTCCCTGCCAGCAGTGACAATTCCACATTTCTGTAGTTGGAGCCAGTCTGTCCATAGGACAAGCACTGCGTGACTGCCCACAAAGTATTATTTGGGTCTTTCGGTAAAGTCACGTAGATATGTTCAAAGAAAATAACAAAAAACAATCCAGAAAGTGGTAATCATTTTATCTACCCGCCCCCAGAGGGATGATGGGCTGAGTGAACGACTGACTGGGATGTATACTCACAACATTCTGCAAGCAAAGTCAAATGTTCTTGGGGCAGTGCCACCCAGCGGGATCATTTAGCAATGTGCCACGCAGATTTACAATGAATACCAATGCTGCGATGGTCACGCGCACATTTCTGCTGCTGAGCTCCAGGCCCCTTGAAGAGCAACTGTCGGGGTGGTGAAAAAGATCCCGGCGAGACACTCACACGACAACAACCTCCCGGAGCCCAGGACAACTGTCATCTCCGTATGTACATTGCACTTCTTTGGCACCGTACGTAGCCAACCCCGCTCATCGGAGGTGCGGGTGGAAGGACAACAAACTAAACACGTGCACACACACAACGAGAGCCCCTCAGCCCTCTGAGGCAGCCTGGTAACGTGCGAGAGACCGAGCGGACGGGAGCGTACTTTTTTTTTTTTAATGGGGGTCCATTTTGGCTCCTCGCTTGTCCTCTACGTACGTATCTGCCACGGGGGGCGAATGGACCAGCGGCGACACTCACTTGGGTAGGTTGAGGCTGACTGTTCCCAGCGGCAGGATTTCCATTGACTTGCCCCAAAATTTATTCTTCCATCGAACGTCTAGGAGACAATCAGGAGACACGCAAAGGGGGGGGCGGGGGGGGGGGGTGGCTCACAAATACGCCGTGACGCAGACACCGTATGACAGAAACGAGACAACTAATTGCACGCAGGGGGGCGCGTGGTGGTGTTTAAAGGCGCAGCTTACGAAGCGCATTGATTATTCGAGGGATCTGCAAATTTGTTCCTGTCCGTGGCGAACGCTGAATGCCGTTTTATGCACGAAAAATAAATGGCTTCCCCCGAACAATTGTGCCGAATTGATCGCCGTTCCGAGCGAGATTAATGTAAAGAGGCATCTTTGCGGTGTTTTTGCTAAAAAATTTAAAAAAATGCGTGTGTCTACGTGTTTTGGCGTAATGGAGAGGTGGTAACAAACATTCCGAAGTAATTTTGGTGTTTAATTAAACAGATACAATTTCAGTACAGCCATTGTATTCACCAGACCAAACAGGCTATACGCATAGTGACAATGTTCTCTAAATTTCAGCAAATTAAATTAACTTGCAAATTTTGCAGCGCACACACTGCTGGTCATAGTCATGCAAAGCATGTGAAAGATATTGCAATCTATTGTTTGCGGGCGATTATACCCGAAATTGGAGATGTTGACCGTCAAACACACAAGAGCGCAATAATGACCTTCGCTTGCAACACATACATCTCCGGGAATGTCAAGCCACTGAAATTGAGAATGTGTCTTTGGTTGGATGAATTATATTCGATTAAATTAGCATTTTAAGCTAATTAAATATCACGTAAAATGTATCGCTGTGTATTTAAGACTCACCTTGCCACAACACAAATGTCTTTGACTCACAGTGACAGGCTGATATGGGTGGATGGTGGCTGACCTGAATGGAAAAATGAAAAAAAGAACCGAAATATAATCACAAACGCACAAGGAAATCCGTTCAATAGCATGCAGGTCAGGTGCAGCATAAACCACAGATTTAGGAACACCGATCGTAAAATAATGGCCATGCTTAGATGCCTTGGCATGTGCCAATTGCATTTCATGGTTTTCCTCAATTGTACATGATCATGCACGTGTTCAAATGGGTTTAGTACATTTTATGCACATTCCAAACTACATGTAATTCATCCTAGCAACTGTATCCACGTGTGCACGCAAACGTGCTAGGGTCTTAGCAACCGTGGCATAATTCCTGACAATGCGCAGCATCGGTGGCAAAACGGTATCCAAGTGGTCTGAGCCTCTCGGATGTGAAATCAGCCTGAAATGACATAGGTGAAGCTGGGCCCAGTGCTCATCACACAACTTCTTTGTGTGTTAATGGGAGCCTTAATATAATTGATCACAAGCACTTGCCCCTTTTGTCTGTCTAAGCTATACATTGTTGCGTGCTTCAATACATGTTTGACTGTGATCACTGTGGAAAGGTTATCATGTATACCTTCGTCTGTACTTCGCCACATGAATACATTGTTATTACTCCATATTTGCTCTGACCCACGGACTAACAGGATTAACCGCAATTATAAGTCAAAACTTTGCTCTTCTCAAACAAGCAACTTAATCGCGGTCATCCCCGTAGGTGGCCCTGCATCATTCATGGAAATTCCACATTCCAATTGTAAGGAACAAATCTCTTCATTAGATGAGCAATGGGCGACTTCCCACAAAGCAGTACATATTTCGCCGACCATAAGGGATGATTGGCCGAGTCGACCCTCAACCGAGCGTTCGACTCACAACTCTCCGAACGTGATAGTGGCGTTCGAACCAAAATGCCTCTCGGCTGAACCAGCGCTGTGTAGAAGTGGCCGAAACTACGAGGGATGTAAACACGGCCTGAGATATGTGACAAAGTGCGCTGCCATCTGAGTGCCACAGACGCAGACGACGCCGCCCGCGGACTCCCACTTATCCTGACCGGACTCGGCAGCGTGCTGTAACAACCTCGCTGCCTTCCTCGGGCCATCGTTCACAATCTCCTCTATCTCTCTGTCTCTCTCTGTCCCTCCTTCTCCCTGTACCCAATCCGGTTTTGGTCCTTCTCCCTCCTCGCACCCTTCCACTGGAATAACTTTCCATTGTACATTTGACAGCACTGCCCATACTCAACACTGACCATAGACTCAGCAATGCACCACAGACTCAACGCTGCACCACAGACTCAACACTGCACCACAGACTCAACACTGCACCATAGACTCAACTCTGCCCATAAACTCAACACTGCCCATAGACTCAGCAATGCACCACAGACTCAACGCTGCACCATAGACTCAACACTGCACGATTGACTCAACACTGCCCATAGACTCAACACCACCCATAAACTCAACACTGCGCATACATTCAACACTGCTCATAGACTCAACACTGCCCATAGACTCAACACTGCACCATAGACTCAACACTGCTCATAGACTCAACAATGTACCATAGACTCAAAACTGCCCATAGACTCAACACTGCTCATAGACTCAACAATGCACAATAGACTCAACACTGTCCATATACTCAAAACTTCCGATAGACTCAACACTGCACCATAGACTCAACACTGCCCATAGACTCAACACTGCCCATAGACTCAACACTGCCCATAGACTCAACACTGCCCATAGACTCAACACTGCACTATAGACTCAACACTGCACCATAGACTCAACACTGCTCATAGACTCAACACTGCACCATAGACTCAACACTGCTCATAGACTCAACAATGTACCATAGACTCAAAACTGCCCATAGACTCAACACTGCTCATAGACTCAACAATGCACAATAGACTCAACACTGTCCATATACTCAAAACTTCCGATAGACTCAACACTGCACCATAGACTCAACACTGCCCATAGACTCAACACTGCCCATAGACTCAACACTGCCCATAGACTCAACACTGCCCATAGACTCAACACTGCACTATAGACTCAACACTGCACCATAGACTCAACACTGCTCATAGACTCAATACTGCACTATAGACTCAACACTGCACCATAGACTCAACACTGCACCATAGACTCAGCACTGCCCATAGATTCAACAATGCACCATAGACTCAACACTGCTCATAGACTTAACACTGCCCATAGATTCAACAATGTACCATAGACTCAACAATGCACCACAGTCCCTCGGTATACCCCTCTGTCGCTGTCACTCATTCCACCAATCCATCGCAGCAACGCCTCCTCCGCCAACTACATCATTCCATTCTCTATCACCGCTTTGCAAGCAATGCCAGGGCACCTACAGTGAAGGCGCTCTCTAAAAATATGGATGAGATTAGAGGCGAAGGCTTCCTCATCACACACCACTGCAGCGGTGGCTCACCTGCTCGGCCACGAAGCGGAAGCCCTTGTCCTCCCGGATGCACTCATAGGTCTCGCCGAGCACGGGGTTGAAGGGCTTGTTGCCGGAGCGGTAGTACGTGGGGGCGTACGCCGACACCGCAAACGCCGCCGCCAGCACCTGTCGGAACGGTGGGGGGGGGGGGGGGACCGAAGCCGGGGCCACGCAGAGAGCAACAACGCAGCCGGCGCCGCGCCTTACAAAAAAAATGTAAACTCGCGAAAGCCATTTTTTACCGCTGGCACATCCGGGGGGCCAAGGCAGGACGGGGGCCTGCCACGGCGCGGGGGGCACTTTCCCACCAGGCTGTTTACCGGGCCGAGCCAGAACCAAACCTTACCTCTGTAGACAACTTACATTTTGGTCGTCATGGTAAAAGAAGCGGAGCCATTTTCCTTGCCGCCGTTTTGGAACAGTGAGGGCGGGAGCTATGGTGCGAGCTGGAGTGAGCCGTGCTTTGTGGTTGTTCCCGTTATGTAATCATTATTATCATGAAAGAGTTTTATTGTTTCCAGACCATCCTCAGTGCCGATCATCTTTGACGACACTAGCTAGTAAGGTGCCGAATAAGGAAATAGAGTACACCTCCGATGAGCACGGTTGGCTATGTGCGGTGCAAAAGAAGTTCAACATACATAGATTCCTCGTCAAATGACTTTTAATCCAAATGCGAATGTGAGATTGTCTTTCCAAGAAATATCAAACATATTGTAATTATAACAGTTTTGCAGACCCATCATTTGCAGAGATCTTTAGCTTCAGAGAAAAAGAAACGCTGACACTGTTGTTAATTATTGTCAATTGTGTGTCCTGAAGCTCAGCACTTTCAATGAAGTTGAGTACCACCCAACGCTCAATTCTATTGTTAGGTTCGATAAAAATGCATTTTTCCAACAAATTACCAAAGTGTGCATGAATTGGAACAGTCAAAGTGTTTTCCGGCTAAAGTGATCGTTCGGCAATGCACCATTTCAATTGGCAACCCTCAAGCCAGTGAAGGAAATTCCACATTGTTATGGTGGGACCCAGTCGTTCCGTAGCGTGAAAGAAAATGTACTAGAATGGTCTTACAGTATATACAAAAGCTGCTTTCACCTCTCCTTTTATCAAAATTAACTCTTCCTGTTGCAGCTCAAAATCTCACGTCATTTCCTGTGGGAAATTATGGCCCGCTGCGCGAATGGAGCCTTCCACCAAATGACATCGGCCAGTTGCGGTTCGCTCACCGACCACTCGCGGTCCACCCTAAACCGCATCCATTGCACAACCATGGCGGTAGATGCGGATACCCTGATGCACAAATGAAAAAAAGAATGGGAGAAAAAAAATGGAAAAAAAAAGAAAGAAAAAAACCTCTCCAGTAGTTCGAGACTGTGGTCATCCAGAACAGAACGTACAACGTAGAACGACGCAACGCCTCCGATCACAGCGATACACTCCTGTGCTCCTGACGAGCTTGTCTGGCTTAACTACCTGAATGTGAAACTGTAGTTGTTGCTCTGCATCTACATCAGCTGTATAAAAGGAGGAAGAAGAGGAGGAGGAAAAGGAGGCATAGGAGGAAGAAGAGGAGGAAGAGGAAGAAGACTGGCCACTAGGCCATGCCACCTGCACCCCATTAATATTTAATAACATAAACGCCCAACTTTATCTGTGATCGCTGCAGACCTACGCACCCCGTGCATGAACGACGGAGGTGCAGGGAAAGACGTTCGAATACATTGGAATCGATCTGCAGACAGTGGTCTTCTCGCACAGCCTCATCTCGATCCCGCAATCCCAAACAAGTGAAAGTCTGCATCGAACCGAACCCCCAGCAAGGACATCTATTTAACGAGAGAAAATTCACACGAAATGTCGTTTTCAATGAAGTCTTCCAGATGTAAAATTGTATTTATATATAAACAACTTTCTCTATCTGTCTATGATGAACGCTTGAGAGAGAGAGAGAGAGAACGAGGCGATTCGGTGTTGATTCCCAGAATCGACTTGGCCCCCACCGACACGACTTTGCCATTTGTTTTGCGACGACGACAATTTACGATTCTTCCCGCATATGCTATCACAATCAACAAGTCGCAGGGACAGGCGTTCCATTACGTTGGTAAGCGCACAACCTTATCATTCTATGATGAATACTAGGTTGTTGGGGAGCGACGCAGGTGCCCCCCAACAACCTAGTGTGAAAATAATAGAGATGACGGATGGTCAGAGCATTTGACACCACTGACATGGACATGCTCCAGAGACAAATACATTTTATCTACGTGTCACGAGCTGTAATATTTGACAAACAAGGCTTTGCTCACACACACACACACCACTTCCGCAGGGAGCTGAATAAAAAATGTTCGACAGATACAGTGGATGTGTACTCGTGTGGGAAACCGCTAGACGCAAATGAACCCATTACAAATTATTTCACAGGGTCTTTCATTTGATTAAAAGCTTTCGTGACTGCAGGGATTCATATTCTTGGTTCTTTCGGTAAAGTCACGTAGAAGGGAAACAAAATAATAATAAAAAAATGCCTTGCTGTGGTTTTCGCACCTGATGATGATTGCTTAACATCTTGCCACCGCGGCGCCCCGAACCTGGCTTTAACCGCAGACGGCTGAAACCCACAATCAAACCCAGCTACGAACAATGGCAAAAGCCACTCTGAAAAGCCTCCCTGTCACATTCGGGCACATCGTTGCTTCTTACCAACGCGGCAGGAGGACAAGTGAAGCGTGATTGGTTGATGAAGTGCGAGCGATATAAGAAAGCCACAAGAAGGTTTCGGTCACTTCTACACAGCGCTGGTTCAGCCGACGGGCACTTTGGTTCGAGCGCCATTATCACGTTTCGGAGGGTTGCGAGTCGAACGCCCGGTTGAGGGTCGGCTCGGCCAATCGTCCTTCACGGTCGGTAAAATAATTACCGCTTTGTGGGGGAAGCCTCCCATCGCTTCGTACCATGCGCTGTGCGGGGTCCTCCGTGTCGGACGCCTGTTCCAGCAGCTCGCTGTACTCGAGCTCCTCGCACAGCCTCTGCAGGGTGTTGAGGGGCTCGTTGAGCTCCACCGGCATGGAGACCTTTGCCAGGTCCTTGCCGATGTTGTTGCGCAGGATATTCCAGAGGCTCACACCGCTCGTGTCCGGGCACGGCGCCGGCAGGAAGCTTCGTCTGCCGTTGCGGAAGCCGCCCTCCCGTGTGCTTAACGCTGAATTAACAACAGCAATGAAAACAATAACTTGCATTTATATTGCGCCCATAGGGCAAACAAATATCTTAGGGTGCAGGTTTTTTTTTTGTTAAGTGACTCGCGAAGCTTCATGAGGTGTGCCCACAAGATAAGAACTACGTGCTCTTTTTTTAGGTGGAGATCATCCAGCATGTCTGAAAAGACATAGCTCTTCGGGTTTATTTTTAAACCTGTGTGGTTCATTTGATGAGGAATAGACAATTCATCCTCGCCTATCACCCGCAATGCAAACCGACACGGTCGGCTCTCAGGAGCTAAGCAGGGGTAAGCCTGGATCCATCTCGGATGGGCGACCACCACCATGCACGAGATGGGTGTTAAAAGGCTTCTGCGAGCAACGTTGGTCAAGCAGAAGGCGGTGCGGCTAACGTCATCGTTGTACTGTACTGCGCTCACCGCCTGCACCAACGCGTGCTGATGAACTTGGGTGAAGTACGCACAAATAACCAGGGCCGGCTTGGCCCATAGGTTAATGAGGCTAATAACGGCCTTAGGCCCTCATATTCTGTAGGCAACCCATTCCATGTTGAAGTAACAGCTTAGTGAAGCCAGGGCCGGCCCTCACCATTTTTTTTGTCTTTTACATTACAATGACATCGTTCATGACTTTGCCACGGTCAAAGCTACGAAGAACAAAAAATGGTTTCATTGATTGAATGAGTGCAGTGGGTCATTTGTCTTGGATGAATATACATTCGTTCATTTTGCAAAGGTAAATATTTGATGACTTCATACATTTTTTTCCAATATGTAACACATTCTTAGGCGCTGCTCTCCTATTAGCCCTGAGGCCCCTCATGACCTTAATTGGGCGCTGCGAAAAACCCCCACGACCTGTACGGCGTGGAGATCATCCAGCGGTGGATTGACAAAAAGACCGCGCGTGCACTTCATGGTTGTTTCGCCTCTGCATAAACATCGCAGCACAGGAATAGGGACCTTTAAAAAATACACTGGGATATAGATTTGGTTTCTGAGAAGTCCGGTACGATGTACCAGCATACACCGGTATATTGCAAACACAGAGTGGTTCAAGTTTATTTTATAATAATCAGGTAAGAACTCAACAGACAAAGATAAGTTTCATTTGCAAGACGAGCCTGAGGCATCAGTCTGCCAGTAGGGAGTGTTGATCGCTGTGCATAATCCAAACTGAGTAACTTGTGGGGTAATTTTTGACAATTTGACCTCACGCCATCGACAATGTCCACCCATGAAGCGGGCGGTTAACGCGCCCGCAGGTCGCAGTATTTAACCAGGTGGGCGGTCGTCGAAATTGGAAATTGCGAACCTCCGCAACAAGCGACGGACGCGGCTACCACCGGGCCGCGTCACCTCCCCGGGGGCGGGGGGGGGGGGGGGGGGTGGGGGTGGGGGTGCTTTCGATGGTTGGGCCTCGGTCCCACACCAAGATCCACAGGGCGGGCCACGGAGGCAACTCACACGTTTGCGGCGCCCCATCCGTCACGCTGATGTTGTCTTCCGACACGTTGTCGCTCACGTCGCTCACGTAGGATTCGTCGTCCGACGGCTTTGAAAGCGGCGAAGGGAGCAACGCCCGCGCGACGCGGCCGACACACACGCAGTGCATTATCGCAGTGAGAAATAGCAAGCAAAATATATACGAAACCAAACTGATCCAATGTCTCCTTTCACCAGGTAAGGGTTTGGGTGAACCAAAATAGGCTTTCACGTGAAATGGGTCAAATTTACTATAATTTTTAAACATGGACATTAAGGCAACGATTGTTTAAAAGTTGGTTCGAAAACTAAATAACTGCATGCATTGATATCAAGGTAAACAGAACTATTCCTGGTCCCTTATATGGCACGGCCACGCCACTTAAATGACTCAGAAGAAGCATCTTAGATCTTAACACAAAATAACGAGCGTCTTTGAGAAGAATATAAGCAACAAATTAAAGAAAGCAATAAAAACACCTTATCCACAAACCTGTTCCTCCACATAAACTATATAAACCTATTTTTCACATTTCCCGTCAATCACAAGGCCTTCCGGGAGTGCATTATTTCAGCAACATTAGTTCAATACAAAAAACTCTGGACTGGTTTATACATAGAGGGTCTCATTAATAGCGTCAGGCTTGCTGCAAATAATTATGTTCGAGCAGAAGTGGTAAACCTCTTCCTTACCGGGGGGCCGAATAGGACTTTCAAATAAATACCTTTGGCTGGGTCTCACAGCAAAAGGCACCCCGGTGACACACAACAACAACAACAACGCGAAAAATCACGCACGTGTCAAGCGAGTATAGAAAGGCCCTTGACGGCGACAGAAGTGACGGAGCCGTTCTAAAATTATAAACACATAAGTCGAAAACATTTTCAGAATATAATTGAAATTCCGCAGGTCTTGCCCGCGCATTGTTCGACACGACGTCCGACGTTTCGCTCTGCGTGCTGGAAGATTCGGTTCCTGTAGCAAGCTGCACAGCCGGACCGAAACGTCAGAAAGTCATGCCGGACAAATTGTGCCAGTCCAATCAGAGCGGGCCACAGCAGCACGGGCGCGGAACACCAACGTGGCGGGCAAGTTTGAACTGCGCGGCGCGAGGAAAAACGAAGATCGCGAATGCGCATCGGGTCCACCTCGTTCTCGGAGGAGCTCGCCGAGATGAGCACCTCCTGGGCATCGAAGAACTCCGAGACGGACTCGGAAACAGAGAGGCGACTCTCGCTGAGCGGCACCGGCACGAGGGGTCCCTCCTGGGGGGGCTCGGGGGGCTGGGACACGTGCACACGGAGCATTGTGGCCACACAGTTACAAGCACGGGCGGGCGCGCGTGCGCACATTCGACCAACTCTCCCCTTCCACGATTCTCCACTCGGCACAATCATTCCCTCCCTCCAGGGAACAACAGGATGGGTACAACGTCGAGGGGAGATGACAGCGGTGAGCCCCGAGTAAACTAAAAACCAAACTAAACAATTTTTTATTTTACCAAAGTAAGGCCCACTAAGCTATATAGCTCTTTTTCATGATCGACTTGGCCTCAAATTATAACTCAACGAAGTGGCTTATCACGTGGAAATATATTGTAGCAGCCAATTACTTTAAATGCATGTTTCTAAATGTGGAGGGGGAAAACCAGAGGACCCGGAGAAAAATCCACATGACCACAGGGAGAATATACAAACTCCAAATATTCAGCAGGCGTCAGTCTCGAGATCGAGCCGACGACCTCCTGCATACCAGGCGAAGGAGTTAACATCTCGCCACAGTGGCGAGTGGTTGGCTCCTTTCATGAGAATGTGGAATTTCCACTGCTGGGTCAGAACTTCCAGCAGACATTAGTGTGGGGGCACCACTCGTTTGAGTGCAGAGACACCGAGACTTTTATTATTTATAGTGATAACGTGCGAGAGCAGGCGATTGAGGACCGCTACGTTGTTTTAAGAATTCTGAAATGCAGGTGTACGTGTGGTGTGCTTCACGAATACATATTCACGAACTAAGCCTGATTTTTTGGATTGAAAAAAAAATTCCCTTTATTAATCTGACAAGTGGGAACACATCTCAGGTAGACGTGTTTTTGTAACTTTCTGTTAATGCAGGAAATGGCTTTTAGCATTTATTATAATTACTTTGCCGTGTTTTTTTTCATTTCCACGAGGTATTTGTATGCCGAGTGTTTGTTGCGGTCTCTTGTGCAGCTCTTTGAGATCCCCGATAAAAGGCGTGATAGAAATAGCACTATTGCTTTCGTTGGTACACAATGTGTGCCGTGTGTTTAACACGCAGTAGGCTTTCGCGACCAATATCATCTAATAGTATAGTTTCTTTTGGGTTAGATCGCGCAAATATAAATGTGTCGTTAAACCCGCCACCACCCAACACAGCCAATTAGTAACGTTTGTCACGTAAACAGAACATGCCAATTTGTAACTAGTACAGCACATTAGTGTGTTGGAGAGTTGTTGTGGATTTCAAGATCCATTTTGCAGCAGAGGACTGTCAACGTGAAGAAAAAAACTCCTAGAATTCTGAAAGGTTTTTATTCCCTTAAATGTACGAGGAGTTTTTTTTCTGTTCCCCGAAAACGGTCAGTTGACTCAGCCGGAGAGCGATCGGCTCACAATTATAAAAAAAATTGCGAGTTCGAACCCTGGTTGGGTATCGACTCGGCACATCATCAGCTCTACAGGGGTCAATAAAATGAGTACAACTTTGTGGGTAGGTCACCAGTGGCTGTTCTATGGACAGACTCACCTCCACCACAGGAATGTGCAATTTCTATGACTGGCTCAGGAGGTGAATACTACCTTAGTGCTCATTTAATGAAAACATCTATTTGACTTTTCATTCTTTACCTCCAATATTATTTTCTGGTAATGACAATGCAGCTGAATTACTCGCTCTGTCTGTGTGACTTTACCAACATGTCTTTAACATTCACTTTACTATTTGCTGCCAATGCCATACTTTGGTAATTCCTCAAAGGTAAGGCAGCAGCAGGGATTTACCCGCCTATCCTCAGCAAAATGGCTCAGAAGTGATCAAAAAGACCACTCCACTACCTGCCAGAGTGCAGTTTTGAGATTGGCGTGTTCAAAAACATCTCTCTCGATGAAGAGGTGAGCAATAATCAAATCTGTAAATGACCAGAAAACGCCATCATCGTCACAGAGAAAAATCAGTGCAGACTGCAAAAAAAAAACGTTTCAAGGAACGAGCAGACACGTGTACAAATTGCGCATTATGCAAAAACAATCAGCGGCTCCTGAAGAACTGCATTGTGGAGCTCTTGTTTGAGGTCACCGTAAAAATCTATTTGAGCAATTGTGACCTGACTGACAGGCAGCAGCGGGCTTACGGTGACGACTGAGGCCAAGAGAGCACCAGCATGATGACGGGAAGCAGTGAGCAAGTTTACGTCCACACGGTGAGTACAAGGCCTCCACAACAATCACGCTGCAATGCCTGTAATATGCCTCGTTTTCCAAATGAAAATCAAAGGACAATTTGATCCCTCTCCCATAAGAATGTGGAATTTATATCAATAGCAAAAAATAAATAACAAACAGCAGATCCCAGTCAAAATAATGATTTAAAACGAATGCACTTCTTGTGGATCATTATAGGAGGGATACCGACCTCCTGTGACGTGTCAACGGCATTGAAGGAGGAAAGAGAGTGGGTCGGTACACGAGGCTGGTACACACTGTGTAGGTTTACTAGTGGGCCAAGTGGAAGCGGGCCTCAAAACAGTAGAGGATTTGGAAGACAGGGGACACTGTGTGGGAAGGGCAAGCGAGACCACATTCAAGCGGGATGTGCTTGAGGTGGTGTGTGCTTGTGACCTCCTGTCACAGGTGCTGGCTAAAGTGGCCCCTCGGGATAGTCATCTTGTTGGGTGACTTCAATGCCCGAGTGGGTCATGATGCTGGCATCTGGTCTGGAGTGATTGGAGGGCATGGGCCAGATCAGCTCAATAACAACGGGAGGAGGCTGCTACATTTTTGTGCAGCCCATGGGCTTGTAATTACCAATACGCTGTTCCGGCATTGGGGCATCCACACAACATCATGGATGCATGCCGGGTCCAAGCAAGAACATCTGCTGGACTACATAGTGACGGACCAGCGGATGCGAGCCCATGTCCTTGACACCAGGACCTACCGTGGAGCTGATCTGCCCTCTGACCATCGACTTGTCATCTGTAAGATGCGCTGCCCATTCCAGGATGACCCTGCTGAGGCTGCGGTGCCTCAAATAGTGGAAGAAGTCACCCCCTGTGAGTGGCTGGCTGAGGTGCCATCTGTTGAGGAAGTACTGAAGGCGATCCGGAGTCTGAGACCAGGAATGGCAGCAGGCAGAGATGATCTCCCAAGCGAAATGCTGAGGAAGGGTGGCGTTTGTGCACAGACTGCCCTATATGACATCATAACAACAGTCTGGACCACTGGACGGGTTCCACAGGATTGGAAGGATGCCCTGGTGGTCCCCCTCTTTAAGAAGGGGGACCACACGGACTGTAACTACAGGGGCATCTCACTCCTCAGTGTGACGGGAAAGGTCCTGGCAAGGATTATTCAACATCGCCTTGCCAGGCACGCTGAGGAGAGGCTTGCGGAGCCCCAATGCGGTTTCAGGAAAAGGCGGTCCTGCACAGATGCCATATTTTCTGTCCGTCTGCTACAGTAGAGGTATAGGGAATTCCAGCAAGACCTACATCTCTGCTTTATTGACCTGGTCAAGGCCTATGATACCATCAGTAGGTCTGGGCTCTGGGTTGTTCTTCGTGCTTTTGGAGTACCTGACCCTCTGCTCACGATCATTAAGGACTTTCATGCTGGTGAGCGGGCCTGGGTAAAACTACGTGGCTGGGAGTCAGAGCCATTTCCTGTACACCTTGGGGTGCGACAGGGATGTCCTCTGGCTCCCACATTGTTTAACATCTATCTTGACCACGTAGTTCGTGAAGCCTTCAATAGCTGTACCGGGGGAATCTCCATATGGTACAGATATAATGGGAGGCTGATCGATGCCCGGGTGCGGTCAAGGGATGGCTCCCTATTGCTCAACCACGTTATGTATGCCGATGATTTGGTAATAGCTGCTCATTCAGAGGAGGAGTTTGAGACGCTGCTGCTGAGACTGGAGCGTGCTACTAAGAGATGGGGCCTTACCATCAGCCCCACCAAAACTAAGCACCTACCTGGGTATTTTGTACCATCGGACACTCCACCCCCACAACTCCCAATCGGTGATGGGGCAGTTGTGGAGAGAGTGGAGAGTTTCCCATACCTGGGCAGTGTGCTTATGACCGGCTCCAGTTTAACAGCAGAGGTCTCGCTCCGAATCAGTCGAGCGGCAATATCTTTTCATCCGTTGCGTAACGCTGTGTGGAAGCTACCTGGTCTGTCGCTCCGCACTAAGCTTCAGGTCTTCTCGGCCACGGTCATTCCCTCCCTTCTCTACGCTTGCGAAACGTGGACCCCCCTAATGGAACATCTTCGCCGGTTATTCCCCCGGCTGGCCTGCCTACGATCCATCCTGGGCTTAACCAGGCTGGATTGTGTGAGGAGCTCACAAATCCTTGAAAGATCTGGGCACGGTCCCATCGGGCTGGGTCATGTAGCCCGCATGTCCAGCCACCGCATGTCGAAACAGCTTTTGTTTGGCCGGATCGAGGAGGCTAAACGGGCGCGGCACGGGCTGGATTAGAGATGGAGTGATGTGGTACAGGAGGATGTGGAGCTGAGTGGACTTGCCGATGACTGGTACCAGCGGTGTCAAGATCGGCCTCTGTGGAGGAGGCTCATGAAGGACGCTACTGGGCAGTTGGAGGCAGTCGCCCTCCAACAACAACGGAGGGCGGAGGAGCGACGCTCACAACAACGAGCGGAGCGCCGGGTGGCTAAAGCACACAGGTGGTGCTTCAGTCAGTCATCTCAGTCAGTCGACCCGTGGCACCTGGGTCTGCCCCGTGACCTCCTGCCAGCGGGCGTTCGACACTTCATGTGGCCTCAAGGTGCACATGGCCTGGCACAAGCGTCGTGGTGACGTCACCGCCACTTAGTGGCGAATGGCGGTTGTTGTTGTTGTTTGTGTGTGTGTGATGCATCTGCCAGTCCTCTCAGTCAACCCATGGCACCGCGGTCTGTCCCATCACCTCCTGCCAGCGGGCGTTTGTCACCTCACGCGGCCTTAACGTGAACATAGCCTGGCACCAGCCCCATGGTGACATCGACACTTAGTGGCGAATAGCGGTTGTTGTTGTTGTTGTGTGCACATGTGAGCACGCGTGTGGGGAGCGGTAGTGTAGTGGTTAGCGTGCTGCGCTACCAACCCGGTGACCCGAGTTCGATTCCCGCTTACGGCCAACACCAGTGATGATTATCTGAACCGGTCCTGGGCCTCCCCTAGGTCGACTCAGCCTCCCGAGTGTGGTTTGTAAAATATCAGCACTGTGGAGGCAAAGGCGGCCGGGCGTGGTGCTGGCCACCCACCCCCCGATTGCTGTGCCGGCCTTCATAGGTGCTCGCTAACAGCACTTGCCCCAAGCGTCTGGGAATGCTATACGGGTGATCTGTGTCTTTGGGTGTGTTACAGCGGTAGTGTAGCAGTGTGATGTGTAAACATCGCCACTCGGGAGACAAATGCGGCCGGGTGTGGTGTTGGCCACCCACCCCCTCGTGTGCAAAGTCGATCTTCATAGGTGCTACTCGCTAACAGCACTTGCCCCAACAGCCTGTTAAAGCTATAGGGGGGGGATCTTCGTGTGTGTCTGTGTGCGTGCACGTGCGGGAGAGAGCGGCAGGGAGTGCAGAGTCGCCTGTGTCGTTAAAACCCAACCGCTGCCTGGTGAAGTGCCTGTTGCACGACATCCGCCTCCAGCCCACAACACAAATTGCTCCGGCTGGTGACAAAAATAAACTGCCTCCTATTTGTCTCGCCACGCAATAAAAAAAAATTAAAATCAAATTTTCGTTGTCTATATTCTCACCGCCGTTTGTTTCTATGCCGGACAACATAAGCTAACATTGGGTAATGTAAGATGGCATGAGGTAACATAAGTCCGGAAGGCGAATGGACCCAATCGTTTTTTTTTATTGAGACTAGTCTTGCCTGAGACTTAAAGAGACATCGGGACGGTTTGACTGCCTCCCGTTCTCTCTGCCTGTGTGATCCTGTGCTCTGGGCCACGTGTCACGTTACTATAGAAATGTAAGTCGTTGTTGACCATTTTTCATGCATAAAATGTACATAAAATGCTCCCAGTAATGCTAATTTACGATAGAACGCCACTCTTTTTATATTTTAGCAGGTAAGGCCCACTGAACTATACGGCTCTTTTTCAGAAGCGACCTGGCCATCACAATTGATAGTTCAACGAAGTGGCTTATCATGTGGAAATTATCATAGCAGAAAATTACTCTAAAAACACGTGATGTAGATTTTTAAATGTGAAGGGAAAAACTGGAGGACCCGGTGAAAAATCCACGCAACCAGCGGGAGAGAAACACGCAAACTCCAAATATACAGGCGTCTGGGGTCAGGATCGAAACCACGACCACCTGTGTACCCAGTGAGGAAGTTAACATCTCGCCACCATGGAGATGTCGACTGTCCATGTTTTGGTTCAGGGCAACGAAACCCATTGGGCACTGACCCCATCCACACTCCCTTTCGCAGGAAGACACAGGAATTCTGCTTCCATAAATATTTAATCACCAGTGGAACTTTGCTCAAGTAATTTCATGGAGCTTGGTGTGTGAAAATGCAATACTTAATGGCAAGTAATTAGTAAAAATAACAATACAGTAGATAATTTATCAATTAACATAAGGCAAACAGTGATTCATATTGCAAAAAATACAGGAGACAAAATATAGATTGTACTTTATTAAATCACAGCGTGCAAAAAAAATAATTCCAATTAAGGTTCCTTTCGAAACTAATTATGAAAAAACCAAGAGAGATGTCCAGAGAGTGAATCCCTGCGCCACCTCAAATGTCAGAGCTGCAATTGTCAATTGCTGAGCGACAAACTGAACAACCAAAAAATTAACACCGTTCAGGAAATGTCACGACCCAGAATTTAAATTCCCCAATGCGACTGTAAGAAGACGTTCCATTCATCGTTAATATTTCCAACTTTTCGTAACTTCAGCACGACCACCAGCGGACCATTGTACAGCACAGGGTGACTCACACCGTTATATTTTACGCCGATCGTTCACGTTCTACACTCCCCGTCGTCGCATGCGCACGACGAGCGCCGAATATTTTGTCCCCAAAGTAACGTCATTGGGCAGGGGTTTCTTCCCCCGTTAACATTCCTTGTACGACAGCTGTTACACGGGGCTGTGTTGCTGCTGTCGTGGTGAATTTTCAAGGCGTTCAGAGTTCCCATTTGAAGGGCTGTGTAACCAGGGTTGGGTGTTTACGGGGGGGGTTGAAGGGTGGAGGAGGGTTGAAGCAGTGAAGAGCGGGAGGGTTGAAGGATACGTGAGGTTGATTGGGTGCGTGATAAGTTGAAGTGATCAAGGAGTGGTCGGATAAGTTGTTCGGATAGGGAGCGGATTTGTTAAAATGGGAGGAGCGGTTGAAGAGTGTGGTTTCAAGGATGGACAGAATGTAAACGCAGGTGGATTGAACGGTTGGACGAGTTGTGAGGTGGACGAGTTTATCGGAGAATGGGTTGAAGTGTTGAAGAAGGGTGAGTGGAAAGCATGCACAGGTTGGATGGGTTTGAAGGGTGAGCGGACACACACACACACACACATGGAAACAATGGTAACATTAACACAAGCGACTCGTGAGAACACAAGAAAATTATTATTTTTAAAAGCACAGAAACGAAACGATAGACAAGCTGGCGTCAATGTGCTCTGGCTCTCACCATGTCTGGGCTGAGGATGATGTTGACAAGGGGTTCCGTGAGATTTGAATCCGCGTGAATGCGACTCAATCTGCTCCTAAGGTCCCCATTCTGAGCCGTGGCCTGTGCAGGAAAGGGGGAAGGTCGGGGGGGGCGCTTACGGAGCGAAGGTCAAATTCCAGTGCATTGCTGGACGAGGGCGTCCACACGCCGTGCGGACCATGGGGGTGGGGGCTTTATTTGACCCATACTTCAACAAAGACGGTCTGTGCCGGGTTAGTCGAGGGGGTTAAAAGCTAAAGCCCCGGTCCAGGTGCCACTCACCGTGAATGTCGGCCAAGGCCAACAATTGAACTCAGATCACCAAGTGCATAGCTGAGTTCACGCCAACCGCTGCTCCTGTCGCCTTAAAAATGTATTTCCATACTTATTTATTAACACGCTTGTTCACCGAGGGAAGCCTCGCTGAATCTGACGACTATTTCCAGAGAGAGTCCCTGGAAAAATTAACGTGTCGGTAAATTCTGGGTATCGCCTGATGATGCTGGTTGTAACCACCGGCGAAACGTCACAGTACTCGAATTGCAAATGCTGTGGGTTTACTCTCCAACACACAATCGGTGTGCTGAAATGGCACGTTTTTGTTTACGTGACAAACCTTACCGATCGGCCGTGTCAGGTGGTGGCGGGTTTATTATGGACATACGCAGTATTAACCAGAGCAGCCAATGGATTCAAACCGCGGACTTCTTGCAACAAGCGGAAAACATGTTACACGTACCTACGTTGTTCGTTTTGCGACAATTCTGCTCACAGAAGCGCTCCTCAGCTCGGCAAAGCAATACATTTGCTTTTGAATTTACACAATTTACTGCTACCTCCCCAAATGTCCCAGTGGAATGTACACAAAGACCAACCACTGAGCCGGCATCTACATTCCAGGCTTCCCATCAGCGATTAAGCAAGGTTTCCACAAGAAAAATATCTCAGCTCGGTCATTCGTGCCTACAAAGACAAAGATCCCTGGATAGGCTTAAGCGACTGCTGGGGCAAGTGCTGTTAGCGAGCACCTATGAAGGCCGGAACGGCACACGAAGGGGTGGGTGGCCAGCACCACGCCCGGCTGCCTTTGTGTCCCTAGTGGCGATGTTTACACACTGCACCAGGTACTCATTTTAGGCTGAGTCGACCTAGGGGATGTCCATGACCGGTTAAGATAATCGTCACTGGTGTTGGCCGTGAGTGGGAATTGAACTCGGGTCACCGGGTTCGTAGCCCAGTGCGCTAACCGCTACACTACTGCTCCCAACACACACACACACAAAAACATTGCCATTTTATTTAACTCAGGATAACCCAACAACTACACAATGTAGATAATAAACATCCAGCAAGTGACACACTGGCAGACGACTCATTTACATGTGTGGAACGATGCATCGATTATTGCAATCGATTTTTAAGCTCGCGGAATCGCGTGTGGAATAAGCGTGGTTTTTATCGTCGCATGTTTGCAATGCAATGGGGGTTCATTGCACCCTTGCAGCCACTCGAGGCTCTATATTTCACCGCTGTGTAAAATAAAAATGAAAGATTATTTTTACCAAACAATTTACACACACACTCAACTCACAGCCAGAAGGTTGTAAGTTGTGAGGTGGACAGGTTGATTGGCGTATGGGTTGATGGTGCACGGGGCTGACGGATTGAAAGAGGATGGGTGGAAGGAATGCACGGGATGGGTTGAGGGGCGAGGTGACATTCTGTTCAAGGGCCTACTCAGTCCATCATCCCTGTGCGCGGTCATAACATGAGTTCCACTTTGTGGGAAGCCGACAGTGGTTGTGGCTGTGGAGTGACCGCTCAAGGCCACAGAAATGTGCAACTTTTTATAAATGGCTCAGGATCACGAATGAAAACGAGGACTCCCTCGCGCACGTTTGGGAGTCGCGCTACTGCGCTTCACTGTTTTGGGTTGTGTGATAAAATAACAATACTTGAGTTCATTTGGTATTTGTCGCCGTGCTCACAGCGCAGGGATATCACCACGAAGGCTCTCGCGTTGCACACAGTCTGCAGCAGGGTTCACGGTCGGGAGGTGACGACGATGCTGTAACAGGTGAATAACTCGTTCGGCATCTTTTCAAGTTTGCCAAATTCGGACCGTGACACCAGCACACGACGGCCTACTCCTTTAGAATAACGTCCGGGGGAAAACTTCAACGTCCGCTGCGAAGCGGATGGCGCGGATTTCATGATTTACTTCATAACCGGGGGGGGGGGGGGCGGCCTGCCGGGTTCGAACCATGAGCATCTGCAACGAGCGGCGAGCGCGTCTACCCGCTGGGCCGTGTCACCGTGCCGACGACGGGTGTGAGCTACTCGTAGAAACGGCGAGGACTGTCGGGAAAATTCTCCGCTCAGAAGGGGCTTCTCGGGGCAGTCGTGCGGTTTCTCTTCCAGCGTCGCTGCTCAATGCAACGCGAGGTTGCGCTGTCCATAGCGGGGATGGGGGGGGGGTGGGCACTGAAACGGACAACTCCTTCCTGCCTTGACGCAGCCAGAAAATCCGTATCATCCAAAAAGGCACCGCTGTGCTGAAGGAATCCGTAAATTTGCTGTGCTCTATAAAATACGCGCGAGTCATTTTTGGGAGCGCATCGGGTTTTGACAAAGGCCGCTCAGCAAGCTTACCCTTAAATTTTATTGCACTGAGTTTCAGCAGTTTCATCATCTCAATATTTAGTTTGTTGTCCTTCCCCGCACTCCGATTAGCACGGTTGGCTTCGTACAGTGCGAAAGAGGTTCAACAAACATACATTACTCTGCACGTGCGCAACAAGCATAATGTGACCGCTTCCATGCGTTTAGTCGCTGCAGGGCAGCACTATGAGGGGGCGTGGAGATGGTCCTGGCTTACAAGGACAGCTGCCGAAGAAAGGCACGGGCATCAATCATCAGGGCAGAGGCATGACCTGCTCCCTCCGTGGCCGCGACCTTGGAGTATAAAATCACCTGCCTGGCAGAAACAACGCCCCCACTGTACTACAGCTCGTGATAATAGACAAACGGGCCAACGTACTCGGGATGACAGAAAGAGCAGCACATGGATGAGACAACGCGTGCAGGGCAATGACATCGTTCAAGCTGTTTTGGAAAAGCGAGTGGACCTATGGCAGGACGTGACGATCGCTGCAAGGGACGATGGCCGACGGTCAAGAATCACGACGGAGTGACAGGCAAGTAGGAACGGAACAGGACGTCCGCCGAGGAGCGATGAGAACAGCTCTTCGTGTGCAGCAAGTGCTGGGTGGATGATTACACCGCTGGATTGTGAGAGGTGATGGTGGATTGGGGAGGGCCTTGATCCGGCAGCAGTGGATTTCATCGTGGCTGATGATGACGATGAGCCAACGCAATGTTCAGCTATTAAAGTGCAACTGCTTAGAAATTAATGATATTCATATTTAAATATTGAACTACAATAAGCATACATGTGTATTGGTCCTGAATGCGAGTCTATGAATTGTGGCTGCAGAGGTCACGTGAACCAGTCACATAATGACACAAGCACGAATCGAAATTCATCATACCTCGCACACACGATTCAATGCCATTGTCATGAGCAGGGGAATCAGTTTTAAAAGGAAAACCGATGCACGGCTACCCACCCCCCCTCTCCCTCACCTTACGACCAAATCACCTGGGATGCACGAGATCTCATCAGATCTCAGAAGCTCAGCAGGAGCAAGCATGGATAGCACTTGGACAGGTGCCGAGCACCCAAACAACTGATGTGGTGCCGATACAGGGCAACATTGTGGGCAACGGAGAGTAAAACAGCAGCATCAATCCGTGTACTGTACTACGCTACCACGCCTATGCTCCCTCCCCTCCCCGCCCTCACCAACCCACACTGACAAGAGTTGTGAAGTATGGTCAAATATCCTAATGCAATCCGCATGGCGTTGAGTTAATCCAGCAGTGGATTGAAAATGGGGGACTACTTGTACATACACGTAGAATAATAGATCTACACGCAGGCCTACGGTGGAGTCGAGAGTCATTGTGTCCATGCCACTCAGGGATGAGGCTGCTCCAGGTGTTTTTGGTTTGAATCTCAGTTCTCAGGTTACTTACCTGGATATGGAAGCTTATTGAGCAACGTTACAGGCACTCTCACGTAATAGCCAAATAGCCCACACACGTGATTAATAACTCACCGCCCTTAAGTAAATATGTAATCTCACACAGCATATCGTTAACACAATTTCTCATTCATATTTTCTGCCAAATAAACCAGTTTGTTTTTCCCCCTCATGAGTAGCTTTAGTGACAAAGAACTAATTGTTTATTTTGCTTATTTATAAGCTTAGATTTTTTTTTCTTCACATAAATGACATTCAAAAATGTATAATGGACATTCCGTGCTGATGTTGCTGGACAAGAGTTGTACAGATTTTATTTTACCCCAGTTGAGATGGCTGGGAGACTCGGGGGACTGTGAAATACTGAGAACCTGGGGTTTTAATTCCAGGTTTCGGCCACAAAATAAATAAAACATCCCTTTATCCAATGAAATGTATCTTTTTTCAAAATATAATTCATCACACTCTATCTGTGATTGTCAACTACTTTGGCTTCATTATCATGCAACATACCCTATTTGTGTGGAACAACATCTGTTCCACCCAGCGTAGATTAAAGTCCTACTGACATCAAAAGTAGTTCTTTAACACCAACTTCCAAGGGTCATTGTTTGACACGAACTTGTATACCCGAATCCACTGTGAGAGTTGTGAATGGAGTTATGTTGCGTGGCCATTTGGCACAAATGAAGAATAGAGGACGATTTAAAAACAACTCTTCTTAAAAAACGTGTATGGCCTAAAATCATTAACGCACATGGCCAACATATTTTTACCGTAACTCTCCAGGATTAAACTGCACTTTGAGACTTACAATCTGATCTGAAAGGTGAGGCTTATTCGCAATCTTTTTTCTACCCGTCTGGATACGAATAATAATGCTTGCTGAATATTAGCAGAGGCGGCTGGCTATTATGTCTTTTGTTGTTGTTACTGCCTTGTACAAAAGCCGTGCAACTAACTGGCGAAACGGGACCGTCCATGCAACAACCCAAATAAACTGAAGCTAAAGAATAAACAAACACAGGATACTTCGTTCATCAAGTGACAGTATTCCAGGAGGCTTCTGCATTGGGACGACTGAACATATCTCACTGGCGCAGCGCGCCGGGGCACCATTCCTAATGGGGGGGTGGGGGGGTGGCACCTGAGTGCGAGGCCGAATTATTGGAAACATATCAAGCAGTGGCTCAAACCTTTGGTGGGGTAGCAAGTATGGGGAAGGGGGGGATGTGGGGGGGTGGGCAAGATGGTACCTTGCCCCTGGCACGAAAAGATCCAACTCCCGGCTCTGCCCTGTGTGGCACATTTGTGCCGGACATCACTCTGCCCACCGTGCCCTCCCTCACCCCTGGGCGAGTGCTCACCTGCGCGAGTGCCTTCTTGAGCGCCAGCACGTGGGCGGCGTGGCCGGCGCCCGCCGCCTCGTGCTCGCACGCCACCTGCCGCAGCTTCTCCTTCTCGATGGCCACCGAGTTGAAGACGGACTTGAGCGTCACGTGCACTGCGCGCATGCGGAGGAGGGGGGGCGGGCGGGGGAGATTCCCGCACCTCCGATTAGCACGGCTGGCTACGTACGGTGCCAAATAAGTTCAACGTGCACGCGTACGGACGCACACGCCACCGACGCTTCGTTGTCTCGGCGACGGCCGTGTCACGGTGGACACACGGCCGAGGGCGCTGAGGGTCACCTGGAGGGGAGCTCCCGATCTTCGTCAGATCTCGGAAGATAAGCAGGTCCCGAGCCTGTACAGTGCTTCGGACGGGTGACCACCATGCATGCGAGGCTGTCGTAGGCAGCTGCGGAGCTCTGCTAAGTGGTGGTCAGCGAGGGGCAGTGTGGACAAATGTATTGTTTTACGGTACTTCTATGCTCCTACGTCTATGTTACCCACCTTTATTAGCACGCACTAATCGGCACGGTTAAGTATTGTGAACATCTCGTAGAACTAGCATGGCTTTCAGACGCCCCTTATCCAAAAGAAGATTTTTTAAGAAAGGGCTGTACGTGTGCACACGTGCACTGAAGTGTCAGGATCTAGCCGTCATCGTAGCCACGCTTGTCTATGTCACCACACCTTGTCACCACTTCCTTCCCTCCGCTAGATCCTTCAGATGTTTGGACAGGCCACACCCAATCTTCAAAGTCCTCTCTCTTCGCGTCACCCCTTACACCTGGCTTCTGGGCTTTTCCCTGCCCACTAACCTCAGAGGTCGACTCTTATGCCAGTCTTAATAATGCGTGCGCCGTCTGCTTCACGGTGAACTTTAGCGATCAGCTTGAGTCACTCGCACTGCGCGCCGATGTCGGGGGTCCAAATATGCCAAGTGCGACCCCCCCCCCACGGATTACTCAATTGGGATGATACACAGCAGCAATAATCACTTAAACACGAAGGATTTCGTGCCCAAGATTATACATAAGAGGTTTTTGGGCTCGATGGCGCAAATATATATTTTTCATATTGTGGGTTTTACTCTCCAACACACCGGTGTGCTGAACAAGCAACGAATTGGCACGTTTTGTTTAGGTGACAAACCTTACCAATTGGCTCTGTTGGGTGGTGGCGGGTTTAACAACACATTTATATTTACGCGATCTAACCCAAAACCCTCCTCTATTTTGAGCAATAATTATCACGACCCTACTGGCAGACTAATGCCACGACCCAGTTTCACTCTTGCAAATGAGACTCTCCTGGTCTCTTGGGTTCTCAGCGAGTTAAGCAATAACAATGTCAAACTTACACGACTGCATGCCCCTCCCCCCCTCTACACCCCCAATTACTTCTCCAACTCTTTATTGCCCAAATTTTATTCCAACATCACCCGTTGCTTGCCCTCTTACTGTCAATAAATTACTCACATTCGCTACGTGCTTATACATCAGGAGGAGGACCGCTTTGGGGAAATGATTCCCATTTCGGAGCACTGAGCCAAGCACCACTTAAGACTGTGGGTGTGAATCACCATAGCTCAGGGGTGGGCACATTTTTTGACTCGCGGGCCACAATGGGTTCTAAAATTTGCCAGAGGTGCCGGGCCAGGAACAGATGGATGAAGTGTTTGTGTGAACTAATATAAATGACATGTAAAAATCATTACATTAAAGGATTTGTCCTTTAACAGGTAGCAAAGCATTTATTTGCAAGGCAATTTAACAAATTGCACGAACATGAACAATACAAAAACATGTCGTAACTCCCGGTCAAAGTGCGCCATCTAATGGGGAAATGGGGGCATTACAGGAGAAAGGTAAAATTGAATTTAATAATAATATTATTTGGACAAGTTCGGCAGGCCGGAATAAAAAGCCCAATGGGCCGTATACGGCCCCCGTATACGGCCCGGTATACGGCCCCCGTATACGGCCCGGTATACGGCCCCCGTATACGGCCCAGTATACGGCCCCCGTATACGGCCCCCGTATACGGCCAGGGGGCCGTATTTTGCCAATGTCTGCCGCATAGCCAGACTGCGTTATTATTAAATCAACTTCTAAAATTACAGAGTTTGATGGTGTGAGAGACCGCTCGCGCATAACAATGTTGCAAAGTGTAAATTATTCATGCCGGAGAACACACAGCACAACCGCAGGCTATATTTGCCTGTGAAAACGTGGCGCCCCCGTGATAACCTCGCGCCATAAGAATGGCACGAACACAAAGTGTTGTTGTTATTATTTTTTACACACTCTTATCGAACTTGCCGTGTTGTCTGTTTACATTCCAAGGAATCTTGGACGCTTTAATATCTTCGGATCTACGAAGCCTAACGAGCTGAAATTTTCAAAACAGACTCGCCTCGAATGACAATTCAAGATTCCATGACAAAATAAACTGGCCCAGGTTCCCGCTCACCGTGGTCCTATTCGTGTTTTTAAATACATTTTACCAATAATCGTTTACATTTTAGCCCCTCCCCCCTCTTTTTTAAATCACGAATGGTCACGCCCACACTACGAAGGCAAGCGGTCTGGGTCCAATCACAGTGCCTGTTGCTGGGCCAGCCTCTGACCAATGAGAGGGCGCGCTTCTATCGCCCCTCTCGTCATGGCGCCGGAGCGGCCACTGTGGCTGCCTTTTCTTCTTTAGCGTGAGGCCAACAAATAACTATTATGAGGTAATAAAAACAATAACATTTTAAATGCACACACTTTTATTTGCACTCAAAAGTAGAAAGCGAATTATTTTGACCCCAGAATTAATCAAATTTTACGTGTTAGGTGGGGATGGGGGTTGGAGGGGCCAGGAGGGAAAGGGTGCAGGTGGGGAAGGGGGGGCAGGAGGGGAAGGGGGGGCAGGGCAGGTGGGGAGGGGGGGCAGGCAGGGGGGGGCAGGAGGGGCAGGGGGGCAGGCAGGCAGGGGGGGGCACCTTTCTTTGCCACGCAGCAGAACTCCTCCTGGAGGCGGCTGTAGTCGGTGGAGCAGCCGTCCAGAGACTCGGCGATGCTCACGCGCGCCTTGCTGCAGCTCAGAAGCCTCACCGGAGACTCCACCCCCACCTCAACTAGCCCCGCCCCTAACCCCGCCCCTAGCCCCACCCCAGGTCCCGCCCCTAACCCTGCCCCGCCCAACCCTGGGCCCAGCCCCGCCCCTCCGTCGATGCTCAGGTTGGGGTTGGAGGCGTGCAGGCGGATGGGAGAGGCGGACGGGCTGTTGGGAAGCTGGGGGGGGCACACAAAGGGGGGGGGGAGCACACAAAGGGGAGGGCACAAAAGGGGGGGGCAGAGAGGGCACAAGCGGTGGTAAAACTTTACGTTCACAGCTCAGTGGCACGATTCCGCACCACAAAGTAGTGATCTTGCAGGAGATCATTAACTCTTATGAATTCTGCTGTAATGTTACGTATGTATGGTGAACTTCTTTGCGCAGCCAACGGTGCTAATGGGAGGTGCCGTTGGGTGTGGACAACAAATGAAACGTAACAAGCAGTTCTAAATAAATGAGTTTTCAATATAGATTTAAAAGTGGCTCCCTGGAGCGTATGCACTTCACGACTCGGTTAATTGAGCACACTCCGAGCAAAGGTGCAATTGTCTTCACTCAAGCAATGCAGCTTGGCTCATCTCCATCGGTAGAACTGAGCCCATCGGTGGAGACTCGTACAGTGGTCAGCCATGGTGACGAGATGTTAACTACCTCGCCAGGTATTCAGGGCATGGGTTCGATCCCCACACTTGAAGCATGTATATAGAGTATTTTACTGCTATACTTTTCCACGTGGTAAGCCACTTCGTTGAGCTATCCAATTGTGGCCAGGTCACATCTGAAAATAGCTATATAGCTCAGTGGACCTTACCTGGTCAAATAAAAATAGTTTAGTTTAACAATTTAGTTTTAAACCTGTCATCAGTAGTCGGTGAACTACTGCTGTTGCCTTCCCGCTTGTTTGGATTGGGCAAGGATTTTAGCTCGTAACACTTCAATCGAGAGTTGAGCCATCCAACCAGTGTCAACTCCCGGATGTGAACTCATCTTGGTGGCTCAGCTGTAGCGAGCAAGCGATTCGCAATCGGAAGTTGCGATTTAAAATCCTAGTTGGGCGTCAACTCAGCCCATCATCTCTCCGGGGTCATAAAAATATGGTACCACTTTGTGGGAAGTTAACAGTGGGTGTCCGATTAGACTTACCCCTGCCATAGGAATGTGGAATTTACATCACTGTCTCAGGGCTGTAAACGGGAGTTGGAGCACTGCCTCAATGCTCATTTGAGCAGGAAATCACTTTGACCTGGGATCTCATGTCTATGGGGGTGCCCTTTTAAAATATAGCGTTTCAATTCCAATTCACAGGGTGTTAAAATGTTTATTTTAGCTATCGGAGGAAGCCAGAGAACCCAGAGAAAATCGTCGCAGAACACGGGGAGAGGACACACTAACAGACTAACTCCACGCAGCAAAGCACGCTGCATTGGTAATCGAACCCAGGGCCCCCTTTCTTGCTTTGAGGCACGGGTGTTTCCAGGTGTGCCACCCTGCCACGCCACGGTGAATATATTTACCTGCAAATGCATTTTAGAATCCTTGCTCACACTTTTGGTTCTCCAGCGGCGAGAGCTACGCTTTTCTTTCTTTCCGTTTTCAAGACAGGCACCCTGAAAACAGAGATTTCGGTTTTTTTGGTCATCAAAAGGACAGCCACTTCGGTGTAAGGCTTGCACAGCACTTTAAAGTTCCGTGTTGAATTTTACAACAATTCAACATCAACATGACATTTTTTCAGACATTTTAATCTTCGTTGTTTTGCTCCTGGCTAGTGTTTGTGCATATACGTGTGTTGTTTGGCGTCGTGGGGACGTCACCGCCACTTAGTTTGGCGAATGGCGGTTGTTGTTGTTTGGATTTCACAATTATATTAACAAGACACAAGGTGAATACATGTACAGTAGACTTGATTATCTGCGCTAATGATGGGGAGGAATGGCCACGGATAATTAAAAATCGCAGATAATAAAAAATATATAAATTTTATGTGGATCTCTATACCAAAAACCACTAGTATTGGTGAAAATCATGTTTAAGTTGAGAAAATTTAGTTTGTTAACATACAAAACATAACTTTGCAAGAAATAATGTATTGATCTTTTTTGATTGATTACAAAAGTCCATACAAAAAAACTGATCGATGCTCACGCTCAGTTATAACACTTCCCTGCTCACGCTCAGTGATAACACTTGCCTGCTCACGGTCAGAAGACTCGGCCCACGAAGTGGACAACAGAGCCAGGCCAATCAACATCAATCAAATAGTTCACAATACACGAACATCAATTCAGTCAGTAAAACATCACATTGTGAAATGGTCCTGCAAGATCACCCGTAGAGCCACTCCTGAAGTCACTTCCATATATCTCTCGGCAAACTGCGAGATATCTTTACGAGAGCAGGGACCAATGAATTCATAAGTTGGTTAAATCGACTTCTTTTTTTTGCGGCTCATTGCTCGGGGCACTTGATGTTTCTTTGTTCTGATTTATATTTACTTCATTGGCGTACTTTATTTAATTCACGTTTTTATTTCGCCAATTTTGGTGACCAGGTCATGCTTGTAAATTAGACTATTGTATGCTGGCCGTCTCTTAATTTCTCACATGGTTTAAAAAAGTACAAATCTGAAAGCGCTTTCAACTGCTGAGATCTGCTTGCCACTCGAAAGGCAGAAATGTTCTACAAACCACGCTCAGCGCGAGTCAGCTGATGCGCGATGATGTCACCAAGCTCCACCCATGACCTCCCGTCCAGCGGTACTCGTGTCGAGTGATTTGAATAAATAATTGGGAGGAGTAATTGATTGCTTAAGTAATTGGACACACTCCGGAAATACACCTTGCCGTAACTGGACAGTACTCCGGGCTCTGTAAAAGGGATGCTTTATACCAAGTGACAGAAATAACCAAATACATTTGATAATAGAATGCAACCATCCGAGCAATTTTAATTTGAAATTTAAAAAAAAACATTATAATATTTATTTCACAATAACCAGTGACCCTGCTGAGATCATTAAATTCACTACACTTGAGAACATAAAGCTTGACTTAAAGCTTTCGTGACTGCACGAGTTCATATTCTTTGGGTCTTTCGGTAAAGTCACGTAGAAAAAAAATTGTTCTACGTGAATTTGCCGAAAGACCCAAAGAATAAAAACTTGAGAACATAATTGAATTAAGGATGATAATTGTTTTTTACCCTTTTAATGATATTTGTAGTGTATATACTGTCCATTTTGCTACTGGCAAAGGAGGTTTCAATGGTGTAAATGCGTACCCCGAGCTCTCATACTCTGATGGTGCATTGTCTTGGAGTCGTGCGGCGTTTGGCGTCTTCTGGTCCAACACGATGCGAGACTAGGCTCTAAGAAAGCTGGCTGGGGTGTTGACCAATCAATTTCAAGGACAGTGCATACATTATCAGAGTTGTTTTTGCATTCCGACCGCAGGTATTGTGGTCAATGTAAACATGACTCCTTGTAAAAAAAGGTGTCAGTTTTGTTGCCAGATAAAAGGGTAAAAAAACTATTATCATATTTTCCTACTGGCAAAGGAGGTTCCAATGGTGAATTAAGGATGGTTGGCTGAATTCGATCCCACTTATAATCATAAAGTGTTAAGGGTTAAAAAAACGATGTATTATATGATTGTCCTATATGATATTTCTATACTCTTTGGTTCTTTCGGTAAAGTCACGTAGGTAGAAAAAATTAATAAAACAATAATCCATCAGTGGAACTGCTGGATTATTTTTTTCCGCCTGAGGACGACCGTTTGTGTTGCGATCGAAACGTCGTGATATATTATTTTGTTTTATTTTATTTTTCTACCTACGTGATTTTATCGAAATAACCAAAGAGGATGGATTCCTGCAGTCACGAAAGCTTCAAATCAAGAATTATATTTCTAGTGTATATACTGTCCATAAATTTTTGATTTAAAGCTTTCGTGACTGCAGGGATTCATATTCTTGGTTCTTTCGGTAAAGTCACGTAGAAGGGAAACAATAAAATCATAAAAATATAAAACAATTAAATTCTCACGACGTTTTGACTGCAACACAAGCAATCATCATCAGGTGTGAAAACCACAGCAAGAAAATTTGCAGTGGTTTTCACACCTGATGATGATTGCTTGTGTTGCAATCGAAACGTCGTGAGAATTTTGAAAACCACAGCAAGAAAATTTGCTGTGGTTTTCACACCTGATGATGATTGCTTGTGTTGCAATCGAAACGTCGTGAGAATTTTATTGTTTTATTTTTTTATTATTTCCCTTCTACGTGACTTTACCGAAAGAACCAAGAATATACTGTCCATAGTCAATATATCTTAATTTTATTTTCGCATTCTGCACCCATTCTTTTCTCCCCCCTAGTTTGGAATATAAACACAAATGTAATTAATAAGCTACACTGGGAATTAACCTAGATTTTCCCCAAGAGATATCTTTCATGGGTCAGCCTTACAACTATAATTGGGCATCCTCACTGATATGTAAGGCTTCACAAATGGGTAGCTCAATCTAAATTAGCAAAAAAAACATCTGTTTCTATGAGATATTTTATTTGCACAATCATCAAATCAATCCAAACTTTATTTATTCAATGGCACCTTTCATAAACCAAGGAGCCTTGTACACCATGTATCATTCTCCAATAAAACTTTAAAGCCATGAAGTAAGAATAATAATAAATCACCGATGCAGCACAAAATATCAAATAAACTACGCTTAAGAACGAGGCTTAATTTTGCGTGGAAATCTTCCATTTGAATCAACGATCTGAGTATTGCTGGCTCAGGTGAAACTAGCAAAAGAGGTCCCATTTTGTAGCTGCTCACCCCACGCTACAAATGCCCTGATAGTGGCATTGTCTTTGTACTGCTCACCTTTTGGCGTTCTCCGGTCTGACACTGGTAAGACTAGGCACTAAAGAAGGTGTAGGCCAATCAGTTTCAAAGAGAATGAATATATTATCATAGCATGTTTTGTTTGCATGTTCACTAAGTACGTGTGGTTAATGCAGACTTGATTCCTTGCAAAAGGTTTATATTTGGTGTTTGAACATCTAAACACATGTTTTATTGCTGGGCGTTCGTAAAATTCCTACCGTAATCCTTAAACCCCGTCGCGTTTATTTTGGTTGTGCTGTTATCGTGCGTTTGGGCGCACCTGACGATGCATCACCCACCAATATATACGAGCGTGCAATGTGATTTTGATGACAGACACTCTGTGTGGCCTCTGGACTTCGGGGAGGGGGGGAGAAACAATAAAAGGCGATGGAAATATACGAGTGCCCTTCGTTGACATCGATATTGCTTTTCAGACCGGATGAAAGGGGGTGCATGCATGCACACAACAACAAAAACAACAACCGCCATTCGCCACTAAGTGGCCCACCCCAGCACCCCACTCACTAGAGCACTAGGTCCACTCGACTCACTAGAGCACTGGGCCCACCCCAGCACCCCACTCACTAGAGCACTGGGCCGACCCCAGCACCCCACTCACTAGAGCACTGGGCCCACCCCAGCACCCCACTCACTAGAGCACTGGGCCCACCCCAGCACCCCACTCACTAGGGCACTGGGCCCACTCGACTCACTAGAGCACTGGGCCCACCCCAGCACCCCACTCACTATAGCACTGGGCCCACCCCAGCACCCCACTCACTAGAGCACTGGGCCCACCCCAGCACCCCACTCACTAGAGCACTGGGCCCACCCCAGCACCCCACTCACTAGTGCACTGGGCCCACCCCAGCACCCCACTCACTAGAGCACTGGGCCCACTCGACTCACTAGAGCACTGGGCCCACCCCAGCACCCCACTCACTAGGGCACTGGGCCCACCCCAGCACCCCACTCACTAAGCCACTGGGCCCACCCCAGGACCCCGCTCACTAGAGCACTGGGCCCACCCCAGCACCCCACTCACTAGAGCACTGGGCCCACCCCAGCACCCCACTCACTAGGGCACTGGGCCCACCCCAGCACCCCACTCACTAGAGCACTGGGCCCACCCCAGCACCCCACTCACTAGAGCACTGGGCCCACCCCAGCACCTCACTCACTAGAGCACTGGGCCCACCCCAGCACCCCACTCACTAGGGCACTGGGCCCACCCCAGCACCCCACTCACTAGAGCACTGGGCCCACCCCAGCACCCCACTCACTAGGGCACTGGGCCCACCCCAGCACCCCACTCACTAGAGCACTGGGCCCACTCGACTCACTAGAGCACTGGCCCCACCCCAGCACCCCACTCACTAGGGCACTGGCCTTGCCCTTGAGGGGTGTCAGAAGAGCGACTGCAATTTGCCACTCCCCCGTTTAATCCCCAAAGTGACACGAGTCTCAGCAGGGCCTGATAAAATATATATATATATATTTTTTTGACGTGTCTTATTCTGTTCACATGTTGCTAGCTCAACTGGGATACAAGCTCATTATGTTTTTTGGCGTGTACTCATTAGGGGTGCAGTTTGAAATACAACACCACATGCTCCACGTAGGTGCCTCTGACCTCGATAAACCTCAGGGCACCCTCCCTCACACCTATTTGCACCACGACCCTCGACAGCTGAACGCTACGTGCACTGTCCTTGGTTCACACCTGTCTCGGCAGGCTTCACACCTCAGCCTCCCCCATCGAACACCAAGATCATTCTACTCACCGCTCGATGCAGAAATGTCAACTAATATAGTCTCCTTCCCTTCCATTATCCCTCCCCAATCAATCACCTTCCCCCATGGGTCCTCTGCTGAATGCTCTGTGTCCCTCATCTCTCATGCCCGTGGCTCAAACCCCTTATCTTGTAAAATCAGCCTCGTGTATTCCTCCCCGAGTGAGCCGCATGCGTTTGGGTGTTCTCTGCGTCCCGTGATCTCCGTGCCGAGCTCTCTGATCGCCCTCTCTTATTTTGTTGTTATCAGCGAGGATTAAAAATAAGCTGGCAAGCAAGTCCATTGAGGCAGCCTCCACACAGTTATGAGATCAGCGATGAGGGCGCTATGGTGGCGAGCTGTCAACTACCCCGCCTGTTATACAGGAGGTCGTGGGTTCGATCCCGACCCGGATGATGCCTGTATATTTTGAGTTTGCATGTTCTTCCTATGATCACGTGGCTTTTTCTCCACATTTTGAATCAAAGTGCATTTAGAGTATTTGCTGCTATACATTTCCACATGATAAGCCACTTCGTTGAGCTATTATTTGTGATAGCCAGATTGCGTATGAAAAATAGCTATATAGCTCAGTGGGACTTACCTGCTAAAAAAAAAACAGTTTAGTTTAGAGATCCCGATGTACAAATAAATGTAAACACGCAAGGGCACACACAAGCGCTAGCTCACGTCGCATGCTTCAGGTTCCACTACAAGCATGCTACTCACGCTGGTATGCAGTATAACATTTGTAACAACATTATTATTCTCATACCTTTTATTAAGAGGCCGTTTTAAAAAAAATGTGGCCAATCTTACCTAAGAGGTCTGTGCATTGATATTGGCAAGCTGTGTGGTAGGTTTGTAGCAGTTGCCGTGTAACAAAAGCACGTGGCTCAACTTCCTGAGCTGCTAAAATATTTGAAGGCCGGCACATGAGGCGGGGGGGGGGGGGGTGTCCAGCACCGTGCCCGACTGAACCACAACTGCCAAGCACTAATCTTCACAAACACTGTCACAAGAACTTATTCACACTCTTTGGTTCTTTCGGTAAAGTCACGTAGGTAAAAAATAAAATAAAGTTAATACAAATCACGACGTTTCGGAAGCAACACAAGCCTCCATCATTAGGTGGGATAGTCACTACAGCAAATTACTTCTTGCTGTGACTATCCCACCTGATGACGGAGGCTTGTGTTGCTTCCGAAACGTCGTCATTGCAGTCACGAAAACTTCAAATCTAGAACTTATTCACAATTGAGTTGACCTGGAGGTAGCACAGCACATGTTCTGATACCATTTGTACACGACCTGGAAAGAAATCCAAAATAATCACGAGCATCATTGAGAACATAAACGAACAACATAAATCAGTATCAAAATAAAAGAATAGGTTTAGACCAGAGAGCGCCAAAAGGCGAACAGCACAAAGACAATGCCACTATTAGGACATTGAGAGCTCTGGGTGAGCAGCTACAACATGGGACCTCCCTTGCCAGTATCAAAATATAAGAATAAGGTTTTACCATTTTTGGCAATAAAACAGTTTGGTGTTTTAACATCTTAACATGATTTATTGCCAGAAAGAGTAAAAGCTATTCTTATAACGTAAATCAGCATACAACAGGTCTCCTTTTTACACGTCCCATCAGCCAGTTGCACGTCCTGCCAGTTCATCATTTCCGCAGCGTTGGCTCGACACAAGCAGTCCCCCAGGTGGCCCAGGATTGTTGTGCTGCGCACCAACGACAACACCACCACCGCCCAATGGATCAATCGGCCAGGCCGATCGGCTCCACTCATGCAAAGCGTTCTTGGACGGTCACGCCACAGAACACAGTCGTGTTCTCCTATAACGCGGCAGTAAGTTGCGTTCCTGAAGGGCACCACATTGTGGAAAATTATATATGATGTAGGGTAAAGTATGGTCCGTAATAACACGTGAGATGCGTACGCAGGGTGAACAAAGACTGAGGTGCGTGGACAGCATCTAGACGCATCCAGCAGCATCCCGCCTTGTACAGTTGCCGAGGCAGCCGTACGACCGATTATTCCCACTCGCGCGACATATTTCCGTTCACTCAAACCGCGTCATATCCAATTCGCATCCGCGTTGTAAAAACATGTGTCCCCCTACCCCCCCGCCCGATACATTCATCGCTTTATATCCCATTTGCGTTATGAAAACAGCGGAGCGTTACCGGAGACCAGACTGTGCGTGACGTGCGCGTCAACGGCCTACCGGCTGTGCTGAGCAGAGAGGCGCGCGAGAGCTCTCACCTGCATGTCGGAGAACGAAGGCGCCGACTGAGTCCGTTGCAGGATCTCCAGGCTCTTCAAGATGCCGCTCAGCTGAGCTAGATTCGCCTGGCAGTCGTTGAGGCCTACGCGCAGACGACAGGAGACGACGATCGCATCTGTGTGGCTGGGTGGCTCAGGTCAACGCCAAGGTCTCGTAGAAAGAGATCACAATCAGCATAATTATTTATTCTGGAGGAATCCGATGAGCTATGAAGCTCCTTTTCACAGATGTCCAGTAGATCATACCCCGGTTCCTAATATCACTCGATAATGGTTATGATCGATTTATTTAAATCTTACTCACCGCTAGGTCATTTGTGATGCCGCCGCCACGGAGCCGATCGGCGGGTGGCCCACCTGCGATCTCGCCGCCCCGAGCGGTGAGGCCGACATTGCTCCACCCCACCACCTCCCCACCCCCCCCCCCCACCGGAACACACACGCACGCACTCCCCCCACCATTAGAGCGCGTGGGAAGACACCCTGGCCGACAGGTTTTCACCCAGAAGCCCTCGTAAAGGGATAATCTTCACGGTTTCCTGCGGCCAGGGAATTGGACGGTCTCCTCCGACGCTAACACACCCCGTGGCGCCGTGACTTGAGTAGAAATGACATGTTCACGGCGGGGCTGCCCCGCCACCGCGGTTAGTACGCACCTCACGCACACGGGTCGGCAGGGCAGGCAGGTAGGGGGGGCAGAGCCACGAGCGGCGGGAAAGCAGGGTCGCCCTCCGACTGGAGGGCCACTGAGCAGGTAAATTTAGATGCGGACGTCGCTGAAAGCAACGGCCCGGGGGATGCTGGGATACAGATGGGCCTACCGATTGGCGGGTGATCCCAGCGAGCTGATTGGCCCGCGAGTCGGCACCAGGTAGCCCCTTTGATGTAGAAAGAATAAAGCGGGTCAGGGCGAAGGGAAAAGGGTCTCTGGCTACTCGAGTCGACCCCAGGCCCGTCAACTCCCGAGTCCAGCCGCGCGAACTTCCGTGGGACGTATCGACGCGCCGCGAGGACCAGCCGGCAGTGACGACGAACCGTGAGTAAGAGAGAGAAAGAGGGAGTTGGGACTTAGCTTAAGAGGAAAACCGGAGAGGGTAAAGGGGAGAAGGACAGGTAGAGTGTAGTGCCGACTATCGAGAGATAGATTGGTCCTGCCCCGCTGATCCCGGCTGACTGGGTTAAATAAGGGCTCGCCGACGCGGTGGAATAAATCGTCGGCGGTTACATAACGGACTGGTGTGGTTTTCGCGAGGGTGTGGAAAGAGAGTGGAAGCGTGGGTGCGCTTGCTGTTCTCGGTGGTCGCCGCGTGTGTGGAGCGGCGCCGCGTGGAGTGTGTGCGCTACGAACCGTCGGCTGCGGACTCCCACATTGCGAGCGGATACCCATCTCGCACGCATGCCCATCGCATAGCCCTTTAAACCCGTTTAATCCAATCCCCCCACGAACGACGTCGCTTACCCTCCGACCTTTAACCCCCTGTTACCCGCGTGTGATTGGTGCGTGGGACTGCGCGGGCGGGGAGCGTCGCGTTTGGGTGCCGGCGAAGCGCTAGCGGGTCCCAGGGCGGGCGAGGGTGATGCCTCACCGGCAGGAAACCCGGACTCGGGGGGGGACAGCACAGGGGGGGGAACAGGAGCGCGACGACCTTTCCCCGCCCGGGGAGGAGTGCGGCGGCGGCAGCTCCCACACTAGTGGAGAGTCTGGGAGCGTCGGCACTTCGCGGACGGGGTCGCAGGCAGGAGAGATCCCGGGGGCCGGCGACCCTAACACATTCCACCAATCTGTGTAAGAGTATATATATATAAAAACCTGCCTTGTTTAGACAGTGCCAAGTCGATCTTTACTCCACAACCGTTTTCTACTGCTAAAGGAACCAAACGCAACGGTCAACATTGGAATAACGCCGTCACATTTGGGATGAATGTCCTGCTCTATATCCAACCCGTATAGAATGCAGCATCTCTACTTGATTTATGATTCCCCTACCCAACAATGTGCTAAAATCATTCCCCCCATCGTCAATCTTCCTCCGCCTTCTTCTTCTCTTCGCGACTGCTCCCATCCACGGCTGTTCGGTCCGTCACCTCCTTGTCTCTCTGCGACCGTTTGCTGTCACGCTCGTTGCTCTCATGAGCAGCGGCTCTTGACCGCACACGTCGAGGTCGTGGGTCTCCATGTTTTGGCCGATTGATCGCATCCGCACGGCGTGCAGACCGCCCTCAATCTGCCTCGCACATCCGGTCATCCTCGCAGCAGCTGTTTTTGGCTGGCCATCGAACAAAGACGGTGATGGCATCGCACCCTTTCAGATGCGCCTCTGCAGCTGTCTGGAACGCTCTTCCTTCCGATGTTAGGAAATAACTGGAAGCTATGCACTTCTAAAATCCAGGTTGAAAACTAATTTCTTTGGAACTGCTTTTTGTGTTTAGTTTGTTGTCCTTCCGCCGCACCTTCGATTAGCACGCTTGGCTACGTACGGTGTGAAAGAAGTTCAACATACATATCTATCTTTCCTGAGTCAACCTAGGGGAGGCCCAAGACCGTTTCAGATACAGTAAAACCTTGGATTGCGAGCATAATTAGTTCCGGAAACGTGTTTGTAATCCAAAGCACTCGTATATGAAAGCACTCGTATATGAATTGTGATCACGTGACGCTCGGCAGACAAAGCGTGTATACGTACTGCTCGTATTGCAAGATCTCGCTCGTTTATCAAATTAATTAATTTTTGCTCGTCTTGCAAAACACTCGCAGACCAAGTTACTCGCAATCCAAGGTTTTACTGTATTTGCCATTGGTGTTGGCCGTGGCCGTGCATCGGACTCGGGTAACCAGGTTCGTAGGGTAGTGTGATAACAAATATGCCACCGCACCCCATAAAATAACAGCAGCCACCATCTGCCACTGTGTCATCACAGCGCTTGTTGTACTCGAGGTGCACTTTGGGGCCACGTGAAGTGTTGATGACTTGTTGGCAGGAAGTCACAAGATAGACCGTGGTGTTATGGGTTAACCGACTGAGTTGACCGGCTTTCCATGCAACAATAACAGCCGCCGTTTGCCACGATGTTGCGCTGATGTCACCACAGCGGTTGTGACAGTCTTAGGTGCACTTTGAGGCCATGTGAAGTGTCAACGGCTCGCTGAAAGCAGGTCACGGTATAGAGCCATGTGTCATGGGTTGACCGACCGAGATGACTGGTAGATGCACCACCTGTGCTCCCCGCCACTGTGCCAACTCGCTTGCGTTTTAGCCGTTTGGCGAATACACACACGCACGCACACACACACATGGCAGATCCACCACGTCCTGAGATTTTAAAATCTCTGTTCGGCTACCTCTTGCACAGTGGTCCATCTCCTCCGTGTCCAGGAGCCAGCTGGTCATTTTGATCTGACCGTTGGAGAGGGATCCCGAGAGGCCCGGGCTGCTGGACGAGCGCGACATCTGTGCTTCGACAAGAGGGGAAGGGACAGAGCAAGACAGCCCAATGGCATCGGCGCCACACAATTACGATTCGACCCCAGAGTTCAACAAATAGACCGGCTCTTGCCCAGAGACGCCAAAGCAGAGGCTGCGTTCGCACCGTCCTTCCCCGGGCAACCAGATATTTTTGAACGTGCATCTTAATGCTCACATCCACGTGTATTTTGTCTAAAAACTCGACACGTTCATAACATACCACTCGCCTTAAAGGTTGAAGTATGAAATGGGCGGCGTTTTTGGGCAATTTGTCCTCTGAAGAAGGGCCATGCCTGACACGTCACCTTCGATATATTTTCCTCCTCTTAGGGTCGGCAGTGTTATTGATGAATGTGTTGAGTTTTTTTGTGTTGTTGTTGTTACCAAATAATGTGTTACACATGTGTTGTCCGTGAACTTGTACGGTCAAATTAATTCGACTCGGATGCAATTAGCTTCGTAGATTTCAGCCTCCGAAATTGTCACGCACGCAGGTTTTAAAGCTGAACACACGTGAATACGGAGTACAACATTTCCGAGGCGTATTACAGTTTTCAGACTATCGCCAAAAAAAGCCATGGCTACTGTTGGCTGCTATTTCAAATTGGACATATTTGAAAAGAGGAGCTTTATAACTCACTGGATTCCTCCAGTGTATGTGTGTATATATATAAAATTAGAATTTTGATGATTAAACGCAATTTACAAACAACGATGTTGAGGCCTCGTGCGTCGCGCAGCAACAATGCAACACGGTGGTGCGGAGAAACGCACTGCCCACAAAATGCGCTCGCGTGTTTCAAAACACGGCAAAACCAACCCGCCTCGAACATTCTCGGCACAGCCTCCGGCTCTGCTAAGACGCGAGCGCGTGTGTGCCAACCGCACAGCGACACACACCCACACACAAGCTGCAAATGCAACGCTTGCTGGGGGGGGGGGGGGGGTGGGGGCGTCCAGCAACAGCGCAGTTGCCACCGTTGTCAAAATCAATAGCGGGTATTTATAGTTTCCATCAGATGCAACTGTTCCACAGACGGCGAGGGATTCTACAAGAGGCAACAGGATCGCCTGATTTAGTATGTGTGTAGGCAGCGCGAGTGAGGGTGGAAGAGATGGAGGTAAAAACAAGTTCATTTTAAATGCCTGCGGAAGTTGCTTTGGAGGTGTGAAGGCTCAAACCCATGACACCTTTGAGTGTGCAGAGAGAGAGGGAGATACACAAAGACAACGATCCCCCGTATAGCCTTAACAGACTGTGGGGCAAGTGCTGTTAGCGAGCAGCACCTGTGAAGACCATGGTGTGTGGCCGGCACCACGTCCGGCCGCCTTTTTCTCCCCAGTGGCGATGTTTACACATGGCACCAGGTACTCATTTGAGGCTGAGTCTACGTAGGGGAGGCCCAGAAGTGATTCAGATAATCGTCACCGGTGTTGGCCATGAGCGGGATTCGAACTTGGGTGGCCGAGTTAATAGCGCAGCGCGCTAACAGTTGCACTATAAAGGTTAGCGGGCTAACTGCTAACCGGTAAAAGGAGAGACGCACCCATGGCTGTCTTCCTTTGAGTCTATAGAGGTGTGATATGTACTCCACTGGGTGTCTTCAACACAGCTCTGAGCAGTTTTGTTGTTGTTGTTAAAAAAAGTTAATTCGTGGAAAGTTTTCAATGATGAAAACACACATTCGTCAACAATATCCGTGGCCTTAAAAGGACATATATGTAATAGGGGACGTGTCAGGTAATGGTTCTTCTCCACAGCACATGGAGAGGCCAGACGGATGGAGTGGATAATAAAAGTTGGGAGACTCCACTTTAGACCGTGCGGTCTCAAGAGAATTAAAATGTCTCTTCACAGTTTTTCTTTATTCTTAGCTCTTTCGGTAAAGTCACGTTGAAGGGAAACAATAAAATAATACAATTTATATAAAACAATAAAAATTCTCACGACGTTTCGACCATAACACAAACAGTCGTCATCGTGAGAATTTTTATTGTTTTATATATATTATTTTATTGTTTCCCTTCAACGTGACTTTACCGAAAGAGCTAAGAATATGAATTACTGCAGTCATGAAAGCTTTAAATCAAAATTTAAAATTCAAAAAAATGTTAACACGTAGGAGAATTTGCACCAACACCGCAAGAAATTTGCCTCCTCCAGGCTCTGGAGACCACCTGGAGAAGATTCTGGCAACGCGTTGACAATGCTGGCGAACAAGTGGAGACTCTTTGACTTTACGAAACCCTTAACATACATTTGGTTAACATGTTACAGTGTAGTAGTATCCGTTCTTTTTCCATTAAAAACGATAGTCCCAGATAAGTGTTAACAGTTTTTTTTAAGCACCCTGTGTGTGTGTGTGTGTTTTCCTTTCAAGGCAGTGTTATTAAAGCTTGTGTTGAGCTTGTGCTTTGTGCGCTACTTCCAGTGCCATTTCACAAATTAAATTGCATAATTTTAAAACATTTGACACTCCGCTGAGATAGATTAACTGGGATTGTTTTTTTTAATCAGCCTGAGGAAATGTGCGGAAAGTTTCCAGTACTCGATTTTAACAATTTTATTGTCATCTGCGAACAAACCACCGGGAATGCAATCGACCTCATCGGATCTCCGGCGTCCTTCTTGTGCTGTAATTATTTGCTTCTGATTCATATGCACAGCTTTCAGGATTGCGTTGTGGGCAGCACAACGAAATCCATTGTTGTACTGCCCTTTCTATGTCCCCGTGTCTACGTTCCCCACTTTCAGCTGCACCGCCCAAGCGTTCGGAGGTACTTACGAAACTGATATCGATCAAATTTCGATTTAAAGCTTTCGTGACTGCAAGGATTCATCTTCTTTGGTTCTTTCGGTAAAGTCACGTAGAATGAGAAGAAAATAATAAATTGATAAAATAAAATAACACAATAATATTCTCACGACGTTTCGGCCACAACACAAGCGGCCTTCATCAGGTGATGTTATTTTATTTTATCAATTTATTATTTTATTCTCATTCTACGTGACTTTACCGAAAGAACCAAAGAAGAAGATATCGATCAATTAATAGATGCATCTTTACACCTCTTCATGTTTACACCCCTTCACGCTACCATGTGGCACCATCCCAACACCCCAGAATTAGCACAGACATTATGCTTGCCTGTACAGGCTCCAGCAGTGGTTCTTAACCATTACTGCGGCCTTGCCACCCCCCTTTGGTTCTCAATCGTCAACAGAATTATGTTATTAACAAGAAAAGGTTTCGATGAAGCCAAGTAAGCTGTTACTCACGTAGCCTTGCTTCATTTGTATTTCGATTATTTACCTTCGAAAAATAATCTGGCCGTGTCTCGCACCCCCAGAAAAGGGGCCGTCCATAAATGACGTCACGCGATTTTGGCCCCTCCCCCCCCCCCTTCGTCACACGGCGTCACAAAAAGTCAGACCCAACCTCAAATATGACGTCACAAAGCTCTGCCCCCCCCCCCAAAAAAAAAATAAAACATGCTTCAAATCGCTTTCAACTATTGTCATTGTAGTGCGTATTTAATGTGGCGCTGCACTCTGATGTTGTAGGAGAAAACATTCATTAAAAAGTCTAGTTAATTTAGTGGAAACGTGTTGTCTATATTTATCTAAAGTTGCGCATTTTGATGTGACGTCACATTTCTCAACCCACCCCCCCCTCCCTCGTCACACATCGTCACAAATGTCTGACCCCCCCCCCCCCCCCCCAGGTGCGTCACGTCATTTATGGACGACCCCAAAGGGTATCTCGCACCCCCAGGGTGCGCGTGCACCCCTGGTTGAGAACCATTGGTCTAGAGCAGGGGTCACCAAACTACAGCCCTGCGGGCCGCATCCGGCCCGCGACGTCAGTCCCATCAGGCCCGCCGACGACGGTACTTGAATTTGTCTTCTTTGGTTCTTTCGGTAAAGTCACGTAGAATGAGAATAAAATAATAAATTGATAAAATAAAATAACACAATAATATTCTCACGACGTTTTCGGCCACAACACAAGCGGCCTTCATCAGGTGAAGGGGACGAGACTGTCTGGAGGACAGCGCTGGAGTGAGAAAGCCACGCTGAGATCGCGACCTTTAAGCTGTGTGAGAAGAAACAAAGCGCCTTGACAAAGGAATTAGCATAGAATTTAGCATTGAAATGGCCGAGTGATTAGCTTGTGACTGGTCACAGAAAAGGCTATGTTAAAGTTAAAGCATACACATCCGCAGACAGTCTCGTCCCCTTCACCTGATGAAGGCCGCTTGTGTTGTGGCCGAAACGTCGTGAGAATATTATTGTGTTATTTTATTTTATCAATTTATTATTTTATTCTCATTCTACGTGACTTTACCGAAAGAACCAAAGAAGATGAATCCTTGCAGTCACGAAAGCTTTAAATCGAAAAGGTACTTGAATTTGGTTGATAAAACGTATGGAACACGAGACGTTGTGATACAATTTAAATATTATGTTTAGAATACTAGATCTTCACGCGTGCGGAGACCTCCTGACTGCTATGTTCCTTAAATTTACTATTTAAAATGATAAATTATTGTATCTAGATTTTCTTGTTTATTGTAATGTTTGCTTATTTCACGCCATCCCAAGTCCTTCCCCGGCTCGTGGTAGCTCCGCCTACGCTCTGACGTTGCCATGGTTTCCATGGCCATGGTTTCCATGGCAACGTCATGGCAACACGTTACCATGGTTTCCATGGCAACGTCATGGCAAAACGTTACCATGGTTTCCATGGCAACACACACAAACGCGCACCTCTCCCGCCCCCAGATTTTCCAGCTGTCAACACAGGTCCGACGCTCCAGAAATATTTATTTATTATGCGGCCCGCGCTCGTCATTCTTTCAGTTATCCGGCCCACTGTGAAAAAAGTTTGGTGACCCCTGGCCTAGAGTATTGCGGCAGAATTATTAAACACAATAAGATTCCAGTTAAAAAAAAAAGAAATCAAATACAGTAGTTTTGTGTGTTTTTTTTTTTAAATGAAATATTGATGAGGCTCAAGTAAAAGCCGCGTCGGGCAGTCGTGCACACGAAAGCCGTCTAGACTCGGCAACGGCATTTGTGCACGTTCACTTTCCATCGAGCGGCCACGTGCATTAATTGATTTTCTAGCTGCGTCGAGTCGTTATGTTGCACCTCAGAGCCCTTTTGGCCAGAAATAGGGCATGACGGAATAATATCCAGCGGTACCACCCCCACAGCGGGCACGTCAACGCGCCCGTGAAAACTCATTAAGCCTGAATTTCCTGTGGAAACAAAGCTTGCCAATTCTCTTCCATTCCAGGACCGGTTAACGATGACTGCGGCAAGTTAGTGAGGTGACTGGGAGACTCGCGGGCGTGGTGGGGAGGGGGTTGACAACCCTTGTCGCCACGGTGGCGAGATGTTTTACCACCTCGCCTGTTAAATAGGAGACCGTGGGTTCGATCCTGACCCTGACGCCTGTATATTTGGAGTTTGCGTGTTCTCCCCGTGGTCGCGTGGATTTTTCTCCGGGTCCTCCGTCTTTTCCCTCCACATCAACTTGCGTTTGGAATATTTGGCTGCTGCTATAAATTTCCACACGATAAGCCACTTTGCTGAGCTATCATTTGTGGCCAGGTCGCTACTGAAAAGGATCTGTATAGCTCAGTGGGCCTTAACTGGTCAAATAAAAAAAATACAAATACACAGTTTAGTTTGTAGAGTACGCTTTCAGCACCGCCGAGATTACACATTCGAGTCCCGCTCAATCGTTTGACGCTAAACCAGGTTCTCAAAATGCAGAAATGTTTCATGGTCCCAGCCAAGACACCGACCAACGGGCTGTACCGGACGCGTTCGTCTACACAACCTGTGCACCCGATCTCGTGAGACCTCGGAAGCTAAGCAGGGGTGAGCCTGGCCATCACTTGGACGGGCGACCACCGTGCATAGCAGGTTGTCAGAGGGCAGCTGCGGGGGTCTGTGCTACCTTGTGTGCCACAGACGGAAGCGCGGCAAAATGGAACGATGTACTTCACGCCTATCCTTCCACGTTTACAAATCCCCCACCTTCACCAACCCACACTGACCAGCGTGGTGAAGTATGGTTAAATAATCCCCATGACTCTGCAGCAGGTGCGGGGAGGCCCTCATCCAACAGTAGAGTGACAAGAGGGCCGTACAGTACCATCGAGTTCTCATCACTCAGCAGCTGACAGTTGCCATATAGGCAATGTCTCTTTACATATGGGTAGAATATTCGTGTCATCTATCTGGCCAGGTGGCACCTATGGTTAGAACACTGGACTCGCAGGGAAAAGTTTGAAAGTTATCGTCCCGGTTGAGATTGATTCAGCCCATCATCCCTCCAGGTCTATAAATTAAGTAAAGGAGAAGGAGGAGATTGCTGAGTTTTTCGAATGCGGCAATTTGTAAGCATTTTTGTTGATATGGACCACTAAGCCATGCTATTCGTTGACGTCACCAGGACCGTTGAGAAACGGCAGCACGCAGCGTTCACCGGGGCATCCTGCCGGATTCGAGCAGCAAATGCGCTCCCGCTGGGCCACGCCACCACCCAAATATAACGTCGCGACTAATAATATTATTATTATAGACGGACATCGTGCACCGTACGTAAAGAAGCCACACGGAAGGGGATGCAGCAGGGTGTAAATGGGTGAAAAAACCTATAAACTGCCATGCACTGCACATTAATTATGCAGCATTTATGCGGAACTGTCAAATGTAAAACGGAAACATGCACGCGCACACACGCGGGGATGTTCCTAGGCATGCAAATGTATGCGCTCATGAATAGACAAGAACAACACACACTATAATTTCCCAATTAGCCTAAAAGATTTCTGGATAAAGTGATATTAGAGAGCACCTATTAATTCCAGCGTGAGACGCAAGGGAGGAGCGAGGTCAGCTGCATACCCGGCTCTCTCTGACTCCCCCAAGGTTGATCCTGACAAATGGCACCAATTATTAAAATTATACCGAGTTAATCTAGACGAGGTCCAGGCCCTGGTGTTTATATATATCTCACATTTCATCAGTGTTGTCCATGGATGGGAATCGAACCTAGGTCGCTGGGATTTCTATTGAGGCTTGTTAACTGCGATGGTACCACTTCCCACAGTATCACAAACGTACGAGCAAACACACAAACTCATACATTCAGGGACACATAGAGGCATAAAATAATTATTATGTGTACACAGACTCATAAATTACCTTGTAACATCTCTGTACAAACATAACCAGAAATTGTTTACTTTGTGTCTTGTCTTACCAATGTTAGAGATGAATAAATTACGATAATTAGGTTATCAAAGGCAGGTACTGGTAATGCCATAACGTTAATCCGTTATCAGCAAGAAATAATGACTATTAAATAACGTGCGCTGGCAAATGATTCTGTATTACCCTCACTTAGAATCGTATTACTAGGAATCTTGTTACGATACTAGAATCATATTACTACGATTCTTAAAACCAAGTGGATGCGAGGGACAGCCGCAGCCATCAACAAAGATCGTACAAGAAAGCCTTCAATCAGAGCAATCATAAGACAATAATAATTTCATGTTGCAATGCAAATAAAAAATATAGCATAATGTTAGATTACTCCAAACACCTCGAGGAATCAAGTTATCAGACCGATTACTCTTCAAACTTTCATTTCCCGGCATCGCATATATTTATATTATTTTTGATGCTATACATTTCCACGTGATAAGCCACTTCGTTAAGCTATCATTTGTGGCCAGGTCTCTTCTGAAAAATAAGGTAATAGTTCAGTGGGCTTTACCTGGTAAAATAAAAAAAAGTTGAGTTTTATTTGTATATATTTTTTGGGTGATTTGCTTACCTTTCCTATACTTTGCCCTCCTATCGTGTTTTTGTATTGTGTTGTTATAACGTTCTGACAACGTGCGCTAACTGGACATCTGTGCAAAAAGAGCTTCATAGCTCATCGGATTCCTCCAGGATAAATGTTCTGAATCTGTATTGATGCAACTCCAGTTTCACAAAGGAGACAATAAGTCATATCTCATTAGGAGTATTTAATCTCCCGATGAATAGATACTGCTGAACTAACTGATCCTAAGCTCGTGTTCTCTTCCCAGAGCGACTGGACATCTGTGAAAAAGACCATTATAGCTCATCGGATTCCTCCAGTATAAATAAATATTCCAATTCTGCATTCAGCACCTCGGAAGGAAATCACAGTTTCGCGCAGCAGAGACGAGGGGCAGAGACAAATACAGCAACAAAAGCAAGGCTCGTCGGCCAATCGACGCGCGACGCACGCTCCGGAAGTTTCTATAGACGACCGAGTTGATCGGCCCGGGGTAGACGAGAGAGGGAAGGGAGGCAGCGGGCAGCCACAGGGACCTCCTCCTCTGCCGCCGAGGCACGACGGTGCAGCGCACGCACCTTGCCATCCGCAAAGTGCTGCCCCGGGCACACGTCCAGAGGGGACAGCAGATGGCGGCTGCCGGTGCCGGGGGAGCAGGCGATCTCGTTCTGACGGAAGAGGCGGTGGTTCCTCAGCTTGGATACCCACACGTCGAACATTTCCTGGGACTTGATCTGCCGAGAGAGCGGAGCGCGGCCGGAGGTCACGTTTCCGAGCGGGGCGGCCCTCGGACGTTGTACGGCGGGCGGTACGGCGCGCCGGGCCGCCGTGGTTTCGCGATCCGACGGCGCGGAAGCGTGGGGTACGGCGTTTGACTCGAAGTCGCAAGGGCGCGCGTTCAATTTTTGTCGTGATTGTTCGACTCGGCCCATCATCATCATCATCATCATCTCTCTCTGGGGAAGATAAAATATGACTTACTTTGAGGAAGGTCAGCAGCTGCTGTCAGGGAACATCTTGGATATTATCAAGCCCCTGTTAAGGCCAGAAGAAGCACGCAACGATGAGAGTGGTGTGGCCAGGACCACGTGTCTCACAACTTTTCTCTTCTTTTCAGTGCTCAAATTGGCACACTGCACCAGGTACTGTACTCACTTCTGGTCAAGTCGACCTAGGGGAGGCCCACGATAGATTAAGATACCTCTTGCGATTCATGTTATCCATGGCCACAATTGAATCGTGGTTGCTGAGAATCATGATATCACCCCCCCCCCCTCCTCCACCCAAAGATAAAGATCCCCCGTATAGCCTTAACCGACTGTTTGGGGCAAGTGCTGTTAGCAAACACCTATTAAGGATGGCACGACAGATGAGGGGGTGGGTGACCATCACCACGCCCGGCCGCCTTTGTCTCCCCCATGCTCACACACACACACATTCCAGTGACCAAGCATGGAAATATACGCTGGCATATTTTGCACACATTCGCACGTGGTACACTAACAAGAACCATTGTACACATATGTACATACATCAGCACTGGCGTTTACAATGGGACAGTGACATGGCATAGCGGGAGAGCGCGTTCACAGCTTGCTGCGGAGATCCACAGTTCAAATCAAGAGGCCACCCTGATTATAGGTATTACTGCGGGGTGTCTTAATCCTGAAGATACGCGCCGCCTGTTGCACAGTGGCCATCGCAGAGTCGGCTACCGTGCGACCGAGTCGTGGTCCACATTTTTTTCTAATTAAAAAAAATTACCTGCAAACTGTTCCATCAGAGATTATAGATGGCAATCCTCACCCCCCCCCCCCCGCCCGCCCCCCTACGAGCTAAGACTGATGCCTGTTTACAGGCCAGGTGCTGTATCACCACGTGGCCCACAGGGCCTGCTGCCCCTGGGGATTCCACCCTGCTCCCTTTCATGTGTTTGAGACAAGGTGTGACGGAGACACCCCGGGCGCATTGGGCACTATATAAAAAACACAAATCATTCCCAATCGTTTTCGCATGTGAGCAAGCTTACAACACTGCTCTTTCATGCAGCGTGCTTCCACAGCGGGCTCATTAGCCCGGAAAATGTATCCGGGACCAATTAAAATGCAAGTAACATAAAACACAGTGAAACACAACATAAGCAAGCCAGCACATGCACAACGTGGGTATTAGAATTCGTTCACAGGGCATTTGACATACATGCACCGGAGGATATATTAGGACCTGTCAAACCTGTTTTAAAGAGTTACTGCTTTGCCATATATCTTTTTTTACAAATCGGAAATACAATGCGGGGCACAGAGAGGCGATCAGAGTCAATACCTCATCTTGACGCGTTTGCTGTTAAGCCGACCACGTGGCAATGTGGCAGGAGCACTCAGCTCGCTGGAGAAATCCGGACGAGTTAAAATCCCAGAGGGAGGCCGACTTAGGCCATCAACCATTCGGGTTCAAAAAAATTAGCACAATTTTACAAGAATACAACAGTGGTTGCCTTACGGACAGATTGATCCCCATCACAGGAATGTGGAAATTCCATCACCGTTTTAGAGATCACAACAGAAATGGGTATTGCCCCATGCTTGCTTGAACAGGGAGAGACACCTCCCTTATTAAAATGTCACTATCATGGCACAGAGGGAAAAGCGCCTTCATTATATAACTTTATATTGTCAGTAGAGTATCACATTATGTTAAGAAAAGGCACTGTAAGAGGATACCATAGAACTACGTATCACAATCATAGGGCCTCCCCCTGCTCAAACAAGCAGAGGCGGTGCTCATCTCCATTAATAGCTGACATCGTGGTGGAAATTCCACGTTCCTATGGTGAGAGGCAGTCTTCCCACAACTCAACCAACGGTTGTCTTGGAAAAAAGTGGTACTCAATTTGTATGACCCTAGAAGGGGAGAAATACCGCGTCAATTTACCTGTCGAGATTTGAACCTGGAACTTTTCAGTTTGAAGAGCAAAACGGGCATTAAATATTGCATCAAACAACCACTGGATGTGGTTATTAAACTATGCATGCGATTTACAGAACCACCTGGCCAGACGAACCAATCGTCGTGTCAATTATTAATTCGTGTGTCGACTTCCCCCAACGTTATTCCAAATTGCGCATTTGCATCAAGTTATCAGATGAAGAATGCACGCGGCAAACAAGGGCAGTGCATCAGCCCGCGCTAGGGAATGGCCTGCCAAAGGTGATGCCACAGAACTGCTTATGAGAAGTGACTTCTGACCTTGGGAACAAACAAACAAAAACCTCACGAGATTCGTAATTAACACAGTGCCGCCTTGTAAAAAGAACCGTCTCTTCAAGTGCCCTCTTATCCACACGAGGGAGGGGGGGGTCGCACTTTCCCACAATGCCTTGCTACTAACGGCAACGCCCATCTCGCGACAGTTCAACCCCATAATTTTATTTTCTCGGAGCTAGAATTTTAATACCGTGGTCTTTTTGCGCTAGTGACGAGGCTGGGACCATCAAATCTCTGACGCTCGAGAATATTTTTTCATCATGGGCAGCTGGCCAGAGTGAAACTCATCATCTCAGTGGTACTACCTCAGTGCTCTGACATCTGATCCACTGGACCGCCTTGCTTGCAGTGCCACATTAACAGGTCCTTACCATTTAAAGCTTTTGTGACTGCAAGGGTTCATCTTCTTTGGTTCTTTCGGTAAAGTCATTGTAGCTCTGTCGTCCCGACAGGTTGTTCCTTTCACCTGAAGAAGGCCACTTGTGTTGCGGCCGAAACGTCGTGAGAATTTTATTGTTTTATTTCATTATTTTATTCTCATTCTACGTGACTTTACCGAAAGAACCAAAGAAGAAGGTCCTTACCATCTAACACGACATAGTTGTCTGTCTTCCGGAGTAGTTTTCTGCAGGTATCATTTCACATATATATACATACCCCCAAAATGAACACACGTATTGGTGACCACATGAAGAAAATGTACATTTGTTGACTTGATATTAGATGGTTTAACACTTAGTAGGCTTCCGCGATAGATATCATCCATGATACAGGTTTTGTGGGTTAGATCGCGTAAATATAAATGTGTCGATAAACCCGCCACCACCTGACACAGCCGATTAGTAAGGTTTGTAACGTAAACAGAACGTGCCAATTCGTTACTGGTACAGCACACCGGTGTGTTGGAGAGCAAATCCACAACATTTACAATCCAAGGAGAGAATGACGGAATGACGGAGGATACAAAGCCCAGGAGCTCAGAGCGGCGGCGGCGGCGGCGACTCCCTCGCTCCGATAGGGCCCATCATCTGTCGCACAACGCTGCCGCTTAAAAAACAAAAAACTCTCGGTCCCGAACCGCGTAAGGCTCTGCACTAACACATTTGTCATACGGGAGCGAATAACGAACGCAAGCGAATATTACTCTCGGGAGAGGCCGGTCGCTGTGCCATTATTCATCTCAAGGGATAGCGTGGGGGGCAGAGGCCACGCTCCGACAGGGCTGCTGGGATGCTCCGGTAGGGGGGGGGGGGAGTGGTTAATGTTTCGCCCGTGTGAGAGACCGTCGCCAACCTTGAGGTGGTAGATGTACTCCTCCGTGTCCAGATCGATGCGCCTCGACTTCTTTTTGATGGACATCACGGACAGGCCAATGTCTATGCTCCCGTGCAGCTTTCCACGCTGCACCTGAACGCGCAGACACAGCAGGATTACAGTTGCACTTCTCAGTGCGCGACCAGTCAAGCATCAGCTTTTGGTTCTTCAATTTTCGCCTGCATGGAAATCACTCCCCTGCGACTTTCCTCGAATGTTTTTTTTTATATATCCCACAGCTGTCTCCGTTAATTAAATAAGCGAAATGTAAATGTTATTTGTGCGAATATATGTGTGCGTGTGTGTGTCCAGCATGATGGCAATTCGGGTAAGAGTGCTCGACTCACAATCAGACAGTTTTCAGGTCAAATTATGCCTGGAGTTGATTGGGCCCATCATCCTTGTGAGGGTCAATAAAATAGGTATCACTTTGTGTAAACTCAATAGTGTTTTGTGGGGGGGGGGTTTGTTCTTCCTCTAGAGAAACTGGTGCCTGGAATTGGAACGTGGAATTTCCACCACCATGCCAGGGCCACCAACGCAGATGAACACCACCACACGCACGTTTGGGGAGATAAAAATTATGGAACAGACCTTGCAGCCTGACTATCAATGACCTAAACACATGTGTCTTGTTGCTTTGTGCCCTGAACGTTGGCAACGGACGCCGCCATTAACTTTCTCCCAGAACCCGAAATCTAAAATCCACAATTCGCATTCCAGCACGTGACCTGAAGCCTCGGTACCCCTTCTGACCACGATGTTCACTTAAATGCAGTGGAGGAATCCATTTTTCGCGATGTGGCACAATCGACTGAAAGGCGTGCGGTGGCTGCAGAAGTCATATTGCGAAACGCTGCTGCGAGCCGGGCACAATGCCCCCCCTCCCCCGCCGTGCATCTGGTGCTCAGGCAGCGCGCGCGCCCTCAATCAGACGTCAACCGCCACGGCATTGCTCGCAGTTCTATGAGCGAGGTTAAATTACCCGGGGAGGTTGCTGGTGGAACTGCATCCGTGACAAATCGCCGCCTTAGCGGAGTGCATTTCCTTCGTCGTTACCAATTGTCATGTGTGTCGTACGCTGAGTGCACTGCACGCTAATTCCACGGGACCTTTTTGCCAGTCTCAAAGTATGAAAATTAAGAACAGACTTTACCCTTCTTGGCAATAAAACAGGTGTTAAGATATTCTTGGTTCTTTCGGTAAAGTCACCACATAGAAGGGAAACAATAAAATAATAAAAATATAAAACAATAAAATTATCGTGACGTTTTGACTGCAACACAAGCAATCATCATCAGGTGTGAAAACCACAGCAAGAAAATTTTGAAAAAAGTGTATTAACTACACGTGCTTGTGTAGTTAATACACTTCAAAACTGATTGGCCTACACCAGAGACCGCCTTCTTTATGGCCTAGTCTCACCAGTGTCAGACCAGAGAACGCCACAAGGCGAACAGCACAAGGACAATGCCACTACCAGAGGCATTTATAGCTCGGGGTGAGTAGCTACATCATGGGACCTTATTGCAGACTTGATTCCTTGCAAAAGATATCTATTTGGTGTTTGAACATCTTAACACCTGATTTGAAGCTTTCGTGACTGCAGGAATCCATACTCTTTGCTTCTTTCGGTAAAGTCACGTAGGTAGAAACATAATAATAGATCATGACGTTTCGATCGCAACACAAGCAATCATCATCAGCAAGAAAAAAAACTGCTAAAATAGGCCTACTTCAGCAGTTTGTTATTGCTGTGGTTGTCCCACCTGATGACGATTGCTCGTGTTGCGATCAAAACGTCGTGACCTATTATTTTTCTCCCTACGTGACTTTACCGAAAGAATCGAAGGGTATCTTAACACCTGTTTTATTGCCAGAAAGGGTAAAAAATTTCTTATTTTTCGTACTGTCCACTGAATCGTACACGTGTATGACAAGTATGGGTATGACAAATCACCATCCACCCCCCTCCCCTCCCCCGCCTCTTGCAGTTTGATGAATCGTCACGTGTGTACGTACATGCATGTACGCTGAACTTCTTTCGCACCGTGCGTAGCCAACCGTGCCAATCGGAGGTGCGGGGGATTCAATTATCGAATTCTCTTGCGAACGTCGCTTGTGAATCGTGGTGCCTCCTCTGATGCCGTGGAGGTGATGTGAACCCATCACGGCATGTCGATTCGGACTACTCGGCGTGCGTGTCGTGAGCTTGAGAACCAATGTTAATCATCCACCTTGCTAAAAGCAAGAAATGTATATTTCGCTTTACAAAAAAACACATATATAACATTGCTGAGCAAAGATGAGTCTGTTTGAGTGAATAATCATGCCATGATAACGAGGGGGAAGCATAAAATGCACAGCCACTTGCCTCAATGGGAATTTATCTTTTTTTATAATCGCACTAGAGTCTGGGAAAACGCGTTTGGAGCTAATTCCACGGCATTTACATGCAAGTCTGCACCGGTTGCATCTGCATTGCATTCGCATACAATGCACATTTTGCCATACCTGTCAACCCATGTGCTTTACACGTATTCTTGAAAAGGGAAATTGAGCTTTCAGGTCCATACGGCGTTCAGCCGTTTCAATGCGAGCAAAAAACTTGCTCGAGTCTATTTGTGTTTCTCCCTTGTGATGGGACTTTGTAGGATGAACCTTGACAATTTTTAAGGGCACGGGGTGACTAATAAGGTCTGAATTGGTCTGCAATAAGGTAGGGCACTGATAAGGGGTTGACAGGTATGTTTCGCATACGTTCTCGAATCCATGTCTTCCTTTTTCATGGCTCTGAACGGAATTCCAAGCACAGCGCATGGAGAGATGCATGCTTTTGAATTATCGTGAGAGACAGAAGAGACAGAAAGAGGAACACGTATATTCAGCACGGTTCGCTACGTACGGTGCGAAAGAAGTTCAACATATATACATAAGAGAAAAAATATATACGGAAGCTAATGGCATCATTCTCTTAAGGAGAGTGATTGAAACTAAATGGGCTTAGTCAGTACACGTAAACAGGGATGATGGACAATTGTGAAGAGCAGTAATGGAGTGGAAGCCAAGGAATGGAACGTGTCCAAGATGACGTCGCGGGATTTGTGACAGACGGCAGCGACTTGGCGAGGCTCTCATCCAGCAGCGGATTACTGTACTCTAGGCATAATCATGCACGTGAGGATCAATTGCTCATGAGTTAAATCAATAAGAAACATGCTCGTGTTACAACTAAGCAAATGGGAGTGAATGGGACTCACAAAAGAGGACAAACAAGAAACACGTGATTTTGGAACAGGAATACGATGATTTTTGCGAGTTGCGATAATTCGTATTCTGCATTCTTATATGTTGTCCAATATGTATGCGTGTCACGTGACCGGCACATTGCATGCGCAGTGTTCTCAGCATTGTCTAAGCCACCAGCTCCACAGAGCTGAACGTGCGGCCGTCTCATCGTTTAGTCACATCAACTGAAAGGAAGAGTTGAAAATGAGACCGTTCCCTGCACGTTGCTCGACCGATCTTGCATCGAGCTTGCGCGCACATTCCTGTTGTGATGACTTTGCTCATCGTTGACAAAAAGCATTGGATTTCGACCATGACAGGCACAACGAATAAGGGCAGGATCACCTCCGCTGGAGACTTGGCGTATTTCACGATCCCATTCTCCAGCACAAAAAACCGCTGCAACACAGAAGAGACGCAGATAAACAACACCGCTTCTTCTTCCCACTGCTCCTCAACGTGGCTATTTTGCTGTTGTTGTTGTGGTAGTTGGAATTTTATTCCCAACGTTTTCAAGCCGCACTGTGCGGTCGTTCACAAGAATGTCCCCCGGGAGAATTACGGTGGATTGTTGCGACATGCCAAGCTTGATAGACAAAACGATGATCATTTTTATTCCCGGGGCTGCGGTGATTTCCAAAACGTTCAGCCGGCACCGACCCACAAAAGGCCTCATGCAATCAGGCATGCAAAATGAACCGTGCTGAGGCATCATTACCCAACGAGAACAATCAGAGGAGCGAGTCCTCTCATTAAAATAACGGGCCCACTTTAAATTTCGATCGCGGATAGCGCCTCACCAGCGCACACACATGCACGTATTTTGGATAATTGCATTCGTTACAGGCTGGGGGAAAGACGGCATGTAAATAGTGTCAAAAAAGAATAATAGGCGAGTTAAAAATAAAACGTTAAGATGGTATTTGTAGATGTCACGCAATTAAACTATGGTGCAACAACAAACATCCCAAGAATATTTTTCAGGAGGGCCCTGTCTCAGACGGTTGGCTAATTCCTGTTTGCATCGCGACAATATATGGCAGAATTTTGATTTAAAGCTTTTGTGACTGCAAGGATTCATATTCTTGGTGCTTTCCGTAAAGTCGCGTATTTTATTGTTTCATTTCTACGTGACTTTACCGAAAGAACCAAGCACATAATATACGGTAGCTTAACTGGAGTGCTCTAAGATAGTCGGAGTCTACAAGAGGGTTCATGCGAACGCTACACGGTGAGGTCAGGAACCTTCTTGCTCTAACGGTTCATATAGGCGCCGCACTTGCTTCCGATGTGTGTGCAGAATTTCATCTTTGCCAAAATCCGCCATGGAGTAAGCGTGGCGGAACTGTGGCACAGTGGTTTCGCACCCTGTTCTACGAGCCCGGCAAACCTGAGTTATATTCATGGCTCGTGTATTCACACTCATTAACTGTCTGCAAACATCTTCACATATATAGAGGACCACGGAGCTTGGGCAATTGTTTGCGCCAGCTCACCGCTTGGCCAACCTTCTCAGTTGCCTGTGGTTCCTCAGCGAATGACAGATGCAATTTGCACAAACGATGCAAAATAAAACTACATAATCAGCAAATGATATATAAGCAAAAAAAAACTAAACTGAGCTATATAGCTCTTTTGCAGAAGTGACCTGGACACAAATGATAGCTGAACGAAGTGGCTCATCATGTCGAAATTTATCGCAGCCACATCCTCTCGACGTACGCCGATTCTAAACCTGGAGGGGAAAATTGGAGGACCAGGAGAAAAATCCACGAAACCATGGGGAGAGCATGCAAACTCCAAATATGCAGCAGCAGGCGTCACCAACCAACACTGACCAGAGTGGTGAAGTATGGTCAGATAATCTTCGTGACTGACACAGCACAGGGAGTCCTTCATCCAGCAGTGGATTGACAAAGGGCTATACATAAGTATTATTATCTTAGAATGCGTGTATGATGAACTTCTTTTGCACCGTACATAGCCAACCGTGCTAATCAGAGGTGCGGGGATAATCGATCAACCCCTCCTTCAAAAGTTGATGGATGGGGCCCCCCCCTGTAAAAATACACACACCTCGCTCGTGGTCCCCACGCGGTGGGGCGGTGAGTCCAACCCCCCCCCCTTCCCCCATTCTCTAAACTCCGCCGCAGTGTTCGGATCTGCACCCCGCGGAGTTTCCGTACCCCCTCCCTGCATGGCAGTTTGTGCTCTGTACCAGGCTCCTATTAAATTGAAATACAAAAAATATATGCATAAACATTTTTGTCTTTAAGTTGACGGATGGCACGTACCGGCACGACCAACTAGTCGTATGCGAGCAGTCCCTTCCCTCCGTTGAAACGCAAACACCACCCCCAGGTTTCCCCCCCCCCCCCCCCCCGTGTGAGAAAAGCGTGGCCCACCTTGTGCCAGCCCTTGAGAGGCCACTTGCGTTTCTTGAGCAGGAAGCCCTCGTGCCTCTCGGGTTTGTGAACGTCCGGCTGCCCTGACCGGAGGCCCTCGATGATCTCCCACCCCTGGGCATCCTGGGAAGAGCAAAATGGGAGGACAGAACAGAGCGGTAGTTTCAACAAAGGCTCAAAACAATACCGGTTACACTAAAACTAAACTAAACTTTGTATTTCACCAGGTAAGGCTCACTGAGATTTATAGCTCCGTTGCAGAAGTGACCCGGCTACAAACGACAGTGCAAAGAAGTGGCTTATCATATGGAAATGTAAAGCAACCAAATACTTTAAACGCATGTCGATGGTCAATGTGGAGAGAAAAACCGGAGGACCCGGAGAAAAATCCACGCAACCACAGGGAAAACATGCAAACTCCAAATATACAGGTGTCAGGGGTAGGGATCAAACCCATGAACTCCTATATACCAGGCAAGGTATTTAACATTTTGCCACTCTGGTGCAAGCGTTTTTTTTTATCCAATTGTTTATTTTTTCAAAATTATTTTCTATTCGTGCTCAGGATGTCATGTAACGAGATGAAGGGATTTCGATTTGGAGCCCTCATTAAAAAAAAATGGCATCAAGGGATACATCAGCATCGCCCCGTTAACTGCCTCTCATCCGCACGAGGCGCTTGGGTTCCACCACCCTCTTGTGCACACTGCAAAACGTGTTCGCCCCGAGGCAATTCGACCCGAAATCAAAGCTGGACCACGCCGACTGTTTCCAGTCGTCAGACCTGGACCACACCGAAATTAAGCAATGAACTTTGTTTAACGAGACGGCTATTTCGCGAAGTCATTCGTGATCGGCCAGAGACCATCCTCTCGCTGCACTCGAGGGCCTGGCTTCAATCACGGGTGTCTGACCTGTTTCAAATTCGGTGGAAAAATTCATTGTTCCCCAGATTATTTGTACCCCCCCCCCCCGCGGGGATGAAATATTTGCTACCACCGACAAAGAGGTTACCCTGAATTAATTGTTCCCCCTGTTTAGGATTATGGTTATGGATTACGAATAGGCGCTGCATTGGTTAGGACAAATTAGTACTAAACAGATGGTAGGGAAATGATAAAAGTAAAGTGAAAGCAAACTGCACAACTGTTTCACAAAATTTCTCCCCATTCGTCAATAACACTGTGGCCTTAAAAACAAAACGTGGTAAAGAGGTGACAACCTCTTGGCAATGGCCCTTCCTCAGGGTGCATTGAGAGGCCAGAGAGGTACAGTCACTACGAATGTGTTGAGTCGTTCTTTTGTTACAGTTTTTTTTGGGTAGATCGACACAGCCAATTAGTAAAGGTTGTTACGTAAACAAAACAGGCGTGGTTCGTCCACTAAGGGCGTTGGGGCACTGCCCCACCAATTAGCTGGAGATGAGAAGAAAACATTTTCTTTAAAAAAATGTCCTATAAATAGTTTTGTTGCGTTAAAAAAAAAAATTAACTGTAATGATTCTTTCAACATGAATTACCTAATGAAGATAACATTTTAAGTTGTTCATATTAGAAACCACTGCAACACCACAGTCTGCTTTGTGCTTCGGGAAGGTCTCGTGGCAGCTGCGAAAGCGTCCGAGCGAGAGATATCCCCCTTCATTAATTGCGATGAGCTTCACACTTTAGCCGCGCCGTTTGAGACTCATTCCGGGCGGTGAAAAAGGCGCCCGTGGCTGCGACGCCGATGTCACGACGCTAGGTTGCATCGTGCAAATATTGCAGGTCACGGCCTACACGCACGAGGAAACAGCGGCAATGGCGATGGCAGCAGGTGCAGCAAATGAAGAATTAGCAAAGGACACTGTGGGAGTCACTCCTAAATATTCCATTTGAAAGGCTTGTGTAGTGTGGACTTGAGGGCCATGAAGGCAGCATTTGAGTGCTTTGTTTTGTTTAGCATTGTTTATCAATGCCTACCGTTGATAGATAAGACATATCACTTTCACGGGAAGGCCAATAACATGACGTGGTTTGCCTTAATTAGAACACCAAATTTTCAGAGGTCACTCACAACAGCCCCACCTCGTGGCAATGTCACGAGCCGCCACTGAAACAGCACGTGGCCAATTCGTCACTAGCACATCACACACAGCGGTGTGTTCGAGAGTAAACCCACAACGTTTACAATTCGAGTACGACGTTTCGCCAGTAATTACAACCAGCAGCATCAGGTGACGGTCGGATTTGTGGAGAAATCCTGTTTCGTTCTTAAATAGAGGGGTAAATATGATGAAGTCACCTGTGAGCCAATCAGGCGTGAAGGCCAGAGGGGGTGGGAGAGGTTAATGTTAAGCATTACAATGGATATCCCATTACCGGTTGGGTTATTCATAAGGTCATCAACATATGTTATGCATGCACATTATGCAGGTGGTGGTGAGTTTAACGACACATTTATATTTACACGATGTAACCCAAAAAATAAAAAAAACCTCTATCATGGATAATATTGGTCGTGAAAGCCTCCTACGACGCGTTAAACTGCGCTTTCGTTACTTGTGCTTGTGCACCACTGCCAGTGCAGTATCACCAAACAATCTGTTTCACGACTACGTTTGAAAAGGGGTTATTATTATTATCATTAAGCTTTCAGTTGAAAATGCATGGGCATTGACACCAGCAAATTAAAATTGCTTTCTGACAACAACAAAAAAATAACTGGGCAAAATTGTTCAGAGCGGTGAGAAACAAAAAGAAATATATATTTTGGGAGAACTCGTACGCGCTCTCCGACAAAGGCTCAGCGTTTCTGAGACAGCAACCATGAACTCGCTGGGCCAACCCAGACGCCTCATGCTTCTTGTAAATGGAATCAATTACACTTCGTGTTTTATATATTTAAACTGCTGGCAGCCAATGCTGTGCAGTCTGCATTACAAAATGTTCCGAGGCCAATGTGTTACTTATTTTTCTTACGCAACTTCCGTGAAAAACTTTTGGACAGTTTGTGAATATTAAAAAAAACCCCGATTGTTATTTTAAAGACAGCGAAATAACGACTGCATCACCGTACACGCTTACTAAATATAACGAACCAAAAAAAAAACCCCGCTGCAAATTGTATTTTAAACGAGGCTGTTATTAGATGTTTGGTGGAACTGCTTGAAGCTGAAGCTTTGTTTTTGCACGAAGGGTGAAGAAATTGGTTACAATGTGGGCATATTACATGTGTGCTATTGCATTCGAACATGTAACCTTTGCACGTGTAACTTTGCACGTGTAACATTGGAAGTGCAAATATTGCACGTGTAACACAGGACTTGAAAGATTGCGTATGTAATATTTCATGTAGAATTTACACAGACCGCATTCTCAGTGTCATTGCTAAGGTGATTCTTACAATTTCAAGGCGGGATAGGGTAAGCAACCTGGAAGTTCAGAATAGAAGACGACAAGAAAATGTTGTAGGTGTGATCCAAAAGAGGATGCTGTGATGGGTGGGACATGTGAGCTGGACCGAGGAGGCAGGTGGCCAAGGCACGCATTGGAGTGGCACCCGGAGGTCAGCGACAAAGGGAAAGATCGATCGCCCCAGATGGTGGGACAATGTGAGAGGAGTCCTAGGCGGTGAGGTCTCGCTTGTGCAGCTGTAGAGGATTCTGGCTGAGGGTTGGAAGCCATGGAAGTGATGCAACAAAATCAATTGCGTAGGAACAATGACAACTTCTGCAGCTGTATTGGAAGCAGTTTGATGCATCAATTCGTGAAATAGAATAAGTTCTCATTCTCACGAGACCTGTATTGAAACGCGCGTGAACTTTGATTCCTTTTCTTTTTTATCAGAGGCTACAATTCACTTTAACGTTAAAACAAAAATCAATTACGGAATCAAATTGTGACACTCAATCGCAACAATTCATCGAAAAGCAAAGGGATGAGATCACAGCTCCAAAAATATCCTCACTACGTGTTTAAGAAGTCAAGGCAAAACAATTACACTTCAAGCGAGGTCTCAGCTCACGCCTGGGAGTTTGAAGATGAGACCACACACAGAACAATTCCTAAGTCGCTCACAGGAGCTTACCTTCACCCAAGACCATACGACACCCAGCATGTCAATCGTTTGATGATAAATTACAAGTTTTCAGCAACGAGAGCTGGTGGATACCGTACGCAGAATATCATTTGGCATTTTCACAACTGGTTTGAGGGCTTCGAATGACGAGGACCGTTAGTCCAGTTCCGTATCGACATCTAATTGGAATGGACCACGTTATGAATAAAACATTAGGGTTCTCAGACCTATGTGCAAAACTTTTAAATGGGGATTAATAATTTTCCAGGTACACCAGATGCAATAACTCTGAGTGCTAAAGGCAGGCAACAATCTTTGGCTTCTGAGCTGTCTCGTACGCACCAGAGCATCTTCACGGAAATCTGAAGTGGCATGGTTCAAGGAGATACAGATTTGTATCAAACAGATATTGCACCAAGGACCGAGGCTGCTTTATCTCAACGAGGTTGTTGAAGCAAATAAGTGAATAATTAAATATCTCACCCGCTTAGGAAGTCTCTTTAAAGTTGCCCCTTGAAGCGTGGAATGCCATGCCATGTTAACAGTTCCCGGTCGACGGGCTCCATTTATCCACGGCACTGTTGCCATGGGAAATTTCCAAAGCGGTCGGTAGTCTGCCAGCAAAGAGGGCGATAAACTAAAAACTATTTTATTTATTTTACCAGGTAAGGCCCCACTTAGCTATGCAGCTCCTTTTTGTTCAGAAGCTACCTGGCCATCACAAATGATGGCTCAACGAACGTGGCTTACGATCATGTGGACCATTTAAAGCAGCCAAATACCCTAAAAACCAGCGGTCGGCAACCTTTAAAAGTAGGCATTTTTTTTGTCTTCGACCAACATAGCTCCGAGAGCCGCATCACACGCAAAGCTACTTGTACAATAAACACAGCGACAGGTTCACAGCAGATGACAGACACTTTCCGATTTAAATAAACCAAATAGGTGATGGAATAGACGGCTGTCTTCCTCCTTACTAATTCTTTAACGATACAGTTTGACTGTTGTACACTTTGTTCTCACCAAGAAACTCCACAGAGACCCATTCCCCCTTCATGTTTAAT